CAACAATACATGAGCCGTTATTCTATATGAAACAGCTGTCAGGAGGATTTTCAGTGTCAGTACCCTTAACCCTTCGCTGTTGGAATTTTGGTGTGTGTAATGGCTACCAAGGCTAACAGCCATTTGACTGAAGAGCACGTAGAGGAGAGAGGGATATAGAAACATTAAATACTTACTCCGACAACAGAACACTCGTGACTTTTATATTCGCACTCTTAGGAGTTTAATGTGCCAAGAAAACTGGTTTATTGGAACAGAAGCACTTCAAGACAAGGAGTGCATAATTTATAGGGCTCAAACGGTCACGGTTTTACCCCCAACGGTTAGCTGCTAAGCTAAAGGTCGGTTTAACGGTTATAACCTATAAGCAAGAGTACATGAAAACCAGAGTGTGCAGCTCGGATGGGTTGCTGTCACGGCGAAAGTCCGTGATTACATCATTTTAGTGATGTAGTGCGTACAAGCAGGATTCAAGCAGGTCTCTTTCTGCACAACTGCAGCTCAGTTGTACGCACTACGCCACTTCCCGCCTCAGATCTGGGCCAAATATGATGTAATCACGGAATTTCGCCGTGACAGACACCCATAGCAGAAAAGGCCCCAAGCTGCACACTCTGGTTTTCATGTACTCTTGCTATAAGCCACGGCAATCCTGCGGACTCTTTTTTAACCGTATATTTGGCTATACTTATTCAAAAAATGTACCCTATTCAGTACAACGCACACATGTATATTCCCTTGCATGCTCATTCATACATACTCTCACACGAAGAGACCAGATATGACCGAGTTGACAGCCCAGAAATTGCGTACGCGTGCGATAGCCTGCGAAAGTGCATACTTTGCAACGACTTGATACATGTACTTGAAAAATTGGCTGAAAAGTTACTGCGTAACCGTTATCTTTATCGGTCAACCGTTAATTCTTCGTAACCGGTCTGCAACCGGTTAATCGGACTAACCGTTTGAGCCCTAATAATTTATAATCAGTATACTTCTTTCGAGTGTGCAAACTATTATAAAAAGAAATTGACACCATTTGAGTCTCCGGCTGATCGGGAGATTTGGCACCTCTGTTGTAAAGACTTCTTTGGTTGGCCGGGTACTTTTTTAAAGTTTCTCTTTGAGAGAGCTCATCAGAAGAATCATACAATTACTCAATTAGGATAAAGAGGTGATAGCAGTGCTAGTTGAGAGGGTAGAGGGAGCAGCTCAGAACGCATTTGCATCACTCTCATGGACATGAGTATCACTATGTTGATTACGTCATAGCACTCAGTGAGTCATGGCAATAGTTGACAGTGTTTGTGTCTCTAGAAGCTTCTTCTTCTGTCCTCCTGCGGTGAGAGTGCGGGCACTTTTGTACTTGTAATGAGATACCACCAGGCTCAATAACTGGTTCTGCAAGGTGGAGGTGGCTGCAGTGGCAGTTGTGCTGTGAGCGAAACTGGAGTATCTCTGCCAACTTCAGGTCAGGGCTCAGCCTCAGTGCATGAAACTCCAATGCACCAGGGAGTGAGGAAGACTAAAAAAATGAGGGGGGGGGGGGGAGTTTCAGTGGGTCCACAGTTATTAGGCGTGTGCCTTTTTTGATTCCTACTCAAATATAGTATACAACATCAACAAGGGGCCAGAGTACATTATAGACAGGGGGAAAGTGGAAGTGATCGTAGGTGGACAAATGAGGCTAACAGCACCAAGACTTTCTGTCACGTGTTGCATGTTGCAGTACCAGAATGCCCCTCTGCTCTTGAAGGCCCGCCAGAGACTGCAAGCATGCTGAAAATTGAAATCAATATATTGAACAATACTTTTTACTTCCAGATCATGTTTGACAGTCAACGTACCTTGTGTTTCCACTGTCGATATCGTGGCCAGTACAAGAAGAGCGGCCAGTCCAAAGCACGCTGCTAGCGATGGTGGTCTCTCCGCCATGTTTTCAGCAATCCTTGCACAGAACTTCTACTCGAAAGAGCTAACCTTCTTCCTGGCTGAACAACCTCTACATGTGTCTAAAACGAAAGAAGGAGACGCTATTTGCTTTTTTCACGCGGCCATGAGTGAAAATGGAAACTTGATTTCTTTGGTTGCTCACTAGCTCACCTGGGGCAGAGCAGGAGCTAGGGATTTTGCAGCTGGCACTGCATTCTCGGCCAGCTGCATCGAGACAGCCTGGATGTAGCCAACGCCTTATCTCCTGAGCCCTAGCTAGTCGGTCAAGTAAAGTAAGAAAGTTAGTTGTCATTCTCGATTCTTGTCGAAACCAGGACGGACCAATGAGAATGATGATGCGTGTGTACCACCGGTTCACCAGTACCACGGTAGATCTACACGTCCGCTCCACTCAATTTCTCAAGTTTTCAGTCTAGTCTATGATTATGCACAGCCTACAGTCTAGCACAGATGACCCAGTCATGTGTCTTGCGTAAGCAATGCGTGAGTGCGTGTCTTATCACTTCCTGGCACTAACCGTGCACGCGTGACTAATGGTAATGCTGAAAGACAACTGAAAGCTTTCGAATAACGCTAGCCGGATTCGGTATGTGCTCCCCCGCAAATGGTGTGTATTTCGCGCGTCTTGTGGGGGACACCCGTAGATCTACCCGTGCCGTCACAGCTGCATGCTGGCTATGCTCGCAAGCACCTTCACTGTCTTGCACTCTTCGCCTTGTGTCCCATCAGCCCCGTGCAAATACATGTAGCAGTGTATGCCTCACTTTGATCTCTCGACCCGAGCGAGAGGCTGGATTCTTATCTCTTCCTCTCGCCTCGCAGGCGCGAAGAGGTTTTAGTTTAGCAATGGCGGTAGCTAGCTGAACGCGGCCACTGGCTGCCTGTGCTTGCTATCTATCCGGGCCTCATGTTGTGCTAGCTGAAACTAGCCGGTTGCCTACAAATAATTCGTGTAGCAGGGGCAAGAAGCAGGTGCTCGTCGACGTCAAGTCTCATCAACAAGTTGAACAACACGGAGACGATGGACATGCCGTGTGCAAGCTAGCTTTCGTCCATAAGTAGCCCATACACTGCCATAGCGCCGCACGGGTGCAAGCTGAGACAGAGTGCGCAGGAGCTAGGACTAGGACTAGTAGTAGGAGGGTGTCCATCCCTACACTACACTACGGTGAGAAACTTCTTCTGTCGGCTAGGTCTACGACGTGTAGCAAGAGCAGGTCATGTAGATCTACTCTTCTACTCTTGGTACTAGCAGGGAGCCCTACACATAGAGAGGTATATGTAGGGGCAGTCGGGCTCCCTGGGTAGATCTTGTACTACCCCAGCCTGGGCATTCCCCACGACCCCAGTCTTCTTGACGATGTCCTCCAGAACGTACTACAAAATACATGCAATACAAGTAGTACCAGGTATGTTACATAGCGGACACCACTGCCATTAGCCTGAATATTCAACTTATATTTATAACCGGCTTGGTTTCTTCCTCCGATCCAATCCTGATGCTCTGCTTCACTCGGTCAGCGATATGGCTGTTTCAATAAAACTTATAAAAGCTATGCCACCAGTAATACACCAGAAATGATTCTATCAATCACAAACGAGCTCGTAACTGCAACTCCAGCCTCCATTGAGAATGACATGCTGTACAGGACCGCCGGAAGCAGTTGTTGATTGGTCCGGTAGTATCATGGCCGTTCATACAGTTTGTGTATGATATGGTATGTCGGGGTACACATGCCCTCCACAGTAAGAAACATGTCAGTGTTGGTGGCTGAAACGTTGGTCCGGTAATAACCTGAACAACCAAACCAGTTCCGGCGGGCCTGTTCATATTGTATATTCAATTCCTGGACTCTTTCGACCTTGTTATGTCTCCTCAGTGGAGCGCAGACTGGCCGAATTGATCCGCGGCAATGTACATGTAGTGAAGAACAGCAAAGCATCCGTTGATCCCCGGGCTGAATGCCGCACTCAGCCTGCAGAGAGTGCTCAATGTCATAGAGTACGACAGAGCTTAGAACATAGCAGACTCGGCTCAGGACGTTCAGGTTGGTTGTAGCTCTGAGCTTCATGCCGCTAGGCAATCACCAGACAACTGACACCCATATGAGTGTGCATCAGGGAGTCGTAGTATCCATGGAGACAACAAGCCCTGATTACATTTAAAGCCGTTGTGTTCTTTGTCCATTGTTGTTCTCACATTTTGCTGATTGTAATACAAACTTTGTGTCGAGTATCCATGGAGACGGTACGAGACCATGCTATCTGAAATGATGTGCATTTCCAACGTGAATTTGTAAACTCCATGCGATGTGTAGTCTGGTATGTCTCTAGAAGTCACAATCATGAGTGATCGCGGCCTTGACCTACTGACCTCAAGTAACCACTGGCGGATAATGCTCGAAAAATTGGCAGATTCTGATTTGGCAGAACCATACAAACATTATGTCGGGTACTTCCTTGAGCTCTGCTCCATGTCTTTATCCACATACCAAACATGCATGAAACTTACCAAAAATAGTACCAAATTCTGCCAATTTTTCTGCCAGCATTATCTGCCAAGGGCTAACCCCAAGCGTGACCTAGACCAGCTATGCGATGTGCGAGCGGGCTTATATCCGCCCTACCCTGAGGGCAGCCCTCCCCCCACCCCCTGGGCGGAACAAAACTCACATCGTTTCACATTCCAGCTGCCTCCCTGTAGATATACGACTTGCTGATGTACAGTCATGTACATGGATTGTGGCCAATCGCTCAGATATTACCAGACTACCTATCATCATGTCTCTGTTACATGATCATCATCAAAACTGCTTGTATGAATGTACAAGATCGTTGCATGAACACAAATTATGGCGGACAACACGAGAGTGCATAACCCCCAAGAGTGTGCAACTCAACTCCACTATCAGTGCTGCATGTCTCCACAAAATTTAAGTTTGACATCCGCTTTGTTTGATGCCAATGCACGATGTAGACTCCACATTTCAGATGATAAGCAAAAACGCCCACAGCCAAGCACAATTTATTGTTTCGAGACGAACTCTAGACTAGTGCCGGGAGAACAGCAAATGAACAGAATCAACTCAATTATGCGGCCTCCCAAGCTGAAAGTCTTCAAGCTCAAACGGTCAAATCCGGGTCAAGCGGCAAACAACAAAGTACAAATCTTCCCAAGTAAGCCATTGCGTCAGACAAGAAACTCCTCCGCTCATCAGGCAAAAGCTGCCACTTGAAAACAGCCAAGTGGAAATAGATGCACAAAATTAATAGGAGCTGTACACCACCGGTTAAGTCAGAAGGAATACGAGTGGTTCCGTTCGTTCTTGTGTGGATTATACCGCAAACTAAATGATGCAGCACACAAAGACGCTCAGCTGTCACTTAGGAATAGATGATAGTGGTATAAGATCTGAGGCAAGATCATTTCCGGCTCACAGAAAGATGTGGGGTGAGAAACCAGTGTAGTGTCTGCCAACTTGCACGTATCTGAGGTACTTTGGACTTACATCAGAAAGTGATACACTGAGCTCTGCTGACAGCACTAGCGGGAGGAATACAAGCTCTTAGGCTTCACAACTCTTTACTTTCTACTAATTCCACACAGAACTGAAAGAGAGCATGGAGTTTAACTCAGTTATCTAGGGCAGAGAGCGCAGCTAGGCTGGGGGTGAGGGCAAGGAAATCAGTAGGACAACAGGACTAGAAACAGTGTGGGAGGAAGAATGGATTTAAGGAGCGAGCAACAGTTAGGCAACACGAATGACATCTAAAACTGTGTAGGATAAGGAAGGTGAATAGGGCTTGAAAGTGATGACGTCAAAACGGCCAGGGAGTAGTAAGTTGACATCAGATTTCTATTTTTGGATCCACTAAGGTGTGACTTTGCTATTGCCTAAGTATGTGGGTGCATAGCAACCCACTCATGTCGCATGCAGGTGTGACTTTTATTTCGCCACCAGTTGTAACCCCGCCCCCAGTAGCCAAATCAGTCAGTTTCACTGGCTACATCACCATGCTGTGGGTAAGACCGCTTGAAATGTGCTAGGATCCATACAAAAACTGGATCCAAGTGGATCCAGTTTTTGAATTTTTGAAATTGTTGCTATGCTGTGACGTAGCACTTTCAAGCCCTATTGTAGGGCGCGCAATTGGGGGTGACAGATGCCGGGAAACACAGCTGTTCAAAGAAGAGAAGCTGAACAGAGCGAGGGAAATCTTATACCTGGTGATCAAAAAGGTCGGGATGGGGAATGGTGCATGAAGCAGGACTACAGCCTAGTACAGGAATCAACGTAATGCAGAGTGCAGCATGAATGGGTGCTATGGGTCATGCCGTGTTGGGCATGCACTAGTCCCCTGCAGTATAGACCAGTTACTGCCTTTGTCACAATGGCAATGGGAAAATATGCACAGTTCACGTGAGACACGGCTGGAGGCCGAGTTTTCCACATCGGCAAGAACTCCACCACCCTCTACAGATCAAGGCGCAGATGGGCAATGAAATAAAACATGCAAGCAAAACATTAACCTGCCCACACGTCAGAGATCACTGAGCGTATCTTGTCCAGTGTTGATGCTGCCGTCAGATCATGCACATCATCCACCATCTCCAGTTGAAATCTTTGCCGCGAATGGCCAGCATTGTCGCCGTCGAGCAAACCGAATCTCTTCTTGTGTTCGTCTGCGTACTGCATTACCCACCTGGGTAGGATGACATCATCACGCGAGCCGTGTATGATGTAAGTAGTACAGGCAGGGACGGGGAAGACCGGCTGCTGTTCAAAGTCCTCGATGAACGAACGCGGCAGCACTGCCGAGTACCATCCGCTTGCACTGGCCGCGGCTCCCACGGGTCGTGTTCTCGTCGGCATTCTGTACTGATTCTGTTCCAACAACTCCCAATCCTTGTCTCTGATCATCTGACGCAGGCGGACATGCAGCTTAAAGGCCGGACAGAGAAGGATTAAACTATCTACACAGCCGCCGTGGACTTGTGCAAACCGCGCCGCCAGATAGCCACCATAACTTGAGCCGACAATACGCAGCTTCACATTGGTTACGCGCTCCGCTCCACTGTGACCGGTCTGATGCGAAGCCGGAGTCGGCAGCTTTGTGTTCTGTCCCATGTAGAAGCCGTGCAGAGCGTGCAACGCCTCTGTGACGTTCATCGGCGTGGCGTCGGCATGGTTCAGACTGGGTATGTGCAGATGGGTCCCGGCGGCTTGCCCGCGCCACGGCTGCTGACGGAAATACTCGCCGAGCGCCAGGGCCTTGTGCGAGTGCGGTCCGCTGAACAGTCCATGCAGGTAGACATATACAAAGCGAGGTGGCCGTGTCGCCGTCATCATGGCCGCATCCCTTTCCGCACTGCGCGCCGGTCTGGTAGTTTGTCAGTGGCAACCCGTCCAGTGCAGTGCACACGTTCCCTGTTCAGTGCTCACTGCAGAATTCTGGGCACATAGTGGTACCTGGTTCGAGTCCTGTTGGTGGTGGCAGTCAATTTTTTCTTCAGACTTTACAAGCTTGTATATTCCCTTCAATTGCTCAAACCTATGACGTAGTGTTACATGTGTACGTTGTTTTACATGTAACATTGAAACATTTCACAGGGAAGAGCTACACATCATGGTAAATCCGACCCAGGAGATTCACCAAGCGCCGGATTGGAACAACGCCATCAAGGCTATCACTACCAGACGTTCACCACGGTGCGCTAGGGATTGCCGCTGACGACACGCGGGCGAAGCAGGGACAGTAGCGACTGCTTACTGCTATTGCAATGCTGGCCTCAGCAGACAGCTCAGCACACTATGTGCAGCTACAGGGCTACTATCACATGTAGCAATGGATCTCCACTTCTTCAATCCATAGCCTCCTAGGCTGGCTTTGCATTTAAATTTTTACTCGCACATCGCCACACCATCACTGCAGCTGGTTACGCCACAGTACACGCAACACATGCACTCAAATCAAGTGAGCGGCCATGCACTAGCCGGCCGATCCCCGGTTTCACAACCACACCGGACATGCTTGGCAATACTAATAGAGTAAAACCTGTCAAGGCGACCACCTGTCCTAGAAGACCACTGGAACCAGGACCGACCAAGGGATGCTATTTCCAGTCAACTGACCCTGGATAAGGAGACCACCTGGTAGACCACATTTTGGAGGTCCCTAGAGCGGTCGTCTTAGACAGGTTTCTCTGTACATGTACACAAGGTGAAACGAACACTGGGCATAAGCTCACACTACCGACACGTGACAGCGGTCACAAGAGGAGGAGGGGCCAGTCATCATCACAAGCAGCCGGTATGGCGATACATATTGTACTCTGCAACTGATCACCGGCTTGTCAAACCAAGAGAGAGGTGTGTACGTGTAATGACCGTGTGCAGCTGGCCAGCCAGTTTTCTTTGGAAATTCAGAAAAAAACATTTTGGAAATTTCGTAATACGGTATACAATCATGGTATATGTATATGAAGTTCTAAGTAAAGCACAGCTCCTGGCTAGTTCGGCATGATAATTTTTCTAAATTCACGCTATGCAATTATACAATCATGTAGGTGCCTGCCCAACTCCGTAAAAAAACTCCGTTGCAACCGGGCTCATAGATCAGGTAAAAAGTAAGCACAGGATATGACGAGTACTGTAATTTCACAAATTTTCGGTGTATTTTTTTATTTCCGGTACTGTCAGTGCGTCTGTTTCCGATATCTAAAATTGCAATACACCGAACAAACACTAACACGCATAGGCCAATACGGAAGTGCTTCTCTGTACCTAAAATTTCTGTTTACCTAAACCTGGCGGCGTTTGCCCTCATACCGAAAATATTGGCGCACATAAAATTTCTGAAATTAGAGTACCAGTCTCAATGCAGATCACGAACTGGCCATGCTCGTAGAGCTGCTATGGCCGAAGCTAATGGCGGTACAGAAAATTCCGGTCGCAGCAGTGATCCAGACTAATCCCAAGTACTAGCTAGGGTAAAGGGATCGTAAAGATTCACTAAATTTGAAGATGCAACGGTGGCTTGATAACAACCAACACAGAGTCACAGGATACATTCTTGAGCTGAGTAGCGCTCAATGTGATGCACCCGGCTGCATGCAGTCAGTGTTTCGGAAATTGAGGACTTGCCTCAATGCCTCACCTTGCGAGCTGCACACTTGTTGCACACTTGCTGCACAACGAGGCTCTGTGTCAGTCCGGGAGTTGTAAAATACCGTATTCTACGACTCCCTGGTGTCAGTGGTGACAATACTGTCAGTGCTGCCTATCATCCACATGTCACTGGTCACAGCGCAGATGCGTGCGACGGACGCCGACGTCGCCAGCTCGTGGACATCGTCCACAACCTCACGCTGTATCTGCCATGGCTGACCATGGCTGTCATTCGCACCGAATTGTTTCCTGTGTTCGTCTACGTATTTCAGCGAGAGCTCCGGTGGCACAACGATGTCCTTGGACGCGTGGATGATATGCGTCGGACAAGTGACGACAGGGTACGCCGGGTGACTCTGGCAGTCCTCCGCGAGAGAATACGGCAGCAGAGCCGGATACCATCCGCTCTCGCTCACCTCCGCTCCCTCCGGACGCAGCCGAGTCTGCATCCGGATGCTGCCAGTGCGTTTATACGCCTCGAAGCCCTTCTCACCGAAAAACCTCGGCATATTGGCGAGCATGTCAAACGAGGGGCTCAGCAGCACGAGGCTATCCACGCTACTCGGATGCAGATGCGCAAAGCGCGCCGCGATAATACCGCCGTAACTTGAGCCCACAATACGCAGCTTGAGGTTGCCTTGTTCCGGCTTCACATCTTGCATTCTTCTCTCCTGATAGAACGCGTGCAGCTCTTCCATGGCCGCAGACATGGAGAGTGGCGAGGCCTGTGCAGTGTTGAGATTCGGTGTGTACAGGTGTGCGCCATGCCGGCGGAAATACTCGCCCAGCAGCCGTCCCTTGTGCGAATGTGGCCCGCTGAACATTCCATGCAGGTACGCGTACACATAGCGAGTACTCATATTCCAGGTGGCCCGGATAAGGTACGTATACGCACGTGCTGTGGTAGAGCAGGGTCGGTAAACACAGGCACAGTGCAGTGCGCAGTGCTTGAAATCAGGCCGATAGCCGTAGAAATCATACACTGATACGACTGATGATCTTAAAAAAAAATTCTAAATCACATTATTTTACTGATTCACGTGTTGTTTGCCACCAGAGCGATTCCTAGATCCTGCGGAGACTCAGCTAATCAGGAAGACGGTGGGTTTACAGTTCTCGTACGTAGACTACGACAGGACAGGTTAGTGGCAAGTGCTGTAGACGATAGGCGATATTTTGCAGCACTTTCACCCGAGGCCAAAGAGACTCACGATGCAAGCAGAGGACTGCATTTCTCTATTTCAAACTCACAGACGGCAGGCTGAACGACTGCGTACCTGGTGTACATGTACTCGACGATCAGCGCCTCCTCATCGAGTCAATGGGTGCAAACCTGTTCCATACGGACCCGTGAACTCCAAAACGACCAAATGCTCTAGCTAGCTAGCTATCCCAATAATTATTGTCCTTATTGTCATCGCGATCTACTTTCAATTCTTTCATGAACCAAGATGCGTTGAGTATGGCCAAGAGTATGGTTATGTACTCTTGGTATGGCCTACAAAGACTTTAGTACGATCCTATCATGCCTTCTTGCTATTATTCACATAAATGTGGGGCTTTGAATAAAACAAGTCGAAGTAATCCTACCGGTCGATCTACATGCAGGACCGCCTGAAGCAGTTTTTGATTGGTCCAGTACTAGTAGTACAGTGCCTTTCAATGTTTCATACCAAGTTGTGATATAATTATATGGCAGGCACGCATGACCTCCATAGTAGTACACATGACATTGTGTTGGTGGCTACAATGTTGATCCGGTGATAACCTGACCAACCGGACCGGTTCCGGCGGCCCTGGGCCGTATATGAGGCGATCAAGTTACACGACGGCAGGATATATCCCGCGCGTGATGCTGCCATGGAGATTCAGCCACGTGAACTAGAATGTTGGCACGAGTGTATCCCGCGAGCTACTGTAAATATACAAAATTTCGTGACATTTCGGCGGCGATTTATTTTCGGCGTGGGGTAGAGGGCATGGTATAGTGCGACAGATGCTGTGAAAATTTTCATCGGCGTTTTAATTTAGGCGTTTTGGGTCGGTGCCGAATCTAGCCGAAATTAAATAGCTGCCGAAAATTTGTATATTTACAGTATCCCGGTGCTGTGAGGGAGCTGGGCCATGGGGGGGGGGGGGGGGGGGGGGGGAGGGGGATGCACTCCATGGCATTCAATGGACTGTTTTGTACTACAAGCACTGTATGTGCATCCTGCCATGGGTCTGACAGTGACTGTGACCTGATGACGGTGTGAATTGATTTTCGTCTTTTCCCGTATCACGGCAAGCTCTCAAGCTCTCAGGATCACGTGCTTCACTTCCCGGGCGGGATGCACTGCCGTTGTGCAAATCGCCTCTTACGTCCTCACTGCTTGGTACGGTGGGATTGGGACGCCAACGGACGACTCTGAGAGCCATCACACAACACAAAATATAAATACGGTGCCTTCATGCCATTCTTCGGCATGCCAGTTTCCTCGAGAAGGCTGGGGGACTGGGAGAACACCCAGGAAACAAGCAAGACCTTGACAATGACACACACAGATTTCTATAATGTAACATCAAGACATGGCCTGGAAAATCATCAGATGGAGAGATGCCAGGAGAGGACAAAGAAATCGGTTAAGGCTTCGGAATCATAGCTAGCTATCAACCTTTGGCAAGAGGAAAATCCGCACCTCGAGCCCCACAAAGAGATCCTTCACTCTGGTAGTCATAGGACACTCATAGCCATGATTTTTCTTCAATAGCTAGGTTTATACAAGTAGGTGGCAAATGCAACTCTCTCTCTCTCACACACACACGCACGCGCGCGCGCGCACACACACGCACGCGCGCGCACACACGTGCACACACACACACGTGCACACACACACACACAGACTCACACACGCACGCACACACTACCTACCTACAGTCAACTTCGCTTATAACGACACTCGGCGGGGCATCAGAAAAGTGTCCTTATTCGCGAAGTGTCGTTATACCCGAAGTCTCATTATATGTATTACAGTAGGATGGGACTTTGCTCTGGGCATGGGAATTCTGTCGTTATTCGCGAATTGTCGTTTAACCGAAGTCGTTATTAGCGAAGTTGACTGTATATACAATAGCTAATAAATAAGCTCAAGATCCTAGCGCAAGTAGTAAAGTGGGGAAATGTTATAATGTCCAATGAGAAAATACCAGCATACTAATTAGTGTAGAACGGGTAATTTTAGCGACGTAAAACCCTAGCGAATTTAGCAATCAACTCATTTTCGCTCGCTAATCTGTTGAGACATTAGTAGTGCACTGGTGATCCGTGAGTAAAATCGCTGCAAATCGCTAAAATTAAACGACGCTAACCGGTTGACAATGGGAAAACGCTAAAATTAAAAGTCGCTAATATTACCCGTTCTACAGTATCGAGTCTGTCACTACCAGAACAAGTACCAGAGTTTGCCATCAGTGATGCGGACGGAGAGTTACTACACACCGCAGACACGGGTTGCGTAAAACGTGAGCCGGTGTCATAGGGTCTGACAGTCCCGCACCGGCCTGACTCGAATAGAAAACCTAACGACTAATACCTACATGTAGCAGTACAACTGGGTACGAGTACTGCTATGTTCACTCAGTTATCATGGATACTAGTACTGGTATTGAGTAATATGTTTTTTGACTTTGACAGCATGTTACAAGGCGAGGACGCATTGAGTAAGCAGTCTGTACCGCATAAGACCAGCAAGTACGATGTATTCAACACAAGCAGGAGATTATGAGAGAGCCGTTGGCTTGGCCTCTGCATCAATAATATGTCGGTCAGCTTGATCAAAGCATTTTAGAACACTCTGCAGTACAACCTACAAACAAGCTCGCAGCACTGGCACTTACGAAGCGCTATCAATCTTCCACATGGCATTGAGAGCCATTGGCTTGGCCTCTGCATCTTTATTACATTGGTCAGTTTGATCAAAGCACACAATTTGAAGTACAAACGAGCTCGCACCATTGGCACTTACGAAGCACTGTCAATCTTCCACATGGCATTGACGACGGCACGAATACGTGCAGTAGACGTCGGCGACGTCATGAAGTGATCGTCATCCACCGTCTCGCGGCGCAGCGGCCACGGTCGGCCATCTTTGTCATGGAAACCGAGCTGCCGCCTATGCTCGTCCACGTACTCCTGCGAGGAGTGCGGCGAAATGACGCGGTCACGAGACGCGTGTACGATGTGTGTTGGGCAAGTCACCAGCGGGAACGGCGGGTGGTTATCGCGAGCGTCTTCAAAGATAGAGTATGGACACTGTACGGCGTACCAACCGGTCTCACTGACTGCTGCCCCGTGCGGACGCATTCCCGTCTGCATCTCCATCTGGCCGGTGCGCTCAAACGCTGCCCAGCGTATCTCTCCAAACACGTGACGGAAGTGGAAGTTGGGATTGAACGCCGGACAGAGCAGAATCAGACTGTCTACACACTCGTCGTGGAGATGTGCAAAGCGCGCCGCCAGATAACCACCGTAACTCGAGGCAACGATGCGCAGCCTGACGTCATGCTGCGACGCTCCGTGAGTAATCGGTCCGGCATTTGTCGGTGCAACTTGCAATTTATTGTCCTGGTAAAACTTGTGCAGGACGTCCATGGCTGCGGATATTCTCAGTGGAACCGCGTCTGCATTGTTCAAATTTGGTTGATGCAGGTATTGACCGTGCTGGCGCAGGTACTCGCTGAGCAGCTGCCCTTTACGTGAATGAGGCCCACTGAACATTCCATGAAGGTACGTGTATACATAGCGAGTCGATTTACCACTAGCCATTGTACAGGAAAGCAGTGTGCTGCAAGACGGGACGAGCGCAACACGTGGATGGAGAATGCCTGTGTGCAAGTCGTTGCTTTGGCTCAACACACACTCACAGGTGTACTGTACTCTGTAGCGTCATCATGATACGCAGCAGCACTGAGCCTGCAAAGGAGCATTACCCACCGCAATTTTCATCTACAAACACATGCACAGCAGAAAAGTAGCAAAGTAGTAGCTGGTGGTCACATTGAGTGTCTGATCTTCTCCATTTCCAGCAAGACTCGGCACCAAGCACGTTCTCCCACTGCGGCATAAACTTCCCCAAAATATCCGCTTCCATCACAGCCTTGCAAAGGTGAAGGCATGCCCTTCCCGAGGCTTTCGCAAAGGTGGTTCGGGGCTTGAGCAGACTTCGAGAGGCCTGAGGCTAAGGGCAGAGTTGATCAATCAAAGCATCCAGAGTTTGAGTCTGTCCTCTAGTCTGGGTGAATATCTTTGCTTGCTTCCATTTGCAAGGACGTAGCTTTTGAACGAGATTCAAGTTTCTTTTTTGTCTTTTTGAAACCCACGTTTTTATGGTTGGCATGACGTACTGATTTTGATTTCGATGACGCACTACCACAGCTAGCAGTAGGGAGAATGATTGATGATGGTCAATATTCATAGAAAGACAATTATACCAGAAGTTCGAAACTTGTAATGGTTTGGGAAGGTGCGAGGCAGGAACATGATTATATTGCTCACCTATCAGTGTGCCACAACGGCCATACAGAGAAAAAGTCCTGAGGTAGTTCAGAGTAAGAATAAAGTGTTGCCATCATCAGATATTTGAGCTGTTTGAACTTATTTCATTTCTTGTTCAAATGGCTTCTCCACCCAAACCCTGGGAGGTCAATGCTGGCGGTACGGCGTTGCCGCAAACTAGTAGTAGTACTGGAGCCGTTGGAGCAGTTGGAAATGGACTACCCAGTCGTTCTCAAGCACCCTCTCGTCCTCACAGACCAGGTGTGTGATAAATGGCGAGTATTATTCACAGTTTGTCCAAATACAAAAAGCGTGTCTTTGTTTTTTTGAACTTCACGCACCTAGTGTGGACGGGTAGATGTACGGGCTTGTATTACACTGTGCAGTGTACATGTAGATAGAGCGATCTGCCAAGATCACGTGGGCTATGCGTATGTATGTGCCTGTGCTTGTGCCACCGCCTAGATCAAGCCTATTCCATATCGAAATTTCTGAAACCTAGAGGCTAGAACTCTGATCGCACGTACCCCCACCCCCTCATGGAGTCATGGGCAGCAGCAAAGTGTACTTAACTACTTAGGCTGTGTTTACATGAAGCGTTTCAACCCGGGTTGAGTTCGACCCGGGTCAGATTTCAACCCGCCATGTGCACAAAATGAATGGCGCGTTTACATGACGCATTGCGCTTGACCCGGGTTGAAATTTCGCCCCGGGTTGATTTCAACCCTCCCCCCCCCCCCCCCCCAAGGGGAGGGTTGAAACCAACCCGGGTCAAGAAAATCGTACAAACGTACTTCTGTGCGTATCTCGCGCCAGGTTTGAACTGCATAGATGCAAATTTCGCGCGAACGGATTCACGTGACCATACAGGACTGTAGAAGTGGACTTTTGGCGGCATATCAGTATTTGACCCGGGTCAACTGTCTTCATGTAAACGCTCACCTCTTTTGTCTATCGTACAAACTTTCAACCCGGGCTGAACTCGACCCGGGTTGAAATTTCTCATGTAAACACAGCCTTAGTATTCGAGGTACTCATTGTCCTAACATACTTCAGTATGGGATCAAATCGATACGCCCGTGCTCTCCGAACAATGACTGATGTCTGTACTACCGTATTTCCCTGATTATAAAGCGCACTCGATTATAATATAAGTCGCACCCCCATTTTCAGGTTTGAGCCATTTAGTTTCGATATATTCACTTCAGTAGTAAGTCATGCTCGGTTGTAAGTCGCACCTCCTTTTTACCCTTGAATTTTAGTGTAGAAAGGTGCGACTAACTTACATTCGGGGAAATACGGTAAGCGAGAGTCTTCTCAGAGTACGCACTACGTGAGTTCCACTGTATGTATTGGATCACAGCCTGAGCTGTGACAGGTCACCATGAATCATTGTTCATCCAACCAGTCTGTAGGTTTGCCGACACAATCACCGTAACAGTTTGTTTCCATAACGACACAGAACCAGACCATGTCTTTACATACATTTAAACCTCAATTGCCGGACAGCTACAAAAATGTAGCCGCTTCGACATTGTTAGGTCTCATCAGCGGAGCTTAGAGTGACTGGTCCAAACCGCTATCCCAATGCTGTTGATCTAATGACCAGCAAATTCCATCTTCATTTGGTGTATCCATTCATCGTACCGTAAAATCCCGCCAGAGCGCCCCTACCTCCGGGACCCTTTGAGTAGGTCCAGGTGGAGAGGGGCGGATGGGCGAGTCCTAGTTGCCGCATTCGGTACTGTACATAAAAAAAGTACTCACCCTATATATATATATATTACTGCGAAAACTGTACGTGCGTCTCGTACACCAACCAAAGGTCAAGAGCAGGAGTTGTGCAGACCCATCAAAAGCCAGGGTTTGTGCGATTCCTGGTCAAGAGGGTGTGAACTGTTGCGTGCATTTCCAACCGGGTCGAGCACGCGTATGCAGTGCGGTACGGCATGACACTTCACAGAGTCATACGAGGATTCTCACTTCCATGACAAGAAGTCAGGGAGGGGCGCATGGGAGAGACGGGGCGCTCTGACGGGATTTTACGGTACAGTGGTCCCTCTATAATCCGCCACCATTTGTGCCACGGAAATCTGCTGGATTAGGGAGGGTGCTGGATTAACAAATCGGATTTACTGCTGCAATGTGCATGAAGAGGACATTTTGGCTACTGAAAATTGTGCTGGTTTATCGAGGGTGCTGGTTTATAAAGTGCTGGATTAAAGAGGGACGACTGTACTTGTAATACTACAGTACTGTGCGGCGCCGAAGAATGGCCAGGCTAGAATTTCATCAAGCACAGCATACCAATGTACACATGGTGACTCAACTGTGCATACACTGTGAATAGTCTGTAATACATGATGATAAGAACGGTCTAGGCTAGGAGGCTGACCCCCCCCCCCGTTCTTCGGCGACCGGCAGTACTGTCAGCCTCTTTTACGGGCAAAATAAACACAATGAATATTTTTTCCCAAGTGTTCCAAAAACTTCAACTCAAAGTTCTAGAAAGAAAAAGGAAAGAAAAAACATGCAAAAAAACACAACATAATAATGTATATACCTACTTAGGTAAACAGCAGCAAGTTCAACTTCAAGTCAATATTCCAGTCACTGTTACCGCTCGTGCACGCTAAGCCGGTACCCGGGCCTCTACCACTGCCAGCACAGTACTGTAGCCTTTCGACCAGAAGAGATTAAACGACAATTGTTCACACTAACACGAACAGTTCACCAGCAACACTCCACACAACAGCAAGTAGTCACTCCTGACAAACCTTTTTTTCGTTCCATCATGCATCACTGTTTGCGACTTGGGATGCTGCGGCTCCGAGTCCATTCAACGAGGGAAGCCAAACTATTATTTACCACTGTGGTGTCCTGTGTGTGTGTGTGTGTGTGCGCGCGCGTGTGTGCTTGTATGGCGTAATTGTGTCTGCCGTTCACGTTTATGCCTGTCAACCACTCGACGCACTGTTGTGTCGTTGTTCTTAACTTCCTGAAATCCTCTCCACCTAGGCATGGCGAATGGCCCTCGCAACGGTGCGTACGGTACGGGCGCCATGGGTGGCCTGGGCGGAGGACTGGCTGGTGGCGGTTACGGCGGCTTGGGTGGTGGCTATGGCGGAATGGGCGGCTATGGCGGAATGGGTTCTTACGGAGGCCTCGGTGGTGGTCTCGGTGGTGGAATGGGCGGTTACGGCAGCATGGGCGGGTACGGCAGCTATGGTGGTCTGTCGGGCTACGGCTCGCCATTCGGAGGTGAGTGATGAATGCTTTAATATGATGCTAATGTTACCAGTGCTGCCAGTGCTGCCAGTGCTGCCAGTGTTACCAGTGCTGCCAGTGCTGGGACTGTTGTGTCTGTTGTTAAGTTACTGTGAGCAGCATTGGCGTTGTCTTTGTGAGTCTACAGTGAAACCTGTGACTAACGACCACCCCTTGGGGCCAGAGAAAGTGGTCTTTAGTGGCAGGTGGTCCTTAGTTAGAGGTTTGCACCGTACAACCATACAGAGAAAACAGTAACTAACGACTACCCCTTGGGGCCCGAGAAAGCGGTCTTTAGTGGCAGGTGGTCCTTAGTTAGAGGTTTGCACCGTACAACCATACAGAAAAACCTGTGACTAACGACCACCCCTTGGAGCCCGAGAAAGCGGTCTTTAGTGGCAGGTGGTCCTTAGTTAGAGGTTTGCACCGTACAACCATACAGAGAAAACAGTAACTAACGACTACCCCTTGGGGCCAGAGAAAGCGGTCTTTAGTGGCAGGTGGTCCTTAGTTAGAGGTTTGCACCGTACAACCATACATGCATATGAATGTGAGACCGTCTGTGCCTGGCAAAGTGGTCTGTAGTAGCAGGCTGGTCGCTAGTCACGGTGGTCTTTGCTGACAAGTTTTACTGTGCTAGTATTAGGATTGTGCTGGCTCATGGCATATGCAATCTACCTGGGGCACCACACCCGCCATACTGAGATTATGTGGTCGGCAATCATGCTTGTGTTCATTCTGCACTTTCTTCACACACACACACACACACACACACACACACACACACACACACACACACACACACACACACACACCCGCATTCGATAGCCAAACTTGTAAACATGGGCCTTTCCTTGAATCAATTCAAGTCATGTTCATGATGCACCCGGGGGGTATATTTGCTTAGTTCGTATCCAGGTGGAGGGAGTGGAGGAGCTAGCACCTGGTCCAGTTTCATGGCTTGCCTTTGTATATGTGTGTGTGTGTGCGCACGCGCGCGCGAGCAAGTGCATTCATGTATGGGTATGTATCTGTGTGCATAACCGCTTGCGCTTGTGTGTACGTGTGCGGTGTGCACGTTTCCTTGTGTGTGTGTTCGTGGGCAACCATGAATGTCGATCTGCTTCAGGCTATTCGAATAACCCGATGCATCAACAGCAGGGACAGCTAGGCGGGAGCCAGTTTGTGCAGAGAGCACAGGTTAGTTGTCACACACATGTGTATGCAGAATTTGTTCTTTTTTCCAGGATTTATCAATGTCAACTCACGCATGCCGCGACGCAGCAGAACCAAGCAACAGGACGATCCGAACAGTTTAGAATTGCCGAACGTTTTTTCGTTCCCGTCTCAACAGAGCAATACAGGGAATGATGGCGTAGTTCCAAGACTACATGGATCTCAGTATCTTGTGTCCGCCTTCCACCTCAAACACCGCAAGCATGCATGTTGTTCATGACTGTACATGCACTCCATGGAAAATTACAATGCCCTGTGGGTTGAAAGCCTTTCACAGCTGCGAGAGTGTGGCCCCTAGCTTCTACCAGGCCTGACAGTTGCCAGGTGCAAGCTGATGTTTTATAATCGCCCACTAATTCTCGATCGGGTTGACGTTCGGCGATCTGGGAGGCTGGAACTCATCGCCGAGGCTGAATATTTGCATTCCAGTTTGTGAACCGAAAAGTGTACTCAAACTCGATTGCAATATCCGTGATGCTAAAGTTTAAAGTTTAAAGCCTTCATACTGTAATTTATGTTGTCTCCCATTCCTGTGTTTCTTTTCTGTGTTTTGCTGCTGCTGCTGCTGCTGCTGCTGCTGCTGCTGCTGCTGCTGTTGCTGCTACCAGGAGAGTACACAAACAGCTTTCCAATCATTGGCGGCCGTAGTGCAGGCTTTCTCAGCTGTAAGTCTATAATATGAGAAGGAACAACAACCTACTCCAACCTCCATCCATGATTTCCCTTGTGTGTGTGTGTGTGTGTGTGTGTGTGTGTGTGTGTGTGTGTGTGTGTGTGTGTGTGTGTGTGTGTGTGTGTGTGTGTGTGTGTGTGTGTGTGTGTGTGTGTGTGTGTGTGTGTGTGTGTGTGTGTGTGTCCCATATGGTGCAGTGGTATGTGCAGTCGATTTCCAATCGAGAGGTTGCGGGTTCAATTCCCGACGATTATGGTCGCACACGTTTTTCTTCTCTTTCTCGGACTCTTCCTGACTTTTCTTTCATTCTCCTGGGTGGTTACCAACAACCAGTGTATGCCGGAGTATGTGGTGTGGTGTGTGTGTGAAGAAAAAAATGGAAAAATGAAAAATAGGGATTCACTGGCCAGAAAAAGTCACTTCAAACAGCTGTGTGGTGGATACCAGGCTAAAAATAGTGGCGGTCAATTCATCAGCCTTGCAAGCTGTTGGATGGTGTAATCCCAGCACAAGTTGCTATGTCTAACATAGCTGTTCGCTATCATCGCTTCCGCGATGGGCATGTCTGAGGTCTGAGGTGTGTGTGTGTATGTGTGTATGTGTGTGTGTGTGTGTGTGTGTGTGTGTGTGTGTGTGTGTGTGTGTATGTGTGTGTGTGTGTGTGTGTGTGTGTGTGTGTATGTGTGTGTGTGTGTGTGTGTGTGTGTGTGTGTGTGTGTGTGTGTATACTTGTGTACATGTATGTATGTGTGTATACTTGTGTACATGTGTGTATGTGTGTGCTTCTCTTTGGCATGTAATGATTGGACTTACTGTTGCTGTGGCTGTAGGTGGCTCTGATGCTCGACTCTACATTCTATGCAGTGTACAACTCATTTCGGTAAGAACCATGGGCCCTGTACTCCCTTTGGCTCTCTCTCTCTCTCTCTCTCTCTCTCTCTCTCTCTCTCTCTCTCTCTCTCTCTCTCTCTCTCTCTCTTTCTCTTTCTCTCTCGCTCTCTCTCTCGCTCTCTATCTATCTATCTATCTCTATCTATTTATCTATCTCTCTCTCTATCTCTCTTTCTCTCTCTCTCTCTCTCTCTCTCTCTCTCTCTCTCTCTCTCTCTCTCTCTCTCTCTCTCTCTCTATCTATCTCTCTCTCTCTCTCTCTCTCTCTCACACACACACGAACGCACGCGCACACACACACTCTCACTCTCTCTCCCACTCTCACTCACTCACTCTCTCTCTCTCTCACTCTCTCTCTCTCTCTCTCTCTCTCTCTCTCTCTCTCTCTCTCTCTCTCTCTCTCTCTCTCTCTCTCTTTGTCTCCCTTTTAATTGTAACTCAACTATCTATTGTGTGTGCACGTGTGAATGACCTTATTTCTTTGTGTGTGTTGGTACTACAGGGCAGTTTTAGGCGTGGCAGTACACTTCAGTCAACTGAGGTAGGCTCCTGTTGCACTGCTTCATGTTTCCGGGATTTATCTGTTTACACACGATGCTGTCTTTAGCACACCCAAATGACCCAACATAATATATGCATCCGCATTGCTTATGGATGCTTCTCAGCACACCCAACGTATGTGTAGTTGCAGTGCTGATTGGTATTGCTTTGTCATTGCGAGAAATTGAATTCGGCTATTGGTGATTACTCAATCTCTAGTCAGCTTCCTGTTTTGACATTCATAGGTCTGATCAGCAAGGCTGAGAATGACTTGATGTTGAGGGCTGGAGTCTACCTGCGTTGTATGCTCTGGGATTTGGTGTCAAAGGCCCCCAACCTGTTACCCCCCCCCCCCCCCCCACACACACACGCACGCACACACCATGCTGTAAAGTTGCATATACTTCAGTAAAAGCATCAAGCTTATTCCAGTGCAAGCTGGCACTAGGGCTAATCTTCCATTGCAACCAGCTACTGTAAGTCTACAAATTTCAGCCCATTCAAATTTCGGCCTCCCGGGGCTAAACAGTGTAAACACACATTTCGGCTGCAACAAAATTTCAGCCCATTCAAATTTTGACCTCCCGGGGCTAAACACGCATTTCGGCTGCAACAAAATTTCAGCCCACCCAAATTTCGGCCTCCCGGGGCTAAACACACATTTCGGCTGCAACAAATTTTCGGCCTGTACTGCTGCTGCCTGTATACACTGTCACACAGGACTTTGCTAAACAAAATTTTCGGCTGCAACAAATTTTCGGCCAAATGTGATCAGGCCGAAAATAGCCGAAAATAAATATGCGCCGAATAATTTGGTTGACTTACAGTATTTTAGCACGAATCTTGAAAATCAGGTGTGTGTTCAAAACTGGCTTTTTCACAAACAGTACGATATGCATGTTCACTGGGTCTGCTCATGTGGATTTTTGTTGCCGAGTTTTTCGCCAATTTCTGATATGAATGGATGCAGCGTGGAATGGGATTGTCTGCCTTTGACCACTTTGGCGGTGGATCTGATCTACTCACCTCCCACTGATTTATGTGCTGCGTCTGTGCCTTGATCCTGGAGGGTGGTGGCGCTCCTCTATAGACCCGGGGAAACTCAGTCTAGCTGACGACAGTACTGTCGGGCACCGAAGAACTCGGGGGTCAGGGTTCTAGCCTAGCCCGTTCTTATTTTTTAGCGAACACAGCAGTTTCGTTCTTATTCAATGGTACAGTCTTACATGTACATTTATGCAGAGTTATACATCTGAGTGTACATTATAGGGTACATTATGGTTTCCGTTCTTATCTGCAAAAATTCCAGCCTACACCGTTCTTAAAAATTGGTGAAATTCTAGCCTGGCCGTTCTTTGGCACACGGCAGTACTGTATCACGCAAATCGTGAATTAATTTTATAAACCCCATGTTGGTGTTTTGTCTGATATCTCATATACTGTTGTGCTGACAGGAATCAACTTGTCGATAGTTTGTCGTCGAATTTTGTGACGAATCTGGCCAGGCGGCTGCTGGGCATTCTCAGGAGAATCCTGGTGTGGCTGAGACTGCGCCAGCCGAATATGAACGTGAGCGCAGTATACTATCGCTGTTAACAGGAGTACGGTGCTGGTCGATGAAATCCCATCAAGCGAGTGAATGCCACGGCCGTGCGCTGTGCAACCCTAGACCTGCGGACGCTTTGATGTGAACAGTTAGAACTGGTGCATGGCGCAAACTTGATTCACGCGATATCGGATTTCATCGAGCAGCACTGTACATAAACCCAAGACTAAACAAGTGTGCAAATGCAAGTTGTGCTCAAATTGTGCTCAAGTTGTGCTCAAGTTGCGCTCAAGTTGTACTCAGAGGTTGTGCTCAGAGGTTGTGCTCAGAGGTTGTGCTCAGAGGTTGTGCTCAGAGGTTGTGCTCAGAGGTTGTGCTCAGAGGTTGTGCTCAGGTAGGGGGACGGAGACTCCCTCGATTTAGGCTAAGGCCTGTGGAGAATCCATACAGGTTGTGCTCAGGTTGTGCTCAAGTTGTTCTCAGGTTGTGCTCAGGTTGTGCTCCAGTTATGCTGAACGCAGCTCCTTTTAAACATGCCTGTATAAACTCTGATCAGCCCCAGAGGCAGAGGGTGAGGCAGCTATCCGGGCCGGGGTGTTCTTCTAGACCATTCTGATTTGTCGGCATCAGTAGAACACTTCTCTGTTAGGTATTGCTAGTTGCCACTTGCATGCTGTGTGGAGGTTGCCTTTTAGGGTCATTGGTAATGTCACATTGTGTGTCAATGTTTATTCTATGGTGTTCCCACTGTGAGGATATGCTATACGCGGCACATAATACGTTTGCCACTCAAAAAATTCTATATATTATGGGGTTTCTGTACGCACTTTACCCATATATGGGCACCTTGCCACTCAGCTGGCTCGGATATAAGGCAGATTTAATGTCCTTGCATATCCTCTATTGTGTGGTTGCTGCAGGACACAGTGTGGCAAGAGGTTGGTGGTGCCACCGTAGAGTCTGCTGCACGGGCTGCTGCTGCTGCTGTTTCTGGTGATCGCTCACCGAGGTGTGTCATACATACATGCGTGTGTGGGGGGGGGGGGGGGGGGGCGTGCAGTACATTCACAGCATGGAGATAGACCATGTGATGTTCGGCATGTATCGACTACTAGTACCATTTTCCAGACTTTTTAACTGTATATGCTCGGGCTTTGCAATCTCGTCAGCCCCGACTCAATAGTTGTTTGTTCTGTCAACCCTCAACTTCTGTGTTCTAGTCGTATCTTTGTCCTCCCTTCAATTCTGTTATCTTTCTTGTTATTAACTTTTGTCTGAAGCCAGGTTTGTGTTCATTGTAAACAATTAAGGAAGTGTGAGTTACGAAGTGTGAAGAAAATGTTCAATGGTCTCTACTGGGATGACGGCTACACCATAGCTCAGTGGTTAGAGCACCGCTGGCTTCAAAGGTCCCTGGTTCGATTCCTGGTGGTGACAGTCAATTTTCTTCTGTAGACTTTTCCCTTTTCCCGTTTGCATATTTCCGTCAACCCAGTGGATAAAAAAATTAAAATTCCATTGTTGATGCGTATGCCCCTACAGGCCTGGTTCATGGCCAATCTTGGTCTTCTTTGGAGTAGCACTTGGGGCTCCGTGGTTGATCTGGACACTGCTGAAGGGCAGTACCGATGGTGAGTGACTCAACCTTTCAGTAGTCATTTCTGACTCGTTTATGCTGTTGCTGTTGCTGCTGTGTGCTATTGCTGCTGCTGCTGCTGCTGCTACTGCTGCATTATGAATCATCGCAATCCTATCATGCTTTCTTACTCTGTTCTAGATTAGTGTTTGCTATCGTGTACAAAGTGTAGTGTAAAACCGATCGCTTCTACAGGGTGTTCTGTGTATGTGTGTTTGCATGATATTGAAAAGTGTGCATTTATGTCTGCACGGCTACTGTTTGAGTATCGGTTTCCGTGCTTGCTTGCTTGCTTGCGTGCGTGTGTGTGTGTGTGTGTGCGTGTGTGTGAATGTGTGTGTGTGTGTGTGTGTGTGTGTGTCATCTCCTCTGTGTGTTTGCAGACTCAGCATCCGACCAGCCTAATGACTGGTGAGTCACTGACTGTGTGCTCTCCGTTTACACGGCATGCTTTTTAGCGGCACAGCCAAGATTTCCTTAAGCATTGTCCACAGTATGTGATCAACCTATCAAGACCTTTCATAGCACTTCATGCCCTGTCCATTTATTTATTTTTATTTGCTGTCTGCACTTCATGGCACATAATGAAAATATCCAGTACAAGGAAGGAAATGAGGGTGAAACCATCCACGGACATCCTCTGTCCATGCTGCACGTGATCACCCACATCGTGATTAGTCATCTCGTGGTAGTCGCAGTGAAAAAATTTGTAGCTTGTGATTCCACCGCTATGTCTAAGCAGCACAGAATACCAAATACAGTAAAAGCTGTTAAGGCGACCACTCAGATAAGGCGACCACCTGTCCCAGAAGACCACTGAAACCAGGACCAAGGGATGCTATTTCCAGTCAAAAACGACCCTGGATAAGGAGACCACCTGGTTACAGAGACCACATTTTTGAAGGACCCTTGAGCGGTCGTCTTAGACAGGTTTCACTGTACAGAAATCATGCTCAGGCAGTCACATTTGGCTTTCTTCCAGTTAGTAGTCGTCAGGAGTGAAAGGTCAATGTGTTTTCTTTCGTGGACATCCGCAAGGATACTTCTTGATGCACTGTTTACCTTGCCGGCAATTTGCTGCGAGAGTCGGCGAAACCCCGGCGGTTAGTTGCATCTCTTGAAGTGACCAGACGCGACCCCAGCCAGACACAATGACGAACACTGCTCAGTCATTCACTGGCTGTCTGTGTAGAGCGTACAGGATAGAGAACCATTTCTGTAGCCTTCCAAGGACACTGAGCATTTCTTCTGCTGTTGCTCTGCGAAAAGTTGAATACGTCTTGCTGCTGGTGGTGGGGGCTGAATATAGAACTAATAGAAAATATGTAATGACTTCAAATCTGCCTTAGATGGGAGGTAGCTGAGTGGCGAAATACCCATTTATGGGTAAAGGACGTACAGAAACCCATGTAAAAGAACTTTGAGTGGCAAGGGTACTAAGTGACGTGTACTGCATATCCTCCATAGCATCTCCCTGGCCTTGCCTTCCTGTTGGAAATGATAAAAGTGGAACAACATCGGCGACGATGATATGTCCTGTAGTTGTTGATTGACTTCCGTAGCCTCAAGCTCTATGTTTTTGTGTACCGCTGCTTGGCCCAGCATCTTGCTAGTCCTCTTCTTCAGTCTTTGTACCAGCTTCGGGCAACTGCACCTGGTCACCAGGCATGCACCCGGGGCAAGGCACAAAGAGCCCTAGTTCTCCCACTCGTTTATACGCGGTATGGCATGCGCTCTATTTCTTTTCTGGCGGCAGGCAGGTGGAACTCTCTTCCAGCTGACTGTTGACAGGCCCACACTCTTGCTCTGTTCATTAATATGGTTAAACTTCACCTAGGGTTCCCAGTAAAAAGGCAGTAGCCTGTTGGGACTCCCCTAGTAAAATAATAAAAACTACTACTACTACTACTACTTTCACAATTCTTGTTGTCTTGTGTGATCTGGTGCTGTGCTGTGCTGTGCTGTGTGGTGCAGGGTGAATGGTGTTGGGGAACACTACCGTGCCGTAGTCATGTTTGATTTTGAAGCGGAGAACCAGGACGAGTTATCAGCCAAGGCTGGAGAGCAATTGGTAAGAAAATGTAATTACGGCTTCAGCTTTTCTTCACCTCTCCTTCTATTGTCTCTCTCTGTCTGTGTGTGTTTGTCTCTTCTCTCTCTCTCTCTCTCTCTCTCTCTCTCTCTCTCTCTCTCTCTCTCTCTCTCTCTCTCTCTCTCTCTCTCTCTCTCTCTCTCTCTCTATCTATCTATCTATCTCTCTCTCTATCTCTCTCTCTATCTCTCTCTCTCTTTCCTGATTTTCTTACTCCATATATGCCAGTGTCGTGAACAGAACTCCTTGCTATCTGAGAGGTGTACACGGTATGTGCGTGTGTTTGCATACTTCCTCCGTTAACAAAAACTTCGTGATGGATTTTGATGGATATGAAAACGCTTAGAACAGGTCAAGAACAGTTTGTATCGACTGCAAATCACTGGACGAAGGTGACTCAGGCTATGACTCTGTACAGCGTCTTTGCAAGAGACATTGTTGGCGGAATGAGCAGAGAGTTCAGTTTGCGTCGCTTTCGCTCGACTCATTTTTGACCTGCGTCGCTGTCGTCATCTGCTGCACGCGAGTCGTCATCTCTCTCGAGTCGTTCCGCTCGTTTCAGCCTTGCCTCGGCTTCTTTGATCACACTCCGCTGACCTTGATGTCACCGTCGTTCAAGTAAGTTGGCTTTCAAGCTGCGTGATCCGCCGCGATGGCGATTACTCGTTTCCACCAGGGAGTCGTGAAACATATTTTACGACTCCCTGGTTTCATCGTCGCTATCTAGAACTCCGTGAAACGAGGAGTAAAGGCACAGCCAAACTGATTCCATTTTCTCTAATGGATACCCCTGCCAGCACTGAACGGCAGCGGCTAGCGAGTCCAATCGACTTTCTTTAGCCATGAGACTCGCATCGGACTGCAGACTTCCTGAAAGAATGCATGGTGATCATCATTCGAATCTGGGCTTTGCGCAGGTTGAACGAGAACTTGAGAAGTTGAGTTCAGAATTATTTTCATTGAGCCGTGCGATCGGAGCAGCTCCTTGTTCACTCGCTCATTGTGTGGGCTCGATGCTCCATTTTATCGCTCTCTATCGCTCTCCAACTTACTTAGTGCTAAAGTGGTAGAGAGGCCAAGCAGCGCAATATATCCCTCGGAGAAGTGGTATTTCAATTTCGCTCGCCATGACCAATTATGACTGTCATCACCTATGTTTCCACAGCGCAACCATCGATTCCGCTTGGCTTGTTGTGAAAGGTCGCTTGCCTTGCATCGTACCTCTTTCATGGCATGCCAGGGAAGGCCAAGAAAGTCATTGCGACTCATTTCACAGCAGTTTGTGCCCAAATAAGCCCCTCAAAAATCCATCACGAAGTTTTTGTTAACGGAGGAAGTATGTGTTTGTGCACGCGTGTGTGTGTGTACACGTAAATGTGATGCAGAATGTTGCACCTAGATCTCAACAGCCTCACATCCGTGGATGGGTGTTAGCAGGTATCAATGACAGACGCGGGTAAGTGTCAGCAATAGCGATGTAACGAATAATTGATTATTCGAATTTCCTCGATCTCTTGGACCTCAACGGATAATCGATCGGATAAAATCCAGGTAGAAGGTTCGATAATTCGAATATTCGAGGGCGGGCGAAGTCCATGCGCTGCATACCGCGCGCGCGACTCTAGATCTCTCGGCTTCAATGCATAAACTTTGTACTGTGTTGCAGACAACGACTAGACTACTGTAAAAGCAGAAATTTCCGGTGGTGTTTTATTTTCGGTAACTTCGGTGCCGAAATTTTCACCGAAAATAAAACACACCAAAAATGTCGGTATAGTACTAGTACACTTACCTGGAACGCGGGTTTACCGAAAATTTCCCTCCGCCGAACCGCCGATTTTGGAGAATACCGAAAATATTACACCACCGAAAATTTCTGCTTTTACAGTACGTGTGGTAGACCATTGTAGACTCTACTGTGACTCGAGTCTGAGCGCTTGTGTGCTGTGTGTGTTTGCTATTATGTACACTTTTTGTGGAATAGTAGAATAATTGTTTGTTCGCTTGAGCGGTGTTCGCTAGATTATTCGTTCGTAAAATTCATGGTTCGTTACATCACTAGGACTCAGCAACTGTGTCAGCCTTTGCATTGCTAGGAACACAGGCTGCGTCATGTGCTATGGCTGTCACTGCCAGCTTGAGCACTCACTCTCAGTGCAGGTTGGCTTCCACATGTCTTTCTAAGAAAGTTTCTACACAAGAGAGAGACTGGAAGCTGTGTCGCAACTCTGAGTTTTTCACGTATCACTACGATCATCAGGCAACTGATGGCTCTGAAACGGGCAGCCTGAACATAAGGAAATACAGTTTCTATGCATCACAGCAGAGCACAAAATGATAGTTGGCCTGCCACCGTGAATCCAAGGGCTGATGGTCAAGTGTCTCATACTTGTACCTCTGGAACGCTGTGAAATGTCTTGCCCATACAGGCCAGTCTTACTGTCTACAATAGTACAAGTAGTATAATCGTCTCCTGGTTCTATTGAGAAGACTTCCGCACAGTGTGTAGCTGAAGACTCCACATTCCGAACACTTGCTACTGGACTGTCACCCCTAGCTTTTTATTTATTTATTTATTTATTTATTTATCGTCTCCACTTCATGGCACATAATAATACATAGCCAATACAAGAAAGGGAGGGTGAATCCAACCACGGAAAATAACATTAACAAAAGAAGAAAAGGAAGGTGGGTGACACCATGTGTCAACAGCAGGTAGCACAATACTATTTTGGCTGAAATACGTCCTTAAAAGCTGAGAAAGACTGTGAACAGCGAATATTATAAGAGAGAATGAGCCAAAATGTGCAAGCCATAAAGACCGGTGATTTGATCATTAGGGACAATCGAGGGGAAGGTAATGATACCTGGTGTCTTGTATTCCTCTCTCGCTGGAACCAATCATATTTCTTGAAGTGCCTGGGAATTTGCTTAAGATAAATTTTCTGAACGAGTGCACACAGGTGTGCTTGGCGCTTATCAGCAAGTGGAGAGGAGGCTACGAGAGAGTACAATTATATGCTTACTGTTATGCATGAGGGATTTTCCAAATAGCCGTTTAATTATTTTTCTATGGTGAATTTCAAGCTTGGAAACAGCAGCTGCACTAAGACCACACCATGCTATGTCAGCGTAATCAAATAAAGGCAAAATATAGCATCGGTAGAATAGAATTTTGCAACTGTTTGGGAGATGGAAAAATGAGAGAGCAAGGCTCCAAGAGCAGAGCTGGTACGACAACGCACAGAATTCATATGTTCCGACCACGAAAGAGCAGAATCAATCACTACTCCTAGGTTTTTGTGACTGCTCACCATCTCAATAAGCTGGGGAGCTCCTGGGAAATACAACGCAATGTTATCTGCCGACGCACAGCCGATGATAAGGGCCTTGGTTTTGTTGAGATTGGGGGATAGGTGCCAGCGACGCGGCATCCAGGACACGACCTTTTCCATGTCCAGCTGTAGAGATAGGTGAAGTTGCTGAAGTGAGGCTTCGAATTTCATGAGCGCAGTATCATCAGCATACAAGGAAGTACAGTGTATCGGGTACATCACTAGGCAAATCATTGAGTTAAATAAAATGAATAACAGAGGACCTAATAGCAAGCCCTGTGGCACTCCCGAAAGAACAGGTAGGGGTTGGAGTACATATTATCTACAGCTACAATTTGGAACCTATCTGTAAGATAGTCAGCCAGCCAACTCAAAGCTAAGCCGGCTACACGAAAAGAATGAAAAAGCTTGGAAAGCAGAACTCGGTGCCACACCGTGTCAAAGTCCTTGGCCTAATCGAAGAAACACAATCCAACATACTCCCCTTGTCCCGAGATGAATAAATATCTTGCATAATGCGGCAGAGTTGAAGGACGGAGTCACGTCTACAGAAACCAGACTGATTGGAACTGAGCGCAGGCTGAACATGGGTGTAAAGTGTTTCAAAGAAAATTCGCTCACAGACCTTGGATATGCAACTTAGAAGTGAAATCGGGCGATAATTAACAGGGTCAGATGGGGAGCCTTTATTCTTAAAAATGGGAATGATTATGGCATGCTTCCAAGCGGAGGGAAACTTTCCGGTAGAAAACGAAAGATTAAATAGGAGACAGAGGGGAAATGCAATTGATGGGCATAGAGCCTTGAGGATATCATTGGACAAGCGATCCATTCCGGGCGATTTTTTTGGCTTAGATTTTCGTATGTACGTACGTACCGTAGACATGGTAGTGTACACGTGAGTTAATGGTGCTGTGACAGCCGGATGCTGCGGTAGAGCAGGATAGGGCCAAGAGGGATCGTCAACAACAGCAACCGATGCAAACTGCTCGTTCAATGCCGCCGCCTTTGAGACGGGGTCAGTGGCTAGAGGGCCGGAAGGGGGCTTAAGATCCGGTATATGAGCGCTTTTTCCATTGGCACGCGGACTACGTACAAACTGAAACAAAGAAGGACGTGTTGAATCGGTCAAAGATGACTGCACGGAACGGACATATGACCGATGTGCAGACCTGGATAGAGAGCAAACTAGATTCCGCTGAGCTATAAATTAGGGCTGAACGATTATACCGAATAATCGAGTACTCGTTTGATAACTCTAACGATCGAGCAATCGTTTAGATTACCGATTACGATTATTTTGCGTTTTTTAAATTTGTGTCAAGAAAGTACTGTAAACCCTCGTTTTGTGAAGTTTGAATCAGTTTCCGCTGGGAGTATGCAGTTGCCAGGGGTATGGTTCATGTTCTGAGGTTAAATTGACTTCAAAACTGCCATGTTTCGGAGCTACCCTTTCACTAATGCAGATTTGTTGGTATTATGAAGGCATAGTTTGTGGAAACAGTAATGTTTGCACAGAATTATGACTCTATTTGCTAACGAATATAATCGATTACTCGATCGTTAAGCTAAAGAGTAATCGATACTTGAAAATCCACGATCGTTTCAGCCCTACTTTGAATGCTATATTGTTCATTTCCGTGTGGTACTTTTTAACCACACTGTATAGGTCGTGTTTACGCTTGACGCCTTTAATCAGATCCTTGCTGGCCCATGAAGGAAACTTCGACCGTCTCCGGGCTCCGGAGGATAATTCACCATGCATGCGAGTCGTTGTAAGATACTTAGTAAACACATCGTTTACCTCCCCATGAAATTGCTGTAGTGCTATATCAGGGTCAGTACTGGACAACAGCGCGCGCCAGTCCCGTTGCGTCAGTTCATGGTTCAGCAATGTCCAGGTATCCTGAGAGACATTCCGGAAGCAAAACACAACTTCATCGGAAGGAGAAGCTGATGAAGTCACAGTTTTCATTGAATCAGAGCACAGAAGAGGATCAAGACGAAAAACCAGCTGCAGGTGATCCGAGGCACCTAGCGGGGCATCGGTGCCGATATCCAGGACAAGATTGGGACTATTTGTTACAAGGAAATCAAGACAGGAGGATTTGCCGGAAGGGGCTGTGTGTGTGGGGAAATCAACCAACTGCTGGAGGCCATAACTGCGAAAAAGGAGATCTAGTTCAGTACCAAGTGGAGAGTGGGGGTCTGAGGGACACCAGGCAGGATTGTGAGTATTGAAGTCTCCTGTGATGAAAACTGTGGTTGATGGAAGGTCAGCAGAATCCAGAGCATCTTCTAACATGTTACAAAAGTGTGAATAAGATTCAATTGCACTACCGGAGGGAGGCCGATAAATACAGCAAGCCAGAATAGACTGGTTCCATGTTCCAGTTTGCAGCTCTACCCACACCATTTCACACCGACGTCTAGACAGATCCGGTCTAGGTTTGATCACTTTGAAAGAGTCCTTATGTATCAGTAAAGCAACCCCGGCATAGCCTCGGGTTGCGTCAGTTGCATGACGATTGTCGTCTACAGGTCTATCGCGGCGGAAGCAAGTATAGCCTGGCACTGAGAACGGCTGATCTGGCGCTAGCCACGTCTCCGTTAGACAGTCAATACTGGGATTCAGTTGGGAGATATTAACGTGCAGTTCGGCCAGTTTATTACTTATGGATCCGCAGTTGGTTGTGAGGATTACTGGCTTATGACGACGTGGGATAATCGGGACAGGTCTTGCAGACAATTGTGGTAGGAAGGGTGTAGCATGAGGGTTTAGGTGTGACCGAGAATCCATCAATTGCTAGCGGAGTCGGCATAGCGCCATTTGCGGACGGCGTGCGCAATGGTGTAGGGCCAGAATTCCTTTTCAAGCAGCGTTTGCTCAAACTCTTCCGCGACAGAAACGTGTGTATAGCAGGTACTAAAGTATTGGGTTTCGGCAATTGTGCATGCGTATACATCAACGCCCCTATCAGCACACCAGGTTACAATGGACTGTGCCTTACTTCCAGGACTAACATTCCCGACAAAGAAGGCACATCGCTTGGGAAGATGTGTGCCAGTGAGTGTGTTGGGGTTGGGGTTTTCTGTGGCCATTTTTCTGTAGACAGACACAACTTTGGATTTTGTTGCTCGGGCAATGGGATCGCTGTGGGCCGCTGATTTATTGCTCCTTCGCCGCTGTTCTTGCCAGTTGTTCTGATGGGGATCGCCTTCTGGGCTCCCAGCAGCACCCTGAGTACATGTGGGCTGTACTGGTGCACCACCGGCGCCTGCTGTTGTAAGTGCGCCCCCAGTTGTTGCATTTCTACCAGTGTGTACGAGTATGTTCCTGCGTTCCATGTGGTTGGTGTAAGGTACGGTGGCCCTGCTAGTGCTAGTTGAACTGCTGTGTAGAGTGCGTGCATCCTCTTCTGGCTGTGTGCTGTTCGTACTCACTGTACGAGTACAACGGGATTGCATGTCTGGAGTGTCGCAGTGTACGGGTTTGGATGAACCATTGTACTGCTGCTGGTGAAGCTGTTGCACTTCCCCCTTCAGCTCCGAAATTTCCAGCTTCAAGGAAAAAATTATGCTATCCCTGTCCTCCCTCATGGAGGCCATCTCCCCTGCCAAGGCCTGGATAGTGTTAGCAAGGCTATCTAGCTTAGGGTCATTAATCCACGACGTACCGGTGTCAGTGACGGGCTTCACTCCAACGCCGTGCTTCCGCAGTGTCTGCACCAGCTCTGGCCGGGCGAGGCTCGAAGGGGAGTCCAGGGACTTGCGTTCAGCGATGGCGATTAGTTCCTGGTACCCGATCAGGGCAAGATCAAGGTTCTGGTCCAGGGACATTCTTAGTTTAAGCAAGGACAAAGGTAGAAGGGTAAAACTGCTGCGGGGGGCTCCCGGAAAGCTGTTCCGAGGAGCACCAAAAACGTCAACCACCCCCTGAGATTCAAATATACTACTTATAATATAAGCTTGATATCCATGACTATCAGGAAACCATTTGCAGTCATCCCTGCCAACATGCTGCTGTACACAGGTGGCTGTAATGTCAACTGTGTTCCCGTTCCAAAGCCCATAAGGATCCTAGGCTTTGTATCGAACGCTAATCTCTCTCTCTCTCTCTCTCTCTCTCTCTCTCTCTTTCTCTCTCTCTCTCTCTCTCTTTCTCTTTCTCTCTCTCTCTCTCTCTCTCTCTCTCTCTCTCTCTCTCTTTCTCTCTCTCTTTCTCTCTCTCTTTCTCTCTCTCTTTCTCTCTCTCTCTCTCTCTCTCTCTCTCTCTCTCTCTCTCTCTCTCTCTCTCTCTTTCTCTCTCTCTTTCTCTCTCTCTTTCTCTCTCTCTCTCTCTCTTTCTCTCTCTCTCTCTCTCTCTCTCTCTCTCTCTCTCTCTCTCTCTCTCTCTCTTCCTCTCTCCCTCTCTTTCTCTGCTTCTCAATCTTGTGTTTGTTCTTTAGACTTATTCCTATGGATTACATCAAGCTTGTCCAGTCCGTTCCTGGATCTGCTCCCGGTAACAGTGCTCCTGCTACCGCGGCTGCTGCTGCTGGTACCTCTCCTGGTGCCGCTGCTGCAGCTCCATCCATTCCATTTCCTCCTGCGGCAACAGCAGCAGTGAGCAATGCCAATGGGGTCCCTTCGACGGCTGCAGTTTCATCATTACCATCAATACCATCCCCTGCACCTGCAGCAGCGGCATCGTCAGCAGAAGCGAGATCAGCTATTCCAGTGACTAGTCAGCCAGGCAAGGCCGCATCAGCTAGCGAAGCTGATAAGCCATTATAGTTATTCTCGTAACATGAAATACACGGCGTGCAGATTATCCAATCTCTTCATCTCAACCTATGCAGACCATGCAGTGGCATGGCCGCTTGAATTATACTGATCATACAACACACACAGTTTACATGAGAATACGATCAGAAAATATTTTGAGGATTAAAGCCTATACACACACGCGCACGCGCGTGCGCCCGCGCGCGCTGCGCATACAATTGCTTGCCGTTGAAACTTCCCTGTAGCTAGCCAGTTGCTGAGCTTGTCACTGAGGCAAGCTAATCAGCCATCATGCATGCTTGCTGATCGCTTTTTAATTTTGTAATTTGCTACTTTGATTAGAATAATTATTAATGGTGCCGGTACGGTACACATTGAACTGGCTGTTTAGCGCACTTGACGAGGAGTAATTTGTTGTTTTTGTTGACCCTGTGGTTGTGTTTTCTCCTGTTGTTTTGCAAAGCTGCTGTCAGTGTGCTTTAGCAAGAGTGTTTCACTTTGTTAGTATTGTTCTGTCATCTTTAGGTTACATTCTATCAAGAGTACATAACCCCCCCAGAGTATGCAACACCTGATCCAGCTCTGCATAGGGTCTTGGTCGAGCGTAATAGTATCTTTGCGTCATAATACCGTACACACCTGAGGACAACCCGGGGAGTCGCAGAGACTCTTGGATCAAAAATAACGGTGCCCTGCCCTCGAGACCGGCCTTTTTCTCTGGTGTGGAGTGTACGCATGATATCAGAAGATCCGACTACGCTCGACCAAGACCCTATGCAGAGCTGTATCAGGCGTTGCACACTCTGGGGGGGGGGTATGTACTCTTGCTTCTATCGGTGACACTGCTGCATTTGTTTATTTCTCTTCAGACAATGACCAGATGACCGTGCTCGGTGTCTCTGCGGCCTATAACCAGTGTACCACTGCAAGCTGCTGAAATGGCTGGGCCGAGCTTGGGGGGAGAGAGACTTGCACAATCATGTAATTGTTGTGTTTTTCAGTAACCAAGGTAACATCTCAACAGGTCGACTAGTGCCTAGGACTACACGTAGGCGATGGATCCGTGCAACAATTACATGCATTCACTCAGGGATAGCCAGGCCAGGGACAACACTACAAGAGCAAAGTAATCATAACTGTACTTGAATGCTTAGCACTCCATGTATGGGAATTGGCACCTCTCGCCATACCACGGCTGAATGCTAGCACAAAGCAAGATACAGCAAGAGCCTAGCACGAATAGTGTTCACTCTCCAAGTCCAAGGCAAGAGTGACTGTGTGGTATGTAGCACGAAGATACTTAAAGTCTTTGAAGTATGTGCATGGGAAATCCTAGACTGCATGCCTGTCACCGTGGTCACGACACTACTTCAAGTACTTGTACGTAGTCTGTTATGACACCGACTGACGAGTGACGTAACTACAGTGCTGGGAACTGAAATCCGACTCCCTAGCGGTGCACTAGCCGCGTTAGCGATTCGTACGAGACGCTAGGGGTCGGATTTCAGTTGCCAGCACTGTATTATCAAGAGTACATAACCTGATAACCCCCCTTGGGGTTATGTACTCTTGGCACACATACAGCAGCATGACTGGTCTAGGTCTACCTTTGATCTGATCTGATCACTTTGCGGTGTGCATAAAATAATACGTCTAAAATCTATCCTGTACAAAACACCACACGTAACCTCGTTTGTTTTTATCAGGAAGGCGTGATAGCTTTTGCGACTCCCATGCCCAGACCCAGCTACATAATATTGTAGGTTTTATTATTGTAGTGAACATTTTCTGCGAAGGACAGAAAGTCATTTTTCTTCTTGATATGAGCGCTAGTCAAGCCAGCTAGCCCAGTGCAGTAGCGTCTCTACCCGTACCGGCAGGCTATGGCCAGTTGTTGGCTGTCATCCTGTCATATTCTAGTGTCGAGATGGCCCAAGGGCCGAGAACGGTGCCTCGGCAATGAAGAACTGGAGGCATGACCAGCGCCTCTCCTTTTGGGGGCATAAACAGGAGAATTTCTTGTCACAACGCTCAGCTGAACAGCATAAATCTTCTGATTTGTTCTCATTCTGCGAGAGGGAGAACCGCACTACGACCTTTCTAGCGGTTATTTGCCTACACAACGGAGACAGTGTGTACTTTGGAGCGGTCCCTCAGGGTTTGACCGGTCGCTATGTTTGCTCGCATTGCGACGCTGCTCTGCGCCGCTGTTGCTTGTGCGACGGCAGCAAGCAATTGTCCAGTCGGCCATGACGCTGACTGTGCTCCGTACGACCTTAGATGTAAGTGGTCAACTACATGTACGCGGCTACGCTCAGCGCACAACGTACACTGATGAATGCGGCTTGCAGGGTTCTACTTCTAGCCAGGTCATCTGGGGAATTATCGATAAAATAAAATTTATACAATACAACACAAAAATTAATATTAATAGTAGGCCAGGGAGGGAGGGGAGGGGGGGGGGGGGGCAGGGGAACAGCTACCGCAGGGCGTAGCGTAGCCCTTTTCATTCTGCTTTGGAAGATCATGTGACGCAACATAGTGTACTGAATTCACCCTATTTATATTTTTGAAGCCAATGATACTGGCTCAGCCAGCTCTTTTTACTTGGAATTGTACCTGCAAACTGCACTCAGAAACGAGTCAAATTCAGCAGACTATACATCATTCTCCTTTCATCTTGAACTACATGACTGATTGTACTGTCGTGGACATGGAAATCCAGTCGTTTGACCGGGGCCGGCGTCCTCAGACTCAGTGCACATAGAACGTTGCATGCCATGCACGTGTTGATCCGATGCGACCAGCGCGCTACAACGCATAAAGTGAAGGTGCGTAGTCTACCACACGAGTACTCAAGGCTGCATGGCCAGCGCCCTGTGGCGGCTAGACGTGCGACCGGATTTCCATGTCCACGACAGTACTATCGGCTGCTTCTCACAAACGTTCTGCTGGAGGCTCTGACATTTTGACTTGCAAACAAACATGCTTCTTTTCCTCGAATGGCAGGGAGCAGCACGTTAGTTGGAAGAAAAACAGCACAGTGTAGTCACTTCACACTCAGCCTGGAGCAGTAAAACACCGGTAGTACTCCCTGCTTCACACTCAGCCTAGTGATCATCACGTGGTGTATTAGCAGTCAAGCTGGACTGGAGAAGTATCGCATGCCGAATAGGGCAAGGTGTCTGGGAAGCGCCAATGACCGAAGAACCAGGGCCGTAGCACCCAGTTTCGCCAGTCTGGCTGTGGCTTGGCCTTCCAAATTGGCCCGCTCCATCCGGGTACACCGGCTGTACATGCAGATCTAGGGTGGAAAATCGGACAGTCCATGGTTGAAATACTGTTCATTTCTGGTCATGTATCCCATATGGGCCGGACCACCTGCAATCCAGGTGCTACAGGCCTGACTGACGGAACAACTATCCCGAGTCTCACTGTAACAATGGTGTGTCGCCTGATGGCTGATGCTAGCTGGTGGCTCATGAATACCAATTGTTCTTCTGCTCTCTCGTTCTTGCTTTACTCTGCACCAGGTCAGCACTTGTCCGGTGTACCGGCGATCGACGTTCGCAAACCGGTCTTCACGTGGAAGATTCCGGTCATAGGACGCGGTGTGTCACAGGAGTCCTATCGTGTTGTGGTGTCGGCCGATAGAGCAGTTGTCGCTGCTACTAGTCTGGAGACTGGCAAGGCTTTTGAGAAAGACAGTCGGGTCTTGTGGGACAGGTAACCATCATGCGTGTGTGTGTTGATAGTAGTCAGAGTCACTCGCGCTGCTTGTTTCTTCGATGTTTTCCTTTTCTGGTTAGTTGTGGTTCCTTCCGTGATGGATGGGTAGTTTTCTTTCTCTCTTGTTTTCAGCTGTATCATATATTTTCCTGCAATGTAAATATCACCAAACTGAGTTGTGTGAGCCTAGTCGGTTGGATCAAACATGACATGCACCACAGATAGTACGGTGTTTTGGTGCTGAAAGTCTGGAGTCCGTTTGCCCCTTCACTCAAGTCCCTTCACTCATTTGTAGGTCAATGTTTAACATTACAACAATGTCATTGTTCTTAGCATGCAGCTATGCACTGCAGAGTTTCCCCTAAACTGACTGAACACGCCAATGTACAATAAAACCTGTTTTAGGCGACCACCCCACGGTGCAAGCAAAGGCGGTCGTTAAAGCCAGGTGGTCTTTAGAACCAGGTCCTACAGTGTCTGTGTACGTGTAACGAGAACTGCCGGTGCATGGAAAACGGTTGTTAAGAGCAGGTGGTCGGTAAACCCAGAGGTCGCTTACACCAGGTTTTGCTGTATTATGTATATCACGTGTTGTCGTTGTGCAGTGGATTGGTTTCTAGCTCGGAGAATTACAATGTGATCTACGATGGTCAAGACCTGCAGTCAAGAACCACTTACTATTGGAAGGTAATCTCACCTCCTACAACTTCTATTGCATACGGCACTGCTAATTATTGTACAGACATGCCAACCCAAATCCCATTTCCCGCCGAATTAGGATTGGGTTTTGATCCTAATACGACCCGAATCAGATTTGAAAAAGCCAGAAATCAGTTATTTATGAATGGACTGAAGCGTAGTGCATCTACGTGCAATCATAATCTCACCTCCTACAACTTCTGTTGCATACGGCAGTGCTAATTGTACAGACATGCCAATCCAAATCCCATTTCCCCACCGAATTAGGATTGGGTTTGATCCTAATACGGCCCGAATCAGATTTGAAAAGGCCAGAAATCAATTTTTTGTGAATGGACTGAAGCATAGTGCAGCTACGTGCAATCATGATCATGCCCGATTAATATTTCAGTTCACGTCTATGGGAAACGCTTGGCAACATTCGTTGTGAAGAGAAAGTTGACTTGAGCTCAAGTTGTTTGGCCCATTGCTCGACCGTTGCTCCACTGCCGTCAGCTTCTGTTCTTCTGCCGCTGCGATGACTTTCATGGCCGTCAGACTTTGTTCTACAATTACCAGTTTTTGCTCCAACGGCGCCATTTCGTGTGTGTGTGTGTGTGTGTGTGTGTGTGTGTGTGTGTGTGTGTGTGTGTGTGTGTGTGTGTGCGTGTGCGCGTGTGTACATGTGTGTATGTGTGTGTGTGTGCTTGTGTCCTGCATATCAAACAACTGTGTGTATGTAGGTACAATGGTCTGGCCAGGATGGTGCGATGTCGGGAGAAAGTGACATTGCAGCATTCCATGTCGCCTTGCTCTCACAGGTCAGTAATCACTTCAGCATACAGCGAAACCTGTCTAAGCCAGACCGCTCAAGGGACCTACAAAATGTGGTCCCCGTGTACAGGTGGTCTCCTTATCCAGGGTCATTTGACTGGAAATACCATTCCTTGGCCCTGGTTGTAGTGGTCCTCTAGCACAGGTGGTCGGTCGCCTTATCAGAGTGGTCACCTTGACAGATTCGACTGTACAATCAAACCTCTTTAGGACGAATACCAAGGGACTGGTGGTATTTGAGTGCACTAACGGGAGTTCTTCTTATCCATATTTTATACCCAATGAATAGACAGTGATTCATCCAATAGAGTTATCAATACCGGTTCTTCTAAAGCGAACGTTTGTCTTATCCGTATTCTTCTTAACGAGATTTTCCAGTGCTGAAATTGAACAATTAAAAACAGATTCACGAAAACGATACCTTTCTACCTCGCTTCATTGCTCTAGGCAAGTGTGTGTACTGAATGTTCTGTGTGGTTCTTTGTCTCGCTATTTCAATCTCAGGCGGACTGGCTGGATGCATCGTGGATTGCCGCCCCCTTGGCCAAGACTGCACCACTTCTTACCACCACTATGTCCGTGCCTGTGGTAGGTTGATGATGATGTCTGACTTTACAAGTCCTTATTTCACACACAATATGAAAATGTACTTCCCAGTACAGCATACTTGGCTTAAGCAACCACTCCGTGGTGCGAGCGAAAGCAGTCGTAAAAGGAAGGTGGCCTTTACAATAAGGTTCTATACATTTTCGGCATACCGGATCGTGCACATACTTCTATGTACTCATATTGACAGGTGTTGGGCAAAAGACACTTTAAAAGAAGTCTTTCAGGCAGACGAAGCACCCATGCATTTTCAAACCTTTCACACCACATTCAAGTGCATGCAGTGCGCACCCTGCACTCTCACTCACGTGTCACTTCAGTTGACTGCATGCACTCGCTTCTGAGCACACTTCAACCCCTTAGCAGTCAGGTCTGCCACCTAGGATACTGGCAGTGTTCATGATGAGCCACCAGAAGATGAACCAGGTTGTGCTGTTTCTCGAGCGACTGCGCTGGACGAACTGCAGGCATAGCAGTAGCAGTAGCGTCCTCGGTGGATAATGGCACTGGTGTCGTGTTGCTCGGATGCATCACACGCTCGCGTTGTAATGCCGCGACGGGATTGACGTTGCGCACAGCAGTGAGGAATACTTCCGTGTTGAGATGCACTGCCTCCTTCCACACATCGATGACGGTTGACAGAAATAGTTCATCCGTAAAATTATCTCCCCCGGTGCAAGGATCTCTCGACACATTGGCAGCCGTGGCTTTCACCGCACGTCTCCTCCAGCAGCGGGTCGGCCAGTTCTTTCATCTTCCCGTACGTTAGCGTTGCACACAGCGTGGACTACATCTTTTGAAGACCCGGATGTACAGACCTGCGATGGGAGTAGCTGACAATGTTAGGCACAAGACGAGAGTAGGCAGTGTCCAATGTCAATGTTTTACGCTTCTCACAGATAAGCTACCAGAGATGCTGCATGACGACAAACGAGGGTTTGCGCGGTGACAGTGTCATGGCTAAGTGCCAGAACATAGTCATGTCATGTGACCATTGTAATGACCGACTCTCTTCACACGCCATGCCGCATCGTGCTCTCTCCATCAGCTCATCTTGGTCCATATCCAATCTGTCGAATCGAGCAGCCAGCAACTCACACAGGCTAGTTGCAGATCGCACCTCAGCACGTCGTAACTCAACACCCAAGACAAGATCCATCTTCACCTTCCACAGCGCATCAGGTATTCAAGCATTAGAAAGAAGCTTCCAGATTTGCCACAGCCTGCACTTCCAAACGCCAGCACATTCTTCTTTTTCGTTCCAATAGGCACGCTGCTAGCAACACGAGCCAGCAGTCCACATTCGGCGTCAACTGCACCTGCTTGATCCTTTGCACTATCGCTGCCAATGTCAGAGAAGATCTCGCTAAGCACAATGCCACGTGTCTTTGTGGACTTTCCATCCTGAGCTGCTCTGATAGCATTTAGCTGACGTGCTCTCTCAGATTCGGACGAAAAGAACGTCTCGCTCTTGAAAAGTGTTTCTACTTCATCCTTCGTCAGCAGAGTAAGATTGACAAAGAGCTCGCTCAATTCAATTTCCCTATCCGTTCCTAAACCTCCACTGATCTGCACACCACAATCCTTGACCGCATCATGCAATAGTTTCTGCGCCTTAAGGAAAGACGCTGATAATCTGAGGTCCTTCTACATCGTCCCGGGCAGCCCTTGTGGTCGCTGTATGCATTACGGCACTTGGTACACTAAAAGTCGGCCGCTGGTCGCGCAATGCAGGTGGTCGCTGTTTCCGGTGCAGTTTCTATGCCGAACTGTCGGTGCATGGAATACTTTCGTCAAAATCACGTGGTCGCCAATACCAGAGGTCACTTAACCCAGTTTGCACTGTACACATACCTGATTCACTGGCGTATAGTTTCAGCTTGTACTTAGTTTTCAACGATCATCGCTCGTTATGTCTTGTCTTATAAGATTGCTTTTTTTAAATATTGGACCACCCTTCCTCTGTGTGTGTGTGTGTGTTTGTGCGCATGTGCGTGTGTGCATGCGTGTCTGTGCACGTGCATGCACGCATGCGTGTGTTAACGTGTACTGTCTGGCAGGGTCTGGCTGAGAGTCACCTGTACGTCTCGGGTCTTGGCTGGTGCAGGGTCTCAGTCAACGGTATGTACACATTGGACAATGTGTGCTCTGTCAGCCATATGGCTCACCATTTTGCATGCTTTGTGAAAGTGCTTGTGGACGAGTTGTAGAAATCGCTGACCAATGTTCATAGACACATTCTTACTAAACGGTGGGTTAAACCAGGTAATATTCCGGTGTCAACTCCTTTGTTTCTTCTTTCTCCCACTTTTCCGTTCCTCCAAGAACTGGACGGTCTCATTGTATCCACGGTCTCTGAGTGCATTATTGTACAGCTGTGATGCGTCCTGGAATGAATGTCTCTTGATCCGTTGATATGTCCGTTAGTCGTCGGCTGATGGAAGAGGGCAAGTTCTGGATGATGATTGGTGGGTGGTTGGATTGGTGATGGGCGTATAGTGGCCGGTCATTGGGCTTCCGGTATGGACGTTATTTGCCGGTGTGTAGGTCCAGTGTAATGTCGAGGAAGTCGACTGATTTGAGGTTTGCCTGGATGGTGATTTTCAGTCCTAGGCTGTTGAAGATTTTGGTCATGTCCTTCCTGATCCTGTCAACCTCCGGTTCCGATACATTCCTGAACACTGCCAACCCATCGTCACTGTAGAGTCCAATGTCACTGCCGTTGTACACCTCACATAGTTTGGCAAGCGCTAGCGTACCGACCAACTCGCACACTTCAGCACCGTCATAGCATCACATTGTAACAGCAACTACTCCGCTTCCCTTCTTTTTTTTTTCTTTTTTTTTTTTTTTTACTATTGAACACTCACTGCATGATGAACTAAAATGAGGAGAAGAACTCGACACAATGGTACATATCCAGCAGGACGGAGTGGGTGGGACCTGTGAAGCTCAGCCGACCAAGGGTCTCGGCATCACAGCTGCACATGTGCACGAAAGGAAACAAAAATGGGGAGTGGAAGGGCGGGGAGGTGAGCAGGAGAGCCAGAACTCTAAGGGTAGGAAAGAGAGGAGGGAAACCAGGAAACTTGTTATTCCAAGCTATGAGTGCAAACAAGTACGCTCTTCATCCACTCTTTCCCGTGGCCGAATAGCAGAGATTTCCTTGCGTGGAGGATTGTTTCCTGATCCTCCGAGGACACTGATGTGAAGCCACTGGCAAACTGCAACGACATCCATAACAGCTCCTCTGAGATCGACGAGTAACTCCACGACATCCAAAGTCCAAAACATACAAAACGCAGTTTTGCTTGTCCTCCAGCAACCAGTCGATTACGGCGGATGTGCTCTTCCAGGCATTTGCTGGTAGCTGGCGCGGGACATCCTGGACTATCCTTTCCAGTATTGCCTTAGATATCTTTCCAACCTCGCTCTTTGCCGGATTGATGAGGCGTCATGGGCGGTTGTCTTTAAAATTGTCCTTGTGGTCTTTTAATGTCGCATACGCATCCTTTTTTGCAATACAATCCATTCTCTCGTCCAATCAACGGGCGTTGGCTATACTCCTAGCCTCTACGTTTATGTCATCGCATGTCTCTTCCGGTGCTTGCTTGTAGTTCTTGGTCACATTGTCACGCATCATTTTCTCGTAGCAGTCCTTGTTGAGGGCATACATGTTCCTTGTCTTGTCCTCGGCCACGAAGATGTCGCTTGTCTCCTGGATGTGAGCGATGTCATCCTTGAGCCGCCGCTGGAAGCTGTCCGTCGTCCTTTTGAACTCTACAATCTCCATCATCCTCAGCAGATCATCCTCAATAGGCTCAAATTCCTCGACCTGCGGTGGACATTTCCGGGACTTGAACCCGAAGTTATCCTGCTGTTGCTGCTCAGCCTCGTCACCTTGCCCTTTCATGAAGAATATCGCCCGCCAACGCATGCGCTTGATGAAGCTCTCCACCATTTCGATCAGCCTACTTCGAAGTAGTTGTATACTGGGCTGGCGACGAAAGGGGGATATTCTTCATCGAGTAATTCAGGTGTCCAGGCCAAAATCGGATGCTTGACCAGAAATGAACAGTATTGGCGAAGTTCCCCGGTGTGCACTGATTGGGTGGTGAATGTTTTTGAAATCTGTTGTCCGGTCATGACTGGAGCTACCTGACCGGGGTACTACAGTGCATTTCAAAACTATAGACGCGTAGGGTTTTTGAAATATTTCAAATTTGGCTGGGACTTTTTGAGAATAGTTTTCGGAATATTGCTCAGGATCGCTCCACAATTACTCTCATATAGTTTCTAAAGGATTGGATAACAGACACCCAATTTGGAAAAATTTATGCACAAAGTGATCACAGATTTTATGTGGTATAGATGCTGGCATAACGGTTTTTGCCTAGGTACGCGTCTATAGTTTTGAAATGGACTGTACAGCCCTGTAGTACCTGTACTGTAAAGCAGAAATTTTCGGTAGTGTAATATTTTCGGTATTCTCCAAAATCGGCGGTTCGGTGGAGGAGATTTTTGGTAAACCCGTTTTCCAGGTAAGTGCACCGTAAAGTCCGCTGCAAATGCCCACATCACAGCGAACGCCCACCCCAGCGGGTCCATACTATTTTTGTCTTTTTCAGGTCAATCTAGTTGTAGAAAGCTGGCATGAAGGTCGAATGAGTACGAGAACGACTGTAATGCCTACAAACTGCCTTTGTCTTACCAGGAGGCTCTGCAAAAGCGATTGTCATTTTCTTGCTGTGAAGAAAGCTTCGGTCGAGATTTCCTTTCATTCGATAAATGAGTCGTCTTTGTTCTTAGTTCGTTCTCCATGTGGTAATGCCGTAGACTCCATCTGGTTTTCAAATCATGAAATTTCTTCAGTGCCACGATGTCGCGCTTTTAGAACGGAACGGTGATTATTCTGACGAAGCGTCATTCAATGACTTGACCATTCGCAGTATTGCAGTTCTAAGTCAAACACTTTACAGGGGGGAGGGGGGGGGGGGGGAGGGATGTCACAGAAGTCAAAAGCTATACCTACAAAGTCGCTGCTAACTTGTTGAAAACTCTGAAGTGGTTGAGAAAAACCCTTGCCTTTGCGCGTTGCGTGATTTGGAAATGATGGCTTGAAACACCGTCAAAAATGTAGTTGGTTTGTGCAATACTCAGCTCTTCACTACTTTGTTATTCAGAGAAAACTCCCATTTGAATTTGCGAAATAAAACAACCAACATCATAAAATCGCTACTAGCTACCTCGTAGCTAGTGCCCAAAGACATTTTGAAACCAGGAAAGTGGACAAAGTTTACCGTAGCAAAGCGCTCTTCGCGCTACGGTGTGAGATGCACTTTCGTACAGTAGGGGTGACAGTGCATCGGGTCAGTGTGTACAGGCTAGCAGATCTCGCGAAAATGGGATGGGCATTTGCAGCGGACTTCGAAGTACAGTCTGTATCGGCTATACAGTGCATTTCAAAACTATAGACGCGTAGGGTTTTTGAAATATTTCAAATTTGGCTGGAACTTTTTGAGAATAGTTTTCGGAATATTGCTCAGGATCGCTCCACAATTACTCTCATATAGTTTCTAAAGGATTGGATAACAGACGCCCAATTTGGAAAAAATTATGCACAAAGTGATCACAGATTTTATGTGGTATAGATGCTGGCATAACGGTTTTTGCCTAGGTACGCGTCTATAGTTTTGAAATGGACTGTAGAGTGACCGGATATAAGAATATATCGGCTACAGTGATATTGGTACGAAATTATTATTATTATTAGACACAATCTCATAGCATGTGACAAGCATAGCTAATGCAGGGACAGAATCCCCTGAGACAAGGGCGTTGAGCCAGCCACGGCAATAGTAAGCTAGGAAAACAAAGCAAATATGAATTAAAGCAGAAAATGAATGGAAAATTGCAAAGAAAAACGATTAACGGAAGTGAGCACTATCAAAATTCGTGCATCACCCAGGTATTCGAGAATGTTCTTCGATGATAATTATTGCGTCTAGTTCAGTTGTGATAGTAGATCTTTAAACTGACCAATAGAAGAACAAGTTTTCAGACCGTATGGTAATGATAACCAATGAGAGTAGCCGGAAAACAAAGGGGACTTTAGATACTGGGCTGACTTAACAAGAGGCAGGATGAGCGCGTTACGGGTTGAGCTTGTCAAAGCAAAACGTGTTTTACCCAGTACAAGTATCACTATAACCAATATTATCGGATGTAATGATATACAGTGAGTATCGTTTATAAAGTGACCGGGTGTAACGATATACCGGCTATAATGATCGAACTCGCCAAAATCAAAATCAAATCACAAAAATACAGCTAAAATATCACTATACACACTATTATCGGCTATACCGATATATCGCTTATTGTGATGGGCTTCAGGAAGCAAACCATATCAAATGCACAGGAAAATATCGTATATACTGATCAAGAGTGATGATCACAAAACAATTGTTCTTCAAATTTAGTTTATTTCTTCCAAAACTGATCCAGTGTTGCCTGGATGCATCTGGCAGCAGACGTGATTGAGAGAAAATTCTTCCCTGTATGCTGTAAGCAGCCACATGTACACGTGGCTGCTTTTCATGCTTTTTCCAGCATGTACGCATCATTTCATGCACAGTCATGTGCCATGTGTCAGTCATACATGCAAATCGGATATAGTGATGCACCGGATATAGTGATAAATTATCGAAAATCAAAGGGGCACGTTATATCCACTATTTACTGTATCGGATATTATGATGGCAACAAAGAATCAAAACATGCATAACACACTATATTATTATCGGCTATAGTGATAACTTGTTGTTGTTGTTTGGCTTTATTTAAAGTGGAGTTCCAAACAGGCCTAAACCTAATGACAATGGTCCCACTGATAATAAGAGAAAAGAAAAATATATAATAATAAGCGGACAAACAGAACCAAGAAGAGGATACAGCTGTAGTTAGATAACTAATATGAGCACGGCAGCAGGGGAAAAAAAGTCACAAGCACGGCAACCGGGAAGAAAGGAGTGAGTGAGTGAGAGAGAGAGAGAGAGAGAGAGAGAGAGAGAGAGAGAGAGAGAGAGAGAGAGAGAGAGAGAGAGATAGAGAGGGAGAGGGAGAGGGAGAGAGAGAGAGAGGTAGTGAAGCAGATGAGTTCATCCTAGTTGACTTTAAAATACATGTAGCAATAATATCAAAGGCCCTATTTTTTAACTTTCTTCACGTTGCTTATTTTTATAGTGATACATGTACATGTACATAACAGAATTTTTTGTATGGAAATGCGGGCACTGTCAACTATGCAGCATGCTCATTTGTCAAAACGCCATGCTGGAAGTATTTCCTTGCCTTTCATGTGTCGATCGGAAAAAAGAAAAAAAATCGGTCGTATCGCATAAAATGATGCATCGGTTATAGTGATAAATCACGGAAATCAAAAGGGTACGCCATAGCCGATACAGACTGTACTAGTACCAAAATTTTCGGTGCGTTCTATTTTCGGTAAAAATCTCAGCACCGAAACTACTGAAAATATAACACCACCAAAAATTTCTGCTTTTACAGTAGTTTGGGAATGCACCGCGGTCTCATGATCGGTCAGTGAGTCAAACTAACTCGAATTTACAGTGAAAACAGGCTACCATCTCCTGTACTAGTGTATGGTGCTGGTCTTCACTCTGGTGTATTGAGCACTTTCAGTTTGAGCTGCACCGGCTGATCCTGCCCGCGGCTAACACTGATTGTGATTTGGGAATACAATGTTAATCTGGGGTGATGCAATGTTGGAGTACCTTGCCTTCCTGGCTGCCTTTGTGTGATACTGTAAAGCCCCAAACTATTATTCGTACCTCTATTGGATAAATCACTGTGTATTCACTTCGTATAAAATGTGGATAAGAAGAAGAACTCCCAGTATTGTGAACGAATACCATTGGTCCTTTGGTGTTCGTCCTAAAGAGGTGTGGCTGCATTGTGTAAATTGTGGCTAACCGTGACACCGGGAAACATGGTTGCACAATGCTAAGCAGCTGTCTGTTGTGTCCTATTCCGCTGTGTCCTCTTGGTCAGGTGCTGATGTTACCCCATTCGAGCTGGGACCAGGATGGACGACATACAAGTAAGTCATGAGGAAGCCAGTAAACTAAGGACCAAAATAGAAGGGTTTGATGTGAGTACCCGAGGACATACTTTGAAGTTCAGTAAAACTCCCCAGATCCGGACGTCCCTAATCCGAGCACGCTCGTTCACTGGGCACCTTTCTGACCCATCTAGAGTCACGAAAAATGGCATTTCAATGAAGAAAAAAGGCCCAAAAAACTATTGATTGGCAAAAAAAATTACTTGCATTCTGTAAGTACGTATGATCCGAGATACAGGCAATTCCTAGTTGCAGGCAGTGCTCGGTCCCAACCTGCCCGAACCTGGGAAGTTTTACTCTTCTTTAAAATAGGAGGTCAGGGTGACCCATGTTCGTTCTAGCACACTAGGGATGTGGGTCTTGGACCTCTTCTACCATTCACCCGTTCTACACTAACTTCCCTCTGATGCTAAACAATTGGGCTATCCCACCATCTAAATAACATGTAAAGAGAAAAGGACCTATAAGTTACCGGTTTTGCCTATCAGTCCACCAAGGTAACGAGATAACACATGTATACAGTCAGATAGTGCGACAACGAGGCACAACACTGACAAGGATATTGAGATATATCTGACTGCATATCTCGTTACTTTGGTGGACTGTTAGTCATAACTAGTAACTTATAATTATGTCCTTTTCTCTTTACATAATTAAAATTATGTAAAGAGAAAAGGATTAAAAATATTGGCTCAACATCCGAGTTTTTTCATGTAAATAACAAAACAGAAAGGTTCCAGGCTGTCTAATAGAACGCTCCATGCCCAAGGGCAGAGCTACTTACGACAAGAAGAAGAGAATGAAGATTGTTGCTATTGTCTGATGGTTACCTCCGGAATGAAAATCGGGAGATACCACACAATACAGTCAGACCTCGCTTAACCGCACACATCCGTTTTCCCGTGACAAAAATATCCGGATAGGCGAGGGAACCAGATAATCGAGCACTGGTTATGTTGGATGCATCATGTATGCTGTAAATCTGTAACCAGCTATTTTCTTCCGGATCTTCCGGATGGCGAGGGATCCGGATAAAAGAGGACCGGATAAGCGAGGTCTGACTGTATTCATCTTCTTGTTGCATCTTAATAGCAAGCGTGTGCCTCAGTGTCCCGGAGTCTATTCACCTTCTGCTGGCTGTGTGTGTGTGTGTTGCTCTGTGCATTGCAGCAAGAAAGTGACATACTCTGCAATCAACGTCACCCAACAACTTCAAGGTGCAAAAGCAGCCACCATCGCAGTCACTCTGGGTCTGGGTTGGAGAGATGCTGTGAGTTATTTAGGGTCGTCGCAAACGTTTTTCTGTCGTCCCTGAAACGAACATCGTTCATTTCGTACTTGGACCCCTCCCCTCCCTCTGAAACGAACACAGCTTGCTATGCTGGACGACGAAAATCGCATGCATGTACATGTCATATGTACAGTGGCGGTCGACTTGCAATTTTGGCTCGGGTACACACAACCAAAAACAAGCAAACAAACACACCACTGTTGTATCTGTGTGGAATGTCTTCTATTCTAGACTTCCCTAACCATCGTGCTAGCACGAGTTGCCGGTTTGTGTGATGTGTGATATGTGCGCTGTAGGTCTTTGCCTCCAAGGATGGCAAGTTTCCTGATGACAAGTACCCAAGAGTGCTTAGAATGCAGGTAATGTGCCATGCTCTCTTGCCTAAGGCTCTGCTAACTCTTTTTGTCCTTCTTTTGTTGTATTCTCTCTCCATCCCTCTCTCTCTTTCTCTCTCCCCCCTTCCTTCCTCCCTCCCTCCCTCCCTCCCATTCTCGCTCTCTCCTTTTCTCTCTATCTTTCTAAACATGTTTTGCTTTTGCTGTGGCTGTTCTCCTTTTCGGCACAACGTGTATCAGCGTTTCAACTGGAGTGAAATCTGCATGCTGCCTTGGTGTCTTGGTAGACGGGTTGCTAGTCTGGTCTGCCCCTGGAGGAGCAGGAGTCAAAAAATTAAATGCTGTGCTATGAACTATTCACAAGGTTGAGGGAAAGAGACAAACGGGAAAAGTCTGAAGAAAAAAATTGACTGTCACCACCAGGACTCGAACCAGGGACCCTCGCTTGTAGCCAGCGATGCTCTACCACTAAGCAATCGTGTAACCATCAGCCAAGCAGCGACCCGTTTAACATTTTCTTCAGACTTCGACTTTAAACACTATTGTCTTGTTTCGCTGACTGGTGCACTTCTACAGGTGTCAATGAAGCATGCAAATGGCTTGACACTCGTTGGTACTGACGAAAGCTGGACATGGCAGGAGACACCGATTATCTACGACTCTATGTACAATGGAGAGACGTACAGTAAGGCAGAGGAGCTCAATCTGAATGTTTTTCAACCTTACATGTGTGTTTGTGTGTGTGTGTGTGTGTGTGTGTGTGTGTGTGTGTGTGTGTGTGTGTGTGTGTGTGTGTGTGTGTGTGTGTGTGTGTGTGTGTGTGTGTGTGTGTGTGTGTGTGTGTGTGTGTGTGTGTGTGTGTGTGTGTGTGTGTGTGTGTGTGTGTGTGTGTGTGTGTGTGTGTGTGTGTGTGTGTGTGTGTGTGTGTGTGTGTGTGTGTGTGTGTGTGTGTGTGTGTGTGTGTGTGTGTGTGTGTGTGTGTGTGTGTGTGTGTGTGTGTGTGTGTGTGTGTGTGTGTGTGTGTGTGTGTGTGTGTGTGTGTACATGTGTGCGCGTGTGCGCGCGCTAGTGTGCACGTGCATGTGTGAGTGCATGTGTGTGTGCGGGCTGCATGCGTGGGTGTGCATGCATTTTGCATTCTGGACCAATGATGAATGGTTGCAAGTCTTACAAATTGTAGTCTCGGGTCAAGAAGACTGCTGTGAGTGGAGGTTAAAAAGTCGGCGCGGAGACAAGAAACCTAATATCGATGAAAGTAAAGCGAGCGCACTCACACCACGAGAACAATGGAACAATATGACCGTTATGATTTGAACGTCGTTTTCATGTGATCATCATCAGAAATTGTAATCACGCTGAGAGTTGCACAACCAAGGAAGTGGGGTATGAGTGTCGGCTCACTTTGCTTTCATCGATATGACGATGTTTGATAAATATGGTGGTAAAGACACACCTGGCAATATCAACCATACGTACAGCTGCAGTGGTGTTTTCAACTTGACATGATGATGTGACTAGCTATGGGTGGAGGTGCTAGGCCGCAATGAGTATGGCTAGTGCACCGTGACAGTTCACTTTTCCCGTGTTCATTGTGCTTCTAGATGCATCTCTGAAAGACCTTCCACAGCCGCTGAGAAACGTGAGTGAAATCATTGGAGTTGAGCATGTACCTCGACTTAGGCCTCAGCCTTTGGGGAATCCATAAATAAATAAATTTAAAAAATGCCACTGCTGCCCACAAATAGAGGTCCTACCGGTAGGACCCAAGATATCGCTCTGCAAAAGTGCCTCCAATTAAGAAGAATTTTCTAAGAACATTGCTGAGATGAAGTCTTTGTAAGTCAAAGCAATGGCACAAGAGGTAAGGCTATGTCCAGTGCATTGTATATGTGCAGTTTTAGTCATTTTCGAAATGGTTGCACATGCTATGGTCGGAGCGCTAGCAGCTATGTCAGACGTGAATTTTAAGCATGGCATATTGATCATGGTGAGGAGTCCCGGCATGTCTCAGCTTGCCCTGGAGGAGGTGGAGGAGTAGGTGGGGGTGGTGGTGGTCTATCCGAGGATTCCCGTTGGTGGTCTGACCAGCCGATATATTGTACTGGTGGACTTGTGCAACGAGAAACATGCTTCCAACCAGTACATGTACTTAGAATACAGCTCACTCTTGTTATCTCCCTGCCCAGTGATCATGTCAATGTTACTAGTTCTTACTAACTAAGTAAAAGTGGGGAGGCTTCCTGCAGTTTCGTAAACAGTTAAGTAGTAGAGCCCACACGCTCTCTTCCATTCACACTGCAACAGTTCAACTCATTTCACAATAATACAACGTTTCGGCAAATTGCCTTCATCAGGTTCACAATGATGTGCAAGCTCCCAAACCAGCATTGATAAAGGCCGTTGGAGAGACAGAACGATCACTAGAGACCCGTCTAAAGGAACATAATGGAGAAGCACTTTGAAGGACTCGTGACAAGCCTTGGGGTGACCACATGAGAAGCAAGCATTCGCGCAGGAGATTGAGGCTGCGAGATAGCGCCTTCACAGCAGTATCAGTCCTCGCTCGAGAAGGCGACTGAGCTAGCAGGAAATTGAGGGAGGCTGTGGAGATCAGAAATTTGGCTCCAAAGATAAATGCTAGCGCTGGGTGGTCATTGCTGTAATTTGTATCGCCACTCGTTTAGTGTCTGATTATCATGACATCGACGCTGAATAATGTGTTGTTTTGGTTTTACCTCAGCTGTAGTCCCCTCCACTGATAGTCGATGTTAGCGCTAGTATTAGCTGAACTCTTTTTCGCGCTGCTTCTCACACCCTCTTACTGACAGGGGAGTTGTTGGCCTTTATCAATGCTGGTTTGGGAGCTTGCGCATCATTGTGAACTTGATGAAGGCAATTTGCCGAAACGTTGTAATATTGTGAAATGAGTTGAACTGTTGCAGTGTGAATGGAAGAGAGCGTGTGGGCTCTACTACTTAAAGGGGAACTCCACGAAAAAATGAAAATTTGATAGCCTGTAGAGTTTCGGGCGCTGAGTCGAATGGTCTTGGTCCGAAGTCTCTACGAGAAAGCGTTCTTGAGATATTTCAATTTTAGCCACGCCCCATACCAATGTACGTGTGACGTCATTGTGGCATGGTGCGAAAATACTTGGATTTTGAATCTCACTTTCTTCAGGACGAAAGTCACTTCAGAAAGTAGCTTGCCAAGTCGCCTGAGCCGCTGCAATGCCAAATTGTTGTGTTGTTGATTGTGCCAGTATCACATCATCCTCCTGGGGTTAGTTTTCTCAGATTCCCAAAGGATGGAGACCTGGCAAAGCGCCGAGATGTTGCAATGCGTCGTGAAAATTTCAAGCCTATTTTCGCAGCACGAGCTATGTTTGCTCGCTGCATTTATGATCCAGAGGGACTTGAGAGCTGAGTTTTGACGAGTACGCCGTCCAGGAAAGCCCTCATCAGTGTACCAGTGCCCTCCGAACCGTGAGCCTCCAGCAAAGCGAACTCAACAAGCTGCAACTGAGAAAGCAGGGCGAGATACGTCCCATCAGGATCAGAAGAGTACATCACACCATCAACTCCGACTGCAGCTAGCTGATGAACGATATTACCCCAGTAACTTTGCGCATACCAGTACTCAAACTGTGCACATCTGTCATCAACTGGGACGCAAACAGACAGACCCCCAGCAAGTACGACGGTTACAGAACTGTTTGCTTGCGATGTGCAGGCAGCATGCACGACGAACTGTCTCACCAATCCTGCCAAACTGAACCAGTGTAAGTTGATTGCGTGGATATGTCTCTATTTATAACAGCTACCCTACTTCTAGGCATGGTTGCATGAATACCATATCACTCAGAGCAGTTGTTAGAAGTCTGGACAGCCTAGGAATAGTGCAAGCAAAGTGAAACAAAAAATTATTACACTCCGAGTTCCACGCTTGCGGGATCACCAGGCCAAAAAAATCCAATTTCGAACAAGGAATGGGTTCTGGTTGTATGCGAAAGAAAAGTAAGTGAAGACCTATTGTGCAAGGAATACAGTGGGAACTACACATATTATACACATGCACTCACACCATGCGCTTGCGCCTAAGGATAGTACATATGCTGTAGTAGTGGTGTACTTAGTGAAATGACTATGTGTACATCTAATGATGCCGCCATTCCACGCCAGAAGACAACAAACATCTGCTGAACATTTTTGCTCCCGTCTCTTATGGGCAACACAGGGAATGAAACGAACAATGCAATTGAGAACAAGAGTCGTCCTGTACGGTGAAGTTTCCATTTTCTCATACAGCAGTATATTGTCTAAGCAAGTGTTTTCTCCTCATTCTTTTTGCCATGCAGGTATATCACAGTGTCCTGCCAAACTACATTCTCAAACGCATTCGTTTCTCAATTCTGGGGATGATTGGACACGCACATCTCGCAGCTCTTGACGACGTCAATGTCAACCGTCTCCACAGCACAACCAAAAAGACCAATAATTATTTTCAAAACGAAACTCCGTCAAACCCACCCACCCACAAACGAAAACATTTCGTTTTGAAAATATTATTGGTAACCTTGGACGGCCCCTAAAGAAGACTGGTCAAATAGAAATTATACGACAGAAAGAGCTATGAGTATGTTGACAAGCTCATGTGTGAGGTGGTAGCGGTTGCAAATGGCAACCTCGATGTTCCTGCCTTGGAGAAGCGAGTTTCCCTGCCAAATTCCAGGTAGAAGCCTCCTGAGAAGGCTGAGGTGGTGCAGAATTTGGATATCTTTGCCTGATGGTATTCACAACGCAGGCTGGAAGACGACAACGAACGTGCTTGCCCAATTTGCCGTGTACATAGTGTGTACTGCCTGTGTGCCGCATAGCGTAGAGATCTACACAAACACAGAATGTCATATGGAATGTGTATGATGAGTGCTTCGTGCTTGAACATACCACATTGCTGTACCGTAATAATTATTAAAGTCAAATACTCATTTACTCTACATATGCGCTGTATTGCACCTACCGGTACCTACCTGCACTTTCAGTGCGCGCGCCATACTAATTTAGTGTCCACTGGTACAAAGATGGAGGGTCTTGTAGAATTTACCATAATTGCTGATTTCAAATTGAATTCCAATGATCTGGGGGATGAATACTGATTAGGACGCGTTCGATTGCCTACTAGTACAGAGATGTCTTGGTCAGAAAGTACAGATTTCTTACTCTCCTGCCAGAATTTGTGCATTATTTTGGTGTACACTTTCTTGACCCCACGCTTGTACGTTGCATGCCATGGTATACTAGAAAACGAGTTTATTGACAAAGTCTATCGCTTGAAACGATAAAGTATGGGTTCGGGTGTGATCAAATGCACCCATGGTGCTGATAAACTGTGTGCAGTGCTCTCTTCACCAACAGAACACTACCTACCATACTTTGTAGATCTCGTACCAATCCAAGGGAAAATGACAAAGACAAATGTGAGTCATGCATGAAAACTTGTGATAGCACTATAGTACAGAACAACGTTGTTCGTGCTATGCCTGACAACAATAACTGACAACAATAAGTTACACACAAAACATTACGCGCATCGATCCTCACAAGATAAGTCAAGACATACTCGGAGCAAAGAGAAATTTGTTTGTGTCATGCATGAAACTTGTGATAACTACCACTAGTACAATGTCTTTCTTGTGCGACGCCTGCTGTAGTGCGCCTGACAACAATAAATTTCCCCAAAAAAATAAGAATACTGAAGTGTATCATTTTTTTTTCTTTTTTTTCTACAAAATCCACATATCTCCAGACACTGGGGTGAATGATGGAGTGTGGTGGTGGGGCCCATTAAGCTCCGCCGACCAGAGGTCTCGGCTTCATAGCTCCATGGACGCACCAAAGGGATATTGGGTAGGGAGGATTAATTGAAAAAGAAAACAGAAGAAAGAAAATGGAAAGATTGTATTGCTCAGTGAGCAAAAGAATAAGTTGAGTATTGATGTGGACGCTGTTAGACTTTTAAATTCAAGAGGAGACTATCTGCGAGGAGAGATTACATGTATGTCCAAGCAGGGTAGGACACTGTACCCTCTTACTCGCGTATGCTATGAGTGGCCCAGTGCCAGTTCGTTCTGAGGAGATGGTGATAAGCTGCTGTCTTGAACTTTTGGATGTTCTTTGGGTGAAATGGGTGGGGAATGATAGAGGTAGGCAGCTGGTTCCAAATTGGGATGACGGGGTGGGGAAAGGCTCGGCTCACATTGTTCCGGGAATTGGCAGGAAGAACATTCTGTAACTGATGGGGATGCGCGGTGGACAGTCGTACAGCCTGGCGGGTGAGGCGTGTGGTCCTGGGTTGGTGTGTCGGGGGTGGAGCCATTCTCGAGAGAAGAGCGGGAGAATTATCGCAAAGGGCTTTATACAGGAGGCAGAGGGCAGCGATGGTGCGGCGAATTATGAGGCTAGGAAGCCAGCATTGCGGATGTATTGCCTTGATGGCTTGCTCCTGCACCCAGTCCAGCCGATTCAAGTGGGAAGGAGCTGCCCCCATCCAGACGATTGGGCAGTACTCCATAACCGGCCGGACAAAGGCTTTGTAGGCTCGAAGCCGGGCAGGAATAGTCAGCAAGTGAAATGCCTTGCGCAAGGCTCCAAGTATCTGCGTTGCTCGGACTACAACAGCTCGGATATGCTGGCTGAATTTTAGCTGATGGTCAAACGTGACGCCGAGTACTTTGATGGAGGGCTGCTCCTCGACAGGAGTTCTATTGAAGACAATGGGGGGTATTGGCCAGTCCCGACGATGGTGGGAAATTGTAAGGGCCTGAGATTTGGCTGGCTCGAACTGCACTTTCCAATCCGAGCCCCAACCGGATACTAGGTCGACAGCAGCCTGGAGTACTCTAGCGTTGTCAGGAACAGCACCGAGCGTTGCAATTTCGGCGTATAGGGTTGTGTCGTCGGCGAATGAGGCAAGGTTGGAGCCGATTGGGAGGTGGTCTTCCAGGTCGTTGACGTAGACCAAGAATAAGGTGGGGCCCAGGATACTGCCCTGTGGCACCCCAGCCTTAACTGGGCGTCTGGCTGATGTCTGGCCGGAGATGAGGACTTGAAGTGTGCGGTTGCAGAGGTAGTCTTGGAGCCACCGATGCAGGTCTCCCGAGATGCCATACACTCTAGCCTTGTGCAACACACCAGTGTGAAACACTCGGTCAAATGCTCCAGCAATGTCGATGGCCAGCACTCGAGAAGCTCCTTTATCTCCGGCAGTGTGCACCCACTGGTGGTGGAGAGCAGTCAGCAGGTCTGCTGCACTGTGGCCGCGACGGAAGCCAAATTGCCATTCTGACAGGACATGATTCGTCTCCATGAAGTTGCTCATTACCCTGTTGACTATGGTCTCCACAACTTTGGAGAGGATGCTCAGTAACGACACTGGTCGATAGTTTGATGGCGACGATTTAGACTGGCGCTTGTGGACTGGAACTACGTTTGCAACCTTCCACTGTTGTGGCTGAATGCCGGAGCGAAGACAGCATGTAAATAGTTTTGAAAGCGGCCGTGCCAATTCTGCAGAGCAAGCTTTCAAGACGCGGGCAGGTATCCCATCTGGACCAGTGGCCTTGGTGGGGTTGAGCTGGCGGAGAGTTCGCTCGACTGTGGTCTCACGAAACCGGACGGTGCAGAGGTTGCGATCAGTACGTGGTCGGACGTGAGGAAATGGAGCGGATAGGTCGTCTGCCCCTAAGCTGCATTTGTTGGCGAAGTGTTCGGCCATGCACTCTGCTTTGCTGCGGTTGGTGTCGTGCTCCGTACCATCGGTGCTGCGGAGAGTAGGTATTGATGGGCTGTTTCCGTGGCCAGAGGCCTTCTTGATGGTTCGCCACCATTCACCAGTCGCCATACAACCAGAGGCTAACTTCTGTGCCAGGCTTGCTGTGAATGCCTGCTTGGCAGTTGCCAGGCAATGGTTAGCTGAGTGCTTGGCGACATTGTAACGGGCTTGCAGCTGGGCACTTGACCGGTCGGCGCAGAGTCTCCTCCATGCTCTTTGTTTCTGTGCTACAGCCTCAGTGCATTCCGGTGTCCACCAAGAGGGGTTAGATGGTTTCATGCACAACTGCTTAGACGGTATGTATCGGCGCATTCCTTCCAGAATATTCTGGGTCAAGTGCATACACATTGCATCAGGATCATCACTGACAGTGGACTGCCAATCTGTTGTTCTAAAGAAGTGGCGGAGTCTGTCCCAGTCTGCGCGTTGGTAACGCCAGACAGTTCTGGTCACTGGTGGTTCCTCTGCCGTGCTTACATGAAAGTCAGCTAGGACACAGGCATGGTCAGAGTTTCCCAGAGGTGCTAAGGTATTGACTGTCGCATCTCCCGGTAGGTGAGTCATTATTAAGTCGAGTGGGTTAAGGCCCCTGGTGGGCTCATGCACGTGCTGCTCCAAGCAGTGAAACGCACACATGTCTTCAGTGTACACACCTGCATGAGTTGTCTTGGTGCTGCCGAGCCAATCCACGTTGTGTACGTTAAAATCTCCAGCCAATACCACATATTGACAAGATTTACGGGCCAGGTCTATGCCAGCACTGATGGCTTCAAGGGTACTGATGTCATTGTCGTGGCAGGAGCCAGAGCGATATGCAGCACACACAGCCACTGACTTCTTATCTACAGTTCTGACACTCGGCCATATTAGCTCCTCATTCCCGACCTGGATGTCATCGAGTTCTCGGAGGGCCAGACTGGCTTTAACCCAAACCGCAACTCCTCCTCCATGAGCTGTTCGATCCTTCCGCAGTGGGGAGTAGTACCCAGGCAAGGACAGTTCGGAATCAGTAGCCTTCTCAGGGGTTAGCTTGCTCTCTGTGACAATGGCAATGTCAGGTTGGTGAACGTGTACAGCATGGTGGAAGTCACCAAGTTTACTCAGTAGTCCAAATGTGTTCGTCAGCAGGATCCGAAAGGATCTAATTGGAGCTTTGAGCTTGAGTGTCGGAGGACTCGGAGAGAGCGTCACTGTGTGAGCCGGACAAAGTGTCCCCCCTTGGAGCGTCACTGAGAGTGTCACTGTGTGAGCCGGACAAGGTGTCCCCCTTCGGACGCTCACGGTGGCGCCAAACCCGCGCGTACAGTGGGCGAGGCCAAAAGTTTGGAGCAGTGGCGATTCCAAGGTCAGTCGCATCGATCATCAAGCGGGCAGACACTTTCCCATCGTCTGTGGTGTGTATACTGCACTGGTGAACCTTCACCGGTTTGTTCACTGCTGCAGAGCGTTGCTCAGTGAATTCCTTGACACTTTCTTCACTGCTATGTGAGTTCAAATTGCCCACATAGATTACGGCTTTCTTCACTCTGTGAGGTTCGTTTGATACCAGTTTCCACGTGTCGTCCGTGATTGGCTCTAGCTTCAGTGGCTTGGGCTTGACAGTGGGCCGCTCAATTGCCTGGGACTTGTCCTCATCCTCGGTTGACGTTTCATGGTCACTGGCAGGGTCACCCACGCTACGGGAAGTGCTACGGTGTTCGTCTGCATCAGTGGTACACGTGGCAGCCTGGCCTGCGCGAGTACGGGTACGCTTGCTGGTCCTTCCCGCTGTACTCTCCATCGTAGATCTACGCTGGCTGTGCTGGTTGTGGGCAACTGCTGGAGGAGTCAGGGGAGAAGCACTTGCTGCGACAATGGCGGACTCCCTGAGGGCGGCAACCTCCTCGTTCAGGCCTGCAATTTGCCTCGACAAATCATCGATCCTATTCTTTAGTCGTGTCTCGCGGTCTGCGGACTCCGTCACAAATGTTGCCAGCGTCTTTACTACGTCTAAAGTCGAAGACTCGATCCCGGGGAGGGAGCACAACAATTTTACCTCCGAATCCGTCAGCCCGCGAACGGCAGCTTTTGCTGGAGGCATGGCGGAGGTGGGCCAAAGCTATCCGATGTCTACCTAGTTTCCTACTACTACTACTACTACTATACCTAATGTTTGAAACCAGGCCGGCCTGATGCCGGTTTCCTGGCGAGAAACTGTGGGAGCGTCAGAGCGCGAAAACCTGCACCCTGCTCCAAAGTTTGAATACAACTTCGTATCATGCTGATTTGCGCTCCTCACAAGACAAGTCAAGGCAAACTAATTGAGGCTTACCTAATGTCAGACTCTTCTGTCACTGGCATTGGCGGCTTCTGCATGTCGAGATAACCTCGAAGAGCAGTGATGGGCACAGCCTAATGCAAGGATACGATCTCGTAATCTGCGAGGTCCGCTACGCAAGAAACCTTGGGCCGTCTTGTCGACAACAACGGCAGCATCCTACCAGCAAAATCATTCCAGCAGGCTGGGCATGGCTATACACTTTTGTCCACGCTCGCACCAGTCGGAGTCCCAAACGAATCGAGATTCTGGTGGCCAAGCTACTCGTCTTCTGTCGGACGCAGCTGCTGAAGCATCTTCTTCCTCAACATTTGTTACACGCGATGGCAGCTCCTCAGCAGAGTATCTGGGCTCCCTGCCCCAACCATACGCGGCGGTGGGCTGTTGGTCGTCCTCACTGGCCTCAGCATCGCTGCCTTCATTGCTGGGGACAGAGGATTGTTCGGAATCGCCCATCTTCCCTTGAAATACCAACTAAAATTAGTGCTTGTAGATTGGCGAAGAGAAACGACTTTGCCACAATGACGTAGGCAGCCCGTGATGATGTAACCAAATGGCCGCATGACGTCAGGGCGCGGCCCCCGTTTTTGCAATTTCAAAGTGAAATATCTCAAGAACGCTTCGTCGTAGAGGCTTCGGACCAGGACCATTCGACTCAGCGCCCGAAACTCTACAGGCTATCAAAGTTTCATTTTTTCGTGGAGTTCCCCTTTAACTGTTCTTAATAACTGTTCACCTAAGCAACCATATTTCGTCCTCCATTTTTTGCCCATGATTACATTGGCTCACCATCCGAGTTCAGAAATGTTCTGTGTGTTTGCTATACTGTTCAGGCATCAATGGTGACAGGTCCAGCGGGTGACATGATTGTCTCGCAGATACCACAAATCTTGGTAGGTACCCACTGTGCGATAAATGTTGTCGCTAGGGTTCGTTTGGAATGATCTTGGGGCTCGGGCAGAGTGTGGATGAGATTGTGTTGATGTGTTACAGCATTTGTCCACTCCTAAGTGTGTAACAACTGGCAGGCAAAAACACTCCTGTGCGTTCTTGTGCACAGACATAGTATTCTGTAGTCTTCGTCTGCCCAGTAATAATTTTCGGGTTTTGTGTTTGCGTCTGCTTCTGTGCACAGACTAACCGAACCGTTAAGCCGGTGAACATTTCGCAACCCCAGGTAAGCCCAGGCGCACAACTCCAAACGAATACGATGACATTTGTATAGCTCCACCAATTGGGAAGTTTCTATTGCCCAGGCATTGTCTAATGATGTGCATGCATGAAGTCTGCGTGTGTGTGTGTGTGTGTGTGTGTGTGTAAAAAATGAAAAAGACCAAAAAGTAGGGATTCACTGGCCAGTAAAGCCACTTCATAGCTGTATGGTGTAGACCAGGCTGAATAGTGGTGCTCAATTCTTCAGCCTTGCAAGCTGTTGAATGGTGCAATCCCAGCACAAGCTGCTATGGCTTCTGCTGTAGCATCGCTATCATCGCCTCTGGCGATGGGCGTCCAATGGTCCAATGGTCCAATGGTGTGTGTGTGTGTGTGTGTGTGTGTGTGCGTGCGTGCGTGCGTGCGTGTGTGCGTGTGTGTGTTGTCTGTTGTCTGTCAGCTCAGGAGAATGTGTGGGTTGTGGACTTTGGAGAGAACCTTTCTGGTCGTGTCAAGGTCTCCATCAAGAATGCATACTCATACGTCAACGTTCCCGTGACTTTCCAGTAAGCTAAGATTGTAACAAAATGATTTTTTACAAGATGGTCGTAACAAAAACATAAATAAATGCACGGGTTTCGCGTACTGGGCGGGTCAAGAACCGTCTTCCCGCTTCCACGGGATGCCACTACCCCATGGTCATGGTTGTTACAACTCTGGCAAAATATTTAGGAGCAACACTGTGTTGATCGAGAACATGGCCAACCTGCCTAGAACCTGGAGGAAGTCTACAAATCTTCTTTCTTTTTTTAAGGCTCCCCTTGGGTACAGGATTTGGGAATTGAATGAAACTAATCTGTGGAGCCCGATGATCCGAGCGTTCATCACTGAACATCAGGTTGAGGGATTGTAAAGGGAAATAGTCTGAAGAAAGAAGTGGACGGTCATCGCCAGGACTCGAACCAAAGACTTTAGCTATAGTACTTTGCTATAGTCTTTGGTTCGGTGAGAATTTTGTTTTGTATGCAAGATGCTGCTGCCTTACGACACATGCGGCGCCCCTACGACCAGAATGGTTACAGTATGGGTTGTACATACATGCAAGTGTTGTATTTGTACTACTCCGGAGGATGCACCGTTGCCTGATGATTGCGAAAGCATGAAACTTTAAATAGCCGGGCAAACAACTTACACAAAACAAGCCTTGAATACCCTTGTTGTTCAGTATATGTACTACACAGTTTTCTATCATAGTATGTGTTGGAAATGCCCGGGTTGTTGCTGTTGTTTCACCTAACCAAGAACCTGCATAACCACTTTAGCTGTGTATCTTGGTCCGTGCCCCATTCCCCGGTCTACTGGGCTCTGCTATGTGCGGTGATGGATGAATGTCCGTGTGCATGGAGAAAGCTCATGGCGTGGTTCTTTGGCGTGTTTCCTAAACTTGCAGCTATGCAGAGATTCTCATGCACGAACCATACGGGAGCCCCATTGGTCTGCCCTACTTTGGCAATCTGCGCGGAGCCAAGGCCACAGATACCTACATCATCAACGGAAAGGACGAGAATCCAGAGGTATGCCGGGGCAGTGTTTTGGCGAGTAGGCGGCTGATTGTTTCCATTAAGGCAGATCACAGGATGACTGTAACCTGCTCTTTTGAACTAGACAAAGCTACACTCCTGCTTTCAACCCCTTCTCGTGACTTCACCATTTTCCATAAGAGTTTGTGGTGCAACATACAAAGGCATAACCGGCCATACCGAACAATGAACAAGACATGCTCATGAGCGTGACTTCTAGATTGGACTACTCACACATATAAGTACATACTTTAGCCATATCAACACAAGCCTGCAAGACTGAGCATCCACACCATGCACATAGACACGTATAGAAATGTCCTAATCCAATCATAGTCTGAGGTTCCATGGATCTGCTCTCATAGACCACCAATAGGCTCAGTTGTGGTTGGCTAATGTTGTTCCTTTGTTGCTATTTCTTCAGCTGTTTTTTTTTGTGCATTTGAAAATCTCAATGAAATCATCCGCATACCCTCTATAATGAAGACTTGCAAATGATGACATAATGATGACATAATGATGGCATAATGATGACATAATCTTCAGACCTACAGTGATCATTACGCTGCACACTTTCAACCTCACGAATACCGTAAACTCGCGAATACCGACAACTCGCGAATACCGACAACTCGCGAATACCGACAACTCGCGAATACCGACAGCTCGCGAATACCGACAGCTCGCGAATACCGACAGCTCGCGAATACCGACAGCTCGCGAATACCGACAGCTCACGAATACCGACAGCTCGCGAATACCGACAGCTCGCGAATACCGACAGCTCGCGAATACCGACAGCTCGCGAATACCGACAGCTCGCGAATACCGACAGCTCGCGAATACCGACAGCTCGCGAATACCGACAGCTCGCGAATACCGACAGCTCGCGAATACCGACAGCTCGCGAATACCGACAGCTCGCGAAGAACGACAGCTCGCGAAGAACGACAGCTCGCGAATACCGACAGCTCGCGGACAGCTCGCGAATACCGACAGCTCGCGAATACCGACAGCTCGCGAATACCGACAGCTCGCGAAGAACGACAGCTCGTGGAGAACGACAGCTCGCGGAGAACGACAGCTCGCGAAGAACGACAGCTCGCGAAGAACGACAGCTCGCGAAGAACGACAGCTCGCGAAGAACGACAGCTCGCGAAGAACGACAGCTCGCGAAGAACGACAGCTCGCGAAGAACGACAGCTCGCGAAGAACGACAGCTCGCGAAGAACGACAGCTCGCGAAGAACGACAGCTCGCGAAGAACGACAGCTCGCGAAGAACGACAGCTCGCGAAGAACGACAGCTCGCGAATACCGACAGCTCGCGAATACCGACAGCTCGCGAATACCGACAGCTCGCGAATACCGACAGCTCGCGAAGAACGACAGCTCGCGAAGAACGACAGCTCGCGAAGAACGACAGCTCGCGAAGAACGACAACTCGCGAAGAACGACAACTCGCGAAGACGACAACTCGCGAGGGACGACAACTCGCGAGGAACGACAACTCGCGAAGAACGACACTTTTCTCGTGCATGATCGCTGGGTATTACTCTCAAGGTTGACTGTGCATTGTGCTCCATTGTGATCAGTTGTGATCAATCAAAGGTATGTGTATGTGTGTGTGTGTGCGTGCGTGCGTGCGTGTGTGTGCATCCTGCAGGTGTATGAGCCATCGTTCACCTACCATGGCTTCCGCTATGTGCAGATCACTGGATGGCCTGGCCTAGTCAATGTAAGCACACCCCCCCCCCCCCCCCCCCCTCTCCTCCTGCCCGATTGTGTTATGAGTGATGTGAGCGGCTTCTGAGTGTGCTCAGTTCACTTCTATCTTGGCCCATTCATCTGATGCTGATAGGAGATTGTAGTTCACTTACAAGGCATAGAACATGCCAGGACACACATGCATGTGTGTGATGGTTGCTTCCTGAGTCATAGCACCATCTCCACACCGGCTTGACAACCCTATTTAGCTCAGCCTAGGTCAGGAGTGTTTGCCGTCTTCAGAAATCACAAACGTCCAGGTTTACGGCTTTGTGACAATACATTCAAACTTCTTGTTAAGACTTTGTGTGTGCTCATCCGCCCCGGATAGCTGGCACTGCCAATGTATATTGGCCTTCAACCATGCTGTCTACGGGTTCTGTTCAAGAGAAGATTTTCACCTGTGCGTGATATAGTCTACTGGTCTCGATCATGGTGTATTTACTGTATTCCTTGTTTCGATTTTGTCATGACAGGAGGACGACATCACAATGAATCACTTCTTCACCTCGTTGAAACGTTCCGGCACATTCAACACATCTAGCAAGACCATGAATGCCATACAGGTGAGCATTCCGTGTGCAGTGTGTATGTGCATGTGTGTGTAGGGGGGGGGGGGGGGGGGGGGGGGGGATGACTGCACCCATTGTGTAAGAAAGTACCACTCCCTACTAAATACACAGTGTGTTGGGGAAGTACCCTTCATCAGTTGGGCTTGGAAGTGCGCGAGCTCGACCATTGCATTGCGAGCAACCAACTTTCATATTATTATTGCCGGTGTTGCCACCGCTACTATGTTCCACGAGAGGTATTTTATTGACCAACACCGTTTGAAATGCAGGTGGGTCCAGGGAAATGTTTTTTTTGTGAATGCTCACCGCAGTGTCTGTGTGTGGGTTTTGTGTTTGTGTGCATTATGTTTGTCTGTGTGTGTGTGTGTGTGTGTGTGTGTGTGTGTGTGTGTGTGTGTGTGTGTGTGTGTGTGTGTGTGTGTGTCTGTGTCTGTGTCTGTGTCTGTATGTGTGTGTGTGTCTGTGTATGTGTGTGTGTGTGTGTGTGTGTGTGTGTGTGTGTGTGTGTGTGTGTGTGTGTGTGTGTGTGTGCGTGTGTGTGTCTGTGTCTGTGTTTCTGCGTGCATATGTTGTTCCTGTGTGATGTGATGGCGGCTGCTTCATTGAACTGTGTCAGCGTAATGTTTGGAGCGGCCAGGAGTCTAATGCTATGAGTGTATTGACCGACTGTGATCAGCGTGATGAGAGACTCGGATGGTACGTTGAATGTGTGCACATATATGCACACCTACACACATTGCAAAATCACAAATGTACATCCGAACATGCATGAACACATATATTCTCTCTCTCTCTCTTTCTGTCTCTCTTCTCTCTCTCTCTCTCTCTCTCTCTCTCTCTCTCTCTCTCTCTCTCTCTCTCTCTCTCTCTCTCTCTCTCTCTCTCTCTCTCTCTCTCTCTCTCTCTCTCTCTCTCTCTCTCTCTCTCTCTCTCTCTCTCTCTCTCTCTCTCTCTCTCTCTCTCTCTCTCTCTCTCTCTCTCTCTCGTGCAAACCCACGCGCACACACACACACACACACACACACACACACACACACACACACACGCGCGCGCGCGCGCGCAGCTTACGGGAAAGCAGGCAGAACACTGTTTATGGGATTCATAAGCATACAGGTGCAAAGGTCAAACACATCAAGAAACACCAAAGAACACAGGTTCGCCGTTATTCTCAGCATCTGGCTACGGAAGCCATAACCATCACATGAGTCCCACATCCTTTGTACGTACTGTGATAAGACCTATACCCTCGCTCAGTGCGGCTAATAAGCCCATTGCGTAATGACGTAATTTGTACCATACGCACCCCACACAGCCACCTGGGCATGGTTGTCTGGGGTGTTGAACAGTGCATTGCTGATCGCAGTGTACTCGCATGAATTACTCATACCTTCCATATTTGACAATGCGCAATGGGCTTATCTCCGGTGCACGGGTGTATGGATACATATGAATATGCACCTTTCGTCTCCTCACTGCAGTCATAGGTATTTGCAGTCTTACGGTGACCCAGGTGATGCATTAATAAATAGATGTTGTTCTTGAGGTTATGCGAATGATATCAAGGTGGTGAACTAGTAGAACAGCTAATGGGTGCTAAGCATACAGGGTGAGTCAGCTGAACCGCTAATGGGCGATGTGTATACAGCGTTAGTCGCTAATGCAGTGCTGTGCCACGACTTTGCCCAAGCATCTGAACTTATGATGTAATCGTACAACCTCTATAATAAGTATCTCCAATACTAAGTACACATTCCTGTAGCTCAAGGAGGCACATCTTATCAGACATGCACTGTATGTAATGACATGTGCATGACTCTTGTTGTCTTTGTCCTTGCCTTCGCTAGGATGGGTGATGCTGGCCTGTCATCGGATTCCTACTCGCTAAACTTTGACATGTCTGCATTCTTCCCCAACATGCTGAGGAACATTGAGATTGAGCAGGTAAGAGTATTGTCCCGTGGTTGTTCCTGTGTGAGCACCTTAGTTCCTTGGGACCAGAGCCTCTCCAGGATGTAAGTCGTACTCATCCCCTCTGGGCCTCTGTCTCGCCCATCTCGGGGGCAAAATGCTACATTCTACGCTATATTATTGTATGAAAAGGAATGTTCGGGCGGGGGAGGGCTTCTACGCTGGAGGAAAGATTTAGCTCTTTTTCGTGGACAAAAGTACAGCTTTGACCCGATACTATAGCTCTGATAATGCATGCCTCTTGGCTTATGTGTATCCCTGGTACCATATTTTTGGAATTTATCAACTTTCTTTTGGCACACGCTGCAGACGAATCCCACTTGTAAGGACATTGCTTCCCTATATGAAATTCAAATCCATTATTTTACCTGTCTTAGTGCAATCTTAATCAAAATGAAGCTCTCGTGCCCAATTCCCAGATATCAATTGTTTTCAGCTTGCTCCCTTTAAAGCTCCGAAGTGCAACTCACCAGCATGTGCTCTATGTTGTATGTACATGTGTAGACTGAGGATGGAGCTATTCCGGACATTGTGCCGTGGGTGCGGGGAGGGGGTAGACCGGGCGACCCCTCGTGGAGGTAGGCACATTGACAATCATATCATTCTGTTCTTTGGTTTTGTCTTTTTTTGCTGCAACGCTGTGCTTCGTGGTGGTGTGAGTGTGTGTGTGTGTGCGTGCGTGCGTGTGTGCGTGTGTGTGTGTGTGCGTGTGTGTGTGTGCGTGTGTGTGTCTGTATGTGTGTCGCTGTCGGTGTGCCTGTGTGCATGTGTCCGTGTGTGTATGTGTTGTACTGGGCTCGCTGGTATATTTCAAACATTGCACCATGACTCGAAGGGAGATGATGGGAGTATACCGGATGTTGTACCGTTTGTGCGGTATGGCGGTAGACCAGCTGATCCGTCTTGGAGGTAATTTCCACACGGCCCTCATTTATTTGCATACATACATGTACCGTAAAGTACCGTTGATCCGCCTCCTCTCTAATTCCCGCCCCCTGTCGATTTTCTACTTGTGAAGCGACTTTGGCGTATACAACGAAAATACGCTGTTGAACCGACACATGCACTGCTGTACACAATACTTGCCAATCCAGGATGAAAATGTGCACAATCCAGCACATCGAGTCTGATCATCTACGTTGTTGTACATCGTACTGCACTTGACAGCCTTGATCTATTTCCCGTCCCCTGCCGAAAACCCAACTGGAAAGCGACATGGCGTGGGGGCCGGATCAACGGTACTTTACGGTACATGCTTTTCTAATGTTTATGTGTATGCACATGCAGGTGTTGTGTCATTAACGTTTGAGCACATTCTGCTTGTATTCTGAGGGCCAGTGTTCATGGCTCTTTGCCTGCCTGCCGGCCTGCCTGCCTGCCTGCCTGCCTGCCTGCCTGCACATGCATGCCTGCCTGCCTGCCTGCCTGCCTGCCTGCCTGCCTGCACATGCATGCCTGCCTGCCTGCCTGCCTGCCTGCCTGCCTGCCTGCCTGCCTGCCTGCCTGCCTGCCTGCCTGCCTGCCTGCCTGCCTGCCTGCCTGCCTGCCTGCCTGCCTGCCTGCCTGCCTGCCTGCCTGCCTGCCTGCCTGCCTGCCTGCCTGCCTGCCTGCCTGACTGCCTGCCTGCCTGCCTGCCTGCCTGCCTGCCTGCCTGCCTGCCTGCCTGCCTGCCTGCCTGCCTGCCTGCCTGCCTGCCTGCCTGCCTGCCTGCCTGCATGTCTGCCTGCCTGCCTGCCTGCCTGCCTGCCTGCCTGCCTGCCTCAGTGCCTGCCTGCCTCAGTGCCTGCCTGCCTGCCTGTCTGCCTGCATGTCTGCCTACCTGCAATCATGCCTACATCTATGTATATTTCTTTATGAGCATGTTTATCTGCTGTACAAGTGCATCCTGCAAGGCCTGACTCCACTTTATGCCGCCGTTTTAACGCATGCCCGAATTTGCATTTCATTTGCCTTTGTGCTACAGTGCCGCATATCCCCAGATTGCATGGTGCATGATGCATTACTATGGTGACACAACCGTGGCAACCAAGCACGCCAGTGGCTTGATGAAGTACGTGCAAGAGATGATGGGAAGGGTAAGTGAAGCCATTTGTCATTCAACTGGGGTAGTGTCTATATCTGATGACATCATCAAAATGTTGTTTGTATTGAATCTTTACTGTGGTCGTGGCTTATACTCCGGAAAATGTGGTACTTGAAAGCACTTACTGTTGTGATCATGATGTGCTCATGCACAGAATGGATGTGATTCTGTTAGAGTGGTCATTGCTATTGGATTTTCTTCATTGAGATTCAAGGTGCTGATTTCTCAGTTTGCGGGCTTTACGAATTGACATTCGCTTCTATTGCAACCGGTGTGTGTGCCTGCAGTCACCTGAGGACTTCACGAAGTACCCTGGTTCCTACGGGGATTGGTGTCCACCACCTCCCAACAAGAGGGTAAGAAATACACATGTACATGTCTAGTATCTATACAGTAGAATCTCCCTGGGGGTGGGGGTTAATACCCTACCGGCAACTTGTGAATAGCAACACTTGCCTCGTGCTCGATCGAGGGTTGCTATTAATAAGGTTGACTGTATGAAGAATGCCACTCCACAGAGGACACCGTCTACAAAGGGCACCTCTCTACAAAAGGCAGCTCTCTACAAAGGGCACCTCCACCGAGGACACCTCTCTACAAAGGGCACCTCCTATTAGGACACGTCTCTAAAACGTACACCTTTCCAGCAATGAATTGTGCAATACATATTGGTTTGTGTTGGGAGGAAGTCCGTCTGCTGCATCTCTGTTCTTTGCATAACTTGCACACTATCCAATGGATAGGCAACGCAGTACCCATTGCTACTTGTGCCATTCTTCAGTTCCCGTCAGTTCTGTATCTTGCTCTCCTCCTGTGCAATAGGTAGCTACAGCCGTGCCGTCGGCATTCAGCTTCACCAACAACCTCCGACAGGTAAGAGTCACGTGGGCATTTCTCTATCCACTCTCCGTCTCACTGCCCTTACTGTCTAACCTGTCTTACATGCGTTGTAGCCGGTCTTTCTGCTTTTGCTCTATTTCCACTGGGCCTCGGTTGGTAGTGGTGGGCGGGTAAATGGTAGGGGAGCGTGCAATGGCCAATGGGCCCGTTGAAACAAGGTCGGCAAGAACTGGAGACTACAATTGTGGACACAAAACCATGGTTGATGCACTCCAAGTGGATTTGTGTAGTCAGTTGAAGAAAGACAGGTTGGCACGGGCTGCACTAGCATGTTGCACTGAAAAGTGCAGAAACATATCGTACAAAACACAGCTACACAGATTATGGTGACTTGTGAACGCATTTGTGCCCGTGTTGCTGGTCCTTGCATGTCTTTTAGATCGCTGAGATTGCGAAGGCCAATGCAACGGCTGTAGCATTCCTCACCAACACGTCCAATGAGTATGTTCAGAGATTCGAGAAGGCATTCCTCTCCACAGGTGAGTAAAGGAGTGTGTGTGTCTCCATCTGTCTTACTAACTAACTTACTAGACTGTGTTTTATTCCCGTAGCTATGCAGAAGACGTTACTTCAGTAACGTCTGGCGCTAGCCAGGGTCCACACAGCTTTAATTTGGTGTTTGTGTGTTTGTGTGTTTGTGTGTTTGTGTCACCCCTGGAGCTACCGTATCTGTCCCGTATCTGTCCCGTATCTGTGATTTGGTGTTTGTTTGTGTGTGTTTGTGTCACGCCTAGAGCTACCGTATCTGTCCCGTATCTGTGACTACAAAGGTTCTACAGGATTGTACATAACAGCTGGCCACAAACAGCTGGCCACAATATTCGTCGTATTATGTTTACGACTCCCTGATGTAGAGGGAGATTTGCAAAGAAAATTAACCCTTTAGGGCCCACAATTATTTCAAGAAATGCACTGCATACGCGAGCCCGGGTACTTATCTGGTCGTAACTTTGGTGTCCTTTGGCCGATTTTGGTGATCTTGGGCTTTCTGGAAAGCTCTTGGCCAGAGGAACACAGCGATAGCCAGCAATACATCACTCGATCCACAGAACCAGCGCCGCAGCGCGATACGGCGCTCCAAAGCCAGCATTGAGAGCGCCCAACTCAAATTCTCTGCCATTTCAACAAATTACATCGCAGATCGCTCAAATTTTTTTCTGGAGAGATGAGAAACATGCCTTTGCGATGACGTAAACTATCTGTAGCTGCGTGGGCCGCGAGTCAGGGGAAACCCCTAAAAACGAGTTCAAAATGCACGCGCTCGAGTTGACTCTGCTGAGCGAATTTAGTTCGAGTCTCGTATCTCCGCTCTCCGAACTCGGATCGCTTTCGGGTTTTTTCAAACCGATAGCTGAGACAATTCTAATGTCGATAGCCCTTTCGATTGTCCGATTTGGTCAAGGGACGGCCGAGTTACGCCAGGTTGCGCTTTGAAAAGTATGCACTGTACACTGGTACGGATATATCCGTACTATGGGCCTCAAAGGGTTAATAGTAGGGGTGAAACAATTATACCGAATACTCGAGTACTCGCTCGGTTTTTTCAGAAATAATCGTACTCGGAATAAATCAGAGTACTCGTTCATACGTGGTACATGCATTTACCACAGAAATCTGCAGTTTCAGAGCAGCAATCGGCAGATATTGATGTGCAGACTGTGTGGTGAACATTTGTTCAAGAGTAGAGAGAGCCCAAATGACCCAGCAACCAATATACCAGAGAAAAATGACTGCCATTCGGTTCAATCAGGGGTGTATCATGTGATTTTAAGGCCCTCGGTGTGCAATTTTTAGGAGATGAAGAATACTCGAATACTCGAATATTCGCTCGGAGAAAATCAGAGTACTCGAACTCGGGATCTCAATGCCAACTTTCACCCCTAGTTAATAGGGAGACGAGGAGGAAATAAAATTAGAATGGACGCTAGTTGCGGAATAGGTGATAGGATGCGTCAGCAAAAACATACTTTGGAAGAGAGATCCTTTGGAAGAGAGATCCCGTCGTCTCCAAAATAAGCGTCAACGGGCGATTCAGCGCCGGTCACAGGAAATGTCGGAAGAGAGATCCTGTCGACTCCAGAACACCCGTGATCGGCAGAGTCAGCGCCGGTCCCAGGAAACGTCAGGACAGACGCAGAATCGACTCCAAAATAAGCGTGAACGGGCGATTCACCGCCGGTCACAGGAAACGTCGGAAGAGAGATCCCGTCGAGTCCAGAACGCCCGTGATCGGCAGAGTCAGCGCCAGTCACAGGAAACGTCAGGACAGACATCTTGTCAACTCCAAAATAAGCGTGAACGGGCGATTCAGCGCCGGTCACAGGAAAAGTTGGAAGAGAGATTCCGTCGAGGCCAGAACGCCTGTGATCGGCAGAGTCAGCGCCGGTCACAGGAAACGTCAGGACAGACATCAGGACATTTTTTGCCTACCTCATTGTACATGTTACTAGAATTGATGGAAATGTTTTTTCCGTTGATTGGCTACATCGTTGTATTGCAAAAACGTTTCAATCAGTATGAATATGAGCTAGGCAAAAGTATTGCGGATTGTTATTTTTCTCTCACTTCATCCGCTTTCGGTTTGCTCCTTCTTTTCCTTTTTATCTCCTTATAATCGGATTTTCTGGCCTTTTTACATTAAAAGCATAGCGTAGGGCCCTGAGCTTCCAAGCTCTCTCGTTTTGTAAGGCCATCATTTTTTATATCTATGTTTCGCGTCGTCCGCACGCATACGTTTTGATTTTTTCCGGAAAAAAATAAAATAATCGAACATGCACAGTGAGTGTACGATCGTGCGAGTCATCAGTGTGGACTGGTTGCATACGGCGAAGCTGGGATTCAGAATTGGCCTCGAGGCCAGGGGCAGGGTTGGTAGATCGTTTGTTCTGCATCTGCGAGCAGAATTCTTTGAGCTTACACCAGACCGCATCGATCGCCTCAAGCTGAGAGGATGCGTCGTTTCGGAGCTCTTTGCACCGCTGCTGAAGGCTGAGTACAATAATCCAGCGAAGCATGGGCACCAACGGTTGCCTCCTCTGTCCAAAGTGATATTTCCTCTTGCTGATAACCCAGATTTTGTGCTTCGATGTACGATTTTTCTTTCGAATGTACACCATGCAAAAGCTATTGACAATAGTCAATAGACTATGTAGTATGTACAGTGCTATACACCTCTGATGATCCTTTTTTTATTATTTTGCAACTTTTTATTTCTTTCCACCTCTCGCATACGATTCTGGAAGTTGACCTGACGCGAAACATAGAAATAAAAAATGATGGCCTAATGTAAAAATAAAAATTCACGGTCCGCGTCAGACTCGGCTAGAGGCCGAGTTTTCCATATCCGTAGGAACACCACCGCCCTTCAAGGATCAAGTCGCAGATGCAGCTCCTTTTAAAGCGGTAGGAGGTGAGTAGATCAGCTCACCAGCAAGTGGTCAAAGACCAAAACTAAAGTAAAGTTTGCACATCTGCGCTTCCACCGCCTATGCAATTGTGTTGAGAAACAGGAACGGCAGCCATACCCAAGGCTTTCGCACTTTGTGTATGATATGGAGGTTATGAACATGGCCTCCTTGGCAGTAAACACACGTCGGTGTGGTGTTGTATAGTGTTGTGTGGTATGGTGTGGTGTGGTGTGGCGTGGTGTGGTATGGTGTTATGTGGTGTTGTGTTTGGTGGTGTTGTGTTTGGTGGTGTTGTGTTTGGTGGTGTTGTGTTTGGTGGTGTTGTGTTTGGCGTGGTGTGGTGTGGTGTGGTGTGGTGTGGTGTTGTGTTTGGCGTGGTGTGGTGCGGTGTGGTGCGGTGTGGCGTGGTGTGGTATGGTGATATTTGGTGTTATTTGGTGTTATTTGGTGTTGTGTGGTGTTGTGTGGTGTTGTGTGGTGTTGTGTGGTGTTATGTGGTGTTCTGTGGTGTTCTGTATACAGGTGGTCACTATCTGAATGACATGCAGGTATCGTACGCTCTGGGAATGGCGTTGGACAAACAGTTCACCTCATCACCACAAGCAGCTAAGTACGTTGCAACGACTAGATTATATCAAGTACATGTGAAGAGCTGACATGCAAAATCCGCTAAATCCATTTAATCACCGTTTCGGATAATGGCTAAAATAGGACGTATTTTATGTGCGGTTTGTATCTAAGTCCAAATTTGCCCTCCAGTTTTGAAATGGTTCTAGTCAGATTTTGGATAAGAAATTTTGCCTAGTGGTGCGTGCCCCTACAACTTTTGATCACACTTAGCTGAAAATCAGATTTTCTCAAATTTGACGCTTATCAGGTTTTGCATCTCAGCTCTTCATGTAGTGACTTGTGTTGAAATAGGTCTGCAGCGGGCTACACCTAATAATCTGGCTGGGGGGAGGGATAGGGGTGGTAGGGGGGGGGGGGGGGGTAGGAGTGGTGGTGGGGGTAGGGGTGGTGGTGGGGGGTAGGAGTGGTGGTGAAGGGGGGGTAAGAGTGGTGGTGGGAAGGAGTGGTGGGGGGGGGGGGTAGGAGTGGTGGTGAAGGGGGGGGGGTAGGAGTGGTGGTGGGGGTAAGAGTGGTGGGGGGTAGGAGTGGTGGTGAAGGGGGGGGGGGGGGTAGGAGTGGTGGTGGGGGGTAGGAGTGTTTGGAGGTAGGGGTGGCTGGGGGGAGGAGCTGGGGGGGGGAGGAGCTAGAGGGGGTGGGAGGAGGGGTGGAGGAGTAACCCTAGCCCCAAAATTGTGCAACTGAGCAAGTAGCAACTCTGCCATGCTAGTGACTGCTGCATCGAGTGGCAAGGGCTTCTTCCACGTAGGCCCGAAGGCACATGTATGTGCATGGCTGCATAACTGTTACTAGTAGTCTGTGCATCATACCTCTGCATTCATGACGCCTGGAACACTACATGCAAGTCCGGATGCCACTCTGTTAAACACTACGTGATCACCCGTAAAATTCCGGCTCGGTACAATTTCGTTCAGAGCGTGGAGCCAAGCCTCGCGAGGAGCGGGACTCTTGGGAACTCAATGGAACACAACGCCATTGGCAGCGGCGACCTTTGCCTCGCCCTTCCCGTTGTTCTTGCAGCAGGGGATACTGCATACATTCGTCATGATTACTGCCACTCGTTGGCTACACATTCTCTGGGTTACGTTCACAATTGCCTCGGTCCAAGCATATAATGAGTATCATCGCCACGGAGAGCCGACCCAACGGCACTGCCCTCGCTGTCCACGCCCCACAGCAGCGGACGGTGACTGTAGTCAGTTTGAAACCAGTGATTTTACTATCAAACAAATCACTTTTACGGGCAGAAAAACTATTCCGATAGGAGCACACAAGTAATTGAAGAGAGAAAGCAATCCGAGAAGACTACATGTACTGGTATGTGAAACTTCAAGGAAACGAATAGATTGTTTAAAAGGTCTTTGAGCCATTGTTAGATTGTCCAGATTGACGCAGGGACGCTGTTACTGGGTCTCAGCCGGCAGCCTGTCGACACAGCACCAAAAATGACGAGCGGACGCGACATTGGTACAAGGACCGGCAGCCGCGAAAGCAGGTTATTGCCCAACGTACAAGGCAGTGTTGACAGGCTGCTGGCTGAGATATTCGTGCCCGGGGCTTCTGGACACGGCAGCAGGACGCCTATACGAACCCAGGGCCCTGTACGGTGCCAAGGTCACTGAAGTCGAGAGAGGCTCTTTCACCCCTCTTGTGTTCGCCACGATTCGAATGGGATGGCGCAGCCGGAGTGCTCATGATTCTTGGTGACCCTTGCGGGGCAGGTTAACAAATGGTCAATCGTGAAGGCATGACCACAGACACAAGTGGACGGTATTCCAGGGAGCTGCAGGCCATACCGTATAACAAGTGCGTCACGGAAGTCACTGGCATTTAAAACAATGCCGTGTGCCAGACGAGGCTCCACTGTAAGCCACGAAGACACACCGGCAGAGCCGGCAACGTCGGTCAAGAGCTGCTGTGTTGTGGATAGCTGATCATGCAGACTGGCCAAAGATGCTTTGTCAGCCCGATGCCGCTTGACTGCAGCAGCTCGCCATTAGCCTCCCGCTTCCCGGAGCGCCTCTGCCGTCTCCCGTATGCCAGACGAAACACCGCCATCAGCCCTGCCATCAGCGGCCGAGCCCGCACGACCAGCCTCAGGCACGTCCAGGAACCTGTATAGCCTCCGTACGGGCCGAATCGCCTGAACTGTACCCTTGTACATTATTGCGGCGGTGTCCGCCAACATCGGAATGGCTATGCTGCCACACTTCGAAGGTGCTGATAGCAATCTGCGCAAGGCGCTCCCGGAGGCAATGGGTTGCCCCAACAGCGGAGGCAGAAGGTGATCATTCACTGCACCGTCGAGAGGTGCCATGGTATCGCCGGAGCAGAGCAAAGCACGCATAATGTATCGCCACTTAGGGACAAGCCCCCTCACTGCGGCTGTGTACGCTGCATGTGGTTGGGTTTCCGCAAAATCACCGCACCGGCGGACCTGACGTGAAAAGCGACCGACCTCTGCAGCCAGGTGTTGGCTGCAGTACTCCGGCGTTCCGATCGGTGCAGTGATTTATTATCAATAATACTAGTGCTGTACGCTTCACCTCTGATCCTATTTCCACTGACCAGAAATGGGCAGAATGGTACGGAAACTGGGTATAGTACCTCACACTTAACAAAGCCTAAAAGACATGTTATAACAACTGGCTGCACGCTTGCTCCTCCGAAAGACAGCGTATTTCGTCCAGAATTTTCTTGATACACTTCTCTCTGTACTACCTGCGAAGACGAAGTGAAGGCTGAAGGCGGAAGTGAAGGTCGGCTAACTCGCTCCAATGGCCTCGACACGATGACAGTCGAGTCTTGGCCTCCGAACACAGGGGAAACCTCCGCGGACTTCACTTGCACGTGCAGCAGCATTGCGTGCACGCAAGCTGACCTCCTTGGCAGTCCTGCGTTGCATTGTTCAGCTGGCGCTCGAGTACAGTACGAGTGTTAACGGATTTTGAAACGAATTTTTAAAATTCGTTAAATCGTTAGAATTAAATGCTCGTTAACATTACTGGTCCTACAGTACTTGTAAAGCCACCTTTATTATGATGTTTAGAGGGTTGCTTTAGTGTTTGGTCCCATGTCAGGTGCATTGGCGATGACTCGATTCACTTCACAGTGGGCGTAGAAGTTGTGGCAATTCTTACTCGCTTGGCTTTAATCGGTGGAAAACACTGTACATGCGACAAGCATCGGTGTGACTGTTACACTCCAAGGCATGTGCCACAAGCATAGCTATACCTAGGAGAACGCTCCGCATCCCACTGACATATTCATTACTATGCTGTTGAATACTTCTGACCAGCTTCGTCAAGGCCATCCACGCAGCCAAGGAACATCTCACAACCGGAATCATTGGTAGCAAGGTACGCTTGATTGTAATATTCTTGCTGCTGGGTATCGTCTGATGCTATTCCGGTGCAATGACGTCGATGAAAGAGTTTGAACTAAGACGGGTTCTGCTCGCTTTGGGAGGATGGGCAATGCATAGAGACAAAATAGTTGCGGAATGACGGGTTCACTTCACCCCCCCCCCCCCCCCCCCCCATCAACGCTCTGCACAGGCAGACATAATTCTGATTAAACAGGGGCGTCGGAACCGGTGCGGCAGGTGCGGCCAAAGCCGCACCAATAATTTTCGATTTATTTTTTATTTTTTTTACATTTCAACCTTGTTGGTGGCTTGTCGACTCTTGTACAGGTACTATGTACCATGTTTTACATCGACAATGCGGTGTAACATTAGCATGCAATTCTTTTTATTATTCTAGTATGGCTTTTAGGCCCAATTTTCAAAATTTTCCCGGGGGAGGACCCCCCCCCCCCCACCCCCTCTCACACTTTGGCCGCACCAATGTTAAACTGCTTCCGACGCCGCTGTTAAGTTCTTGCCGCGAGTTCACAAGCGCAGTCCAACCTGTTTTAATGGACACCTCAGTAACATGTACTCCCTGGAGGGGAGGTTGCACAGTACAAGTCAGCTGCAGGTGCGAATTTGCACACGTGAACATCCGACGTAAGCTGACTTGCACCCTATGAAGTGAGTGCACTGTTGTCCAGCGGTCCCTTACATCTTGTCTGGTCCCACTGTACCTGCCAATGTTTCACAAGCTTTCCTATGTTCATGTATTCCTGTATTCATGCATTCCTGTATTCCTGTATTCCTGTATTCCTGTATTCCTGTATTTCCTATGTTCCTGTGTTTCTGCTATGCACTATGTATTGTAGTTCACTCTTCCAGTGCTGTCTAAGATGAATGAAGGTGACCTGGCATTGCAAATCGTGGAGCAAACCGACTACCCAAGCTGGGGTACGCCAATATGATTCACGGTGTTGCGGGCAACACTTTGTGTGTGTGTGTGTGTGTGTGTGTGTGTGTGTGTGTGTTGTGTGTGTGTGTGTGTGCTGTGTGTGTGTTGTGTGTGTGTGTGTGTGCGTGTGTTGTGAATGTGTGTGTGTGTGTTGTGTGTGTGTGTGTGTGTGTGTGTGTGTGTGTGTGTTCACATACGGGCACACGCACCCGGTCACGTATACATTTTTATTGCATGTCACGTGAGGGTTGTCCGTACTACGGCCAATCAGCGCCCTCCGCAAGCGGTCTGTATTTCTCGGTATTGCCCGCTCAGGCGGGCAATAACTTTCAGTGTATTGCCCGCTGAATCCGATCACTCTGCGCATGCCCGTTCGTCAGTTGAGTCCTTCACTTCTCCGGAGCAGGTTGTCATTTTGGTGCGATCGATGGTAGATGGACAAAATTGCCATCAGACACACCGGTCACCAAAAGAAGCAACAGGCTCGAGAAAACGGAGGACTCTACTGGCGACGAGCATGTACAGAATAATCGGATTCAACAGTCAATACACCAAAAAGCTACTGCCTACCTGCACGGACTTGTCTCTTCTCTCCGAAGTTAGGACCGGCATTGATGATGTGAGTCGGCCTTCGTCGACCAACTGTTCGAAGAGCTCAGGGAGCATTGCAAGCGCAGGCACCTTGAAAAGAAACGGAAGGTAAAATGAAACCTACATTGTAAATAATTGTTCCCAGTCTTGGACGTGTCCGGCATTGCACCACAAGAAAAGTAATGGTGAAGAAATCAAAAATCAGTTCCCAAACTTTCAAAGCCTCAAACGACGTACATTTCAGAATTTTCTCAACGAACTCCAACTCCAAGTCCACAGCAGGATCCAGGTCGAAGAGGTGCAAGAAAAGGACTTTCAATGCTGATCTGAACTCTATATAGACCGTGGGTGTCAAGCATGCAATAAATGATTTACAGCACCTCGTACGCGCTCGTACACGGGCAATACCGGCTTGATACATGACCTCACTGCTGACGCCGTTCGGTCATGTATCAGCCGGTATTGCCCTTGTACTCGCTTGTACTCGGGTTGTAAATCATACGTATTGTTGGTGTCTGAGTGCTTTGTGGGCAAGAATCCAACTCTAAACCTTTGTTTCCATGCAATCTAATCTGGCTGCTTGTGGAAGGAACGGTTTTGAAGCCTTGTCAGCTACAATAGGCATGCCTGGATCCTGAACAGAGATGCACAGTCATGTCGCTCTCCTCAAGGGTCATTACTCCTCTTTATTTCTGCAGTCGTAATCTACTACAGTGCTGCTCGATGTAATCCAATAGCGCGGGTCAAGTTGGTGCCCTGCAACGTTTCACGGCCCAGTATTCACAGATCTAGGACTGCTCAGTGCCCGGTGCTGCTGCTTTGGATCCTATTCCAATCTCACCATCTTTTTTATCTTGCTTCTACTATCTCTGTTTGCTGTGACTGTTATCATCACTGCTTAGGCTGGATGGTGTTCAATGACATAGAACCTGCTACCGCCATCTGGGAGCTATGGGATGCGTGGAAGGAAGGTCCTGGGATGAACTCGAGGAACCACCATATGTTTTCAAGGTAACAGAGATGCGTGCGTGAATGAAGTCTCCTTCCCCTCTTCTCACTCTCTATTTCTCTCTCTCTCTCTTTCTTTCTCTCTCGATCGATCGGTATTATCTGATCAAATTTGAAAGAGGCAATGTTGAAAATCTGGCTGAGGTGGTGACTGTGAATGATTTTGTAGCTGTACAAGTATATGTGTTTGTGCGTATGTGGGTGCATGCATGCTTGCGTGTGTCTGCCTGTGCCTGTGCATGTGTGGGTGTGTGTGTGTGGGTGTGTGTGTGTGTGTGTGTGCACGGGCGCGCGTGTGCGTGCGTGCGTGTGTGCATGTGTGTGCATAAATGTCTTCACAACCATTCCGGTGGCTGTGCAGCGTGAGCGGATGGATGAGGACTCACGCGGTGGGATTTCACATCACTGAGCCAGGAATGAAGGTAAGGATTAGACCCGTACAGCTCTATCTTTTGTTTGTTTTTTGGTGCGTCCTTTTGGCCGTGATGGCGAGACCTCAGGTCGGCAGAGCCATCAATGCCCCACCATCACTGCTACGTCTCGGTGCAGCGCCTACTCATTAGTTGTCACGTTTCTCCTATAGGCCTAGTCTCCGTACCATTGTCTTTCAATATTTTTTACGAGTTGGGTATGTGAACAAAGTAAAAAATATATTTAAAAAAAATAAAAATTAGAACACCACCCACACTGCAGAGGGCGAGAGCAAGTCGGAAAACACATACATGTATAGTACAGTGCGTATCGGTTATAGTGTGGTCGTATACAAGAATATACTGCCTACAAGAATGAACACTCATTTTTTCATAATCATAACACCTATTTTATGTGTATATTTATTCTTACAAGCAGTATTATCGCATAGTAGAATATATCGGCCCTAAGAATGGATTTTGTGTAGCAAATATGCCAGATTAGTGCAAAATGTATCGCCTGTAGTAATAACATCTGTGCTCTGTGCATGCTCAATACAATAATATTCAACACAAAAAGAGAGTTATGTCCAACTGAGCATTGGAGAATCACTTTTTCTGTCCAGTCGGACTCTTTCTTCCGACTTCTCTCCTATCTGCTGCTCCGCAGTCGCCTAGCACGACCGCGAGTCTGATCCGTGTGTATCATGATTATGTAGACCTACATGATTGTACGTGTCCACATGCCAAACATGTATTATGTCACACGTGCATATGATATGTCACACGTGATTTATCGTGTGTAAGAAATATCGGCAATAAGAATCAAATGTCGTTTTTCAAACACCCACGCTATAACCGATACCTACTGTATTTAAATCTGTGGACAGTTTTGTTTTGTATAGCATTTAACAAATGCAACTATTGTCTGCGGGTGAACTAATGTTACTTGTTCCATACCATGGTACACTGAAGCAAGGTTTGCATGGCCCGGAGATTAGAGACCGGGGAGGGGGGGGGGGGGGGAGGGGCAGGACCGGTGGAAGCAGTCATTGCTTGGTTTGTCCACACCGTAGTCCTTCCTACAGTCGTGTAAGATTATGGCGAGCACACAGTACCTCCTCGGTAGTAGACATGGTGTTGTGAACTCTATGATTCTCTAAATTGTCAGGAACGAACGACCACACGGCACGAGGACGACTATTTACTATTTAACAGTATGTTTCACTTGATCGACTAATAACTAACACTAAGATCACCAGCTAGTTATAGCGTGAAAATGACAGCGTATATCAGAAAAGCATACACATACAACATACAACTACAGCGCACACAGCAAATCGCACATAGCGTGTGTAGCGTATACCACGCCGTAAACATCAGCGGTACGGCGGAGATGAGATACAACTGCATTGAAACGAACACAATGTCACAAGCGAGAAGGCCGTTCACTCTTGAGAACTTGTGGTTTCGTAGCACATGGATTGGAGGCCGCAAGCGGTTGGTCTGGCCGTGGCCTGACTAACCTGACCGCTTCTGCAGCTCCTGTGGGGAAGGGGAGGGGATGGGAGGAGAGGGACACTGATTGTCGCTTATTAAGTATTTCCTGGGCAGTTCATGCATTGCTTACAGGCCTGTCTGATTTCTTTCAAGCCGACTATGTAGTAACGTTTAGGATCAGACCATGGATGTGTAAGGGTGGTCAAACGTGTGTCCGTATGCCCGGAACGTGCATCCAGTGACGTGACCAAATGCATTGTACTGGTAGGGAAAACACTGCGCCATCACATTACAGCTGACCTGTCTATGCATGCAAGATTCTTACCTAGACAATAATCGATTCAATGCTCATTGTGTTGCTAACTGTGCTCCGCTTAACCAGAAACTCCGCTTTGAGCCGGCCAAGCTGACTGGCTTGAGCTGGGCGCAGGTCAGTCACGACGAGCCGCGGCGCGTGGAGTTCAACTGGCAGAGGCACGGAGGAACGCACTGCGCTAAGGTGAGCAGCAGATGGTCTTGAGTGGGGTGTTGGGGGTTCGTTGGCAACTGCAGTGTGCATGTACAGTGGTGCTGAAGGAAATCCGATCGCGAGAGTCAAGTCATTAGTCCGCCGATAGTGGTCACTGCAGTGTACTTTACAGGGGCGTCGGACACGCTACGGTCACTACGGTATTGACCATACCACTATTTGCCGCAAGTACCCCGTGAATCAATAAAATGCACTGATTTGGGCTCTAAATTACCAAAATGTTCGTCTCCGCCACCCCTCCCTCACGCGCAAATTGTTCTTCAGATAGCTGACCGTACCACACTAAATTACCTTCCGACGCCCCTGCATTACAATTGGTCAGTAGAGTCTAACCTGTCATGGCGACCACTCGGATAAGGTGACCTCCTGTCCTAGAAGACCACTCGGAAACCAGTACCAACGGATGCTATTTCCAGTCAAAAGACGACCCTGGATAAGGAGACCACCCGGTGACGGAGACCACGTTTTGAAGGTCCCTTCAGCGGTCGTCTTAGACAGGGTTCACAGTATGTCATCGTGTCCTCTTCACCTGTGTCAGACTGGCAGAGCCCGGCACACTGTTACCGGCACATGGTTGTCACCGTATCGGCCACCTTCAACAAGAAGATTGGCACGTCTGCTGAATGTGTTGATTGAAGCGGAGCAAAAACAGTGGTGACCAAATCTTTAGCCTTGCATGTTCTTGAGTGGTGCAACTGCAGCACGCGTCGTTTGCCTGGCGTCATATTTACAACCATTGTCTACGAGTGGTCAACGATCAGCGTGTTTGTGTACCTGTGTTGTTGGTTGTGTGTGTGTGTGTGTTTGTCTACTGTGTGTCCTCTAGTCAGCAGAGGGTCCATCGCCAATCAACAATAAACTGCCACAATCTGATCCCATGCATGTCACGTGTGGAGAACATGGTGGTGTCATCACCTCTGTAAGTCACTTCTCCATACAGGTAATGTAATACTGAGTGAGCACTGTCGGTCGCCAGAGAACTGGGGGGGGGGGGGGGTCAGCCTCCCAGCCTAGATTGTTCTAATGTTCATGTCTTACAGGCTATGTACATGTACAGTCGAGTCACCGTGTCCAATGTATACATTGGTATGCGGTGTGTGGTGAATTCTAGCCCTGGCTGTCCTTCTTAGGCGCTCCGTTCTTAGGCGCTCCGTTCTTAGGCGCTCCGTTCTTCAGCACCCGACAGTGCTGTACTGTGTACTGTGGAATGTACTGCATGTACAAAACTAAGTGCGGCTTAGTATTGTCAACTGAGGCTGGTCGAAGATGATCCGAACAATCCAGTACATACACATGCTATTGACAACTTTCCTCTTTCTCCCTATTTCTCCCTCTCTCCCTCCACTCCTTCTCCCTCCCTTTCCCTCCCTCTCCCTCCAACCCCTTCCTCTCCCTCCCTCTCCCTTCCTCTCTTTCCGAGCCCTCTCCCTTCCATTTCCCTCCTTCTCCCTTGATCTCTCTCTTTCTCTCACACATGTACACGCAAACACACTCTCTCTTTAATTCCTCACAGCACTTCTTCCCGTTCCCGTGCCATGACGTAATAGTGTTCTTGTTGCCACGGACACTGTACTATTCTTGCTGAAGCAAACACTGCATCATCATCATCTACATGTTCTGCCTGTGTCCAATCAGGTTGACTTTGCTTCATTTGGAAAGCCAAGCGGTCGATGCGGCCATTTTGAACAAGACGAGACCTGTCACAGCAACAACTCTTTAAAATTGGTAAGTCAACTGATGAAGTCAAGACTTAGAGAGGGTAGCTAGTGGGGGGAAGAGAGAGGGGTGGGGGGGGGGGGGTTAGACTAAGCTAATGAGGTCAGAAGGGTAGGCAGTGGGGGGAAGAGAGAGGGGTGGGGGATTAGACTAAGCTAATGAGGTCAGGAGGGTAGGTAGTGGGGGAGGAGAGGGGGGGGGGGGTTAGACTAGCTAATGAGATCAGGAGGGTAGGTAATGGGGGGAAGAGAGAGGGGGGGGGGGGGGGTTAGACTAAGCTAATGAGGTCAGGAGGGTAGGTAGTGGGGAAAGAGAGAGGGGTGGGGGGGGGGGGGGTTAGACTAAGCTAATGAGGTCAAGGGAGTAGGTAGTGGGGGGAAGAGAGAGGGGGGGGGGGGGGTTAGACTAAGCTAATGAGAAAAGAGTTGGTGGACAAGCCGTTGATTATTCACTCTCATTGTAATATCAAAAAGTATTCTTTCTAGACCAAAGAGTGGTATATTTGATAACATTTAATAACGATAGAAATTTTTACGATACTTCTCCAGACGTTTCGTTGTTCTGAACAACATCGTCAGTGGATAAAGAATGGAGGGCTTTGGGTGGTGGCACGGGTTAATAGGGAGTGATGGTGGTGAGATGAGGTGAGGTGAGAAGGTGAAGGTGGGAAATACATGTATCTAAGTTAATGGTGAAGGTTAGGTGCGGGTCGATACAGGTGGGAATCGATACAGGTGGGTCGATACACCGAAGGGTGTACCCCTTCCCACCTGTATCGACCCGCACCTAACCTTCACCATTAACTTAGATACATGTATTTCCCACCTTCACCTTCTCACCTCACCTCATCTCACCACCATCACTCCCTATTAACCCGTGCCACCACCCAAAGCCCTCCATTCTTTATCCACTGACGATGTTGTTCAGAACAACGAAACGTCTGGAGAAGTATCGTAAAAATTTCTATCGTTATTAAATGTTATCAAATATACCACTCTTTGGTCTAGAAAGAATACTTTTTGATATTAAGCTAATGAGGTCAGGGGGGTAGGTAGTGGGGGGAAGAGAGAGGGGGTGTGTGGGGGGGGGGGGGGGGTAGGTGTTGCATCCCCTACTTGTTGCTGCACGTTGTGACACGTAGCACGTTTCTTCATTGCTTTCCTTCTTCTTGTCTTCTGCTGGCTGCAGGCTGAACAGCAGTGCATTGGAAAGAGTGTGTGCATGTTGCCTATAGGCGCTGATTATTGGTAAGTGTGGGGCAATGTTAGTCATGGATGCCGTACTGTAGAGGACATTGAAATCCGTTGAGAATATCAAGCGGCCACGGGGCGCTGGCCTTGCAGCCACCGTGAGCACTGCTGGTCCATTTTTACCGTGTGTACGTGACCTACAGTGCGTGTACTCGCTAAAAGCAGTATTAAGAGGGTGCTGGCCCCGGTTATCTTATCAGATCGCAATGTCCACGACAGTAGATACGTAGTGTATGTACTGATACTGATACTGATGTACACTCATGGATACGCATTACGTCATCATTACGTCATCACTATCATAACGATGACGTCACACCACAAGCAGATCATTTCAGTATGGCTGCTATTAATTTATAGTCTGCCTGCCTGTATATGTATCTGTCTATCTATCAACTATCTATGACTGTATCTACCTATCCATTTGCATATCCGTTATCAATCCATGTATACCTGTTAGACTCGGCAGGAGAGCCAAGGATTAATTTATAAGACGAAAAGAGGAACAAATTGCCAGTTAGGTGTAGAACGTCAGTACCGTTGGTCAGTGTCGTGCAATGTTATCGCATGAGCTGATTGTTTAGTAACTGGTGGTGTTAGTGGACATTATAACGTAACTTGTAGCTCTTTGGTCCTCTTTTCTTCTTGTATATCTGTCTCTCCACTTCTTGTCATTGTCCTGTTTCTCTTGCCCTTCATGTGCTGCGCCCAGGGGAAATCCCTGCGGAGGCGTCAAGCGTCTGTACATACAGGTGACATGCAGCAAGCCACACACGGTGACTACTGATATCACAGTACCGGTGAGTGATGTAGCATTGTCGCTCAGTTGTGTACCATCTCAAACGCCATGATGTAGCATAATCTGATTTGATTCGAAGGAACGAGACCGTTATTGGTGTGAGTGAGTGAGGTTTCGTTCATATATAAGTGGCTGCGTTTGAGTTTTTGTGGACAATTAGGGCGCGTTCGAATTGTCTTCATTAACTGTTCAAACAAATTTTATAAAGAGATTAGCTGAAGTGTCTCATTAGAACGATTTCTATCACTTTAGAGTTGTTCAGTGGAATTGTCATGGCGATGATGACTTCCGATCAGATCGACCATCTCCACGTACTACGTGACGTAGCTATTCCAAACTCTTCGAAACTAATCAACCTTCCCATCGGATGAGTTTCGAGGAGTTTCGAGGAGCTTCGTTTTTCTGAAGAGGCCAATAAGGCCACCTCTTCAGAAAAACGAAACTCCTTGAAAAGTCAAAGAGTGACAATTCGAACGCGCCCTAAGAAATGTTCACCCCTCCCCCCCCCCCCCCCTCCCCCCGCCTCCCTCCCCTGGTGAAACGTACATTTGATTCGCAATGACGAGACCGTTATTGGAGTGTAGGAGTGAGGTTTCATACATGCGTACCGTATTCTCCGGAGTATAAGCCGGAGCCCCATTCTTTTGCCTCGAAATACAGACATCAATCCTAATTATCACCGTGAATTTGATCATCGGAGTATATAAGGCTGTGTTTACATGAGGCGTTTCAACCCGGGTCAGATTTCAACCCGCCATGTACACAAAATAAATGGCGCGTTTACATGACGCATTGCGCTTGACCCGGGTTGAAATTTCGCCCCAGGTTGAGGGTTGAAATCAACCCGGATCAAGAAAATCGTACAAACGTACTTCTGTGCGTATCTCGCGCCAGGTTTGAACAGCACTGCACATGCAAATTTCGCGCGAACGGATTCACGTGACCATACAGGACTCTAGAAGTGGAGTTTTGGCGGCATATCAGTATTTGACCCGGGTCAACTGTCTTCATGTAAACGCTCACCTCTTTTGTCTATCGTACAGACTTTCAACCCGGGCTGAACTCGACCCGGGTTGAAATTTCTCATGTAAACACAGCCCTTAGCCACAACCACCTTTTTGGGTGAAATTTGAGTGTTCAATGTGCAGCTTATACTCTGGAAAATGCGGTAAGCGGCTGCGTTGGAGTTTGCGGACAATAAGGAAAGTTTATAGCAGCACAGTGCAAGCCACTGTTGTGGACGCTAAAATCCGTTGAAAAGTCAAGCGGCCACTGGGCGCTGGCCTTGCAGCCGTTCCATTTTGCAGTGTGGCCGTGAACTAAAGTGTTATTATGTTGCAACGGCCTTTTCTCCACCTCAGTGCTCCCAGTCCCGTGCCATCTCCACACTGTTATACAAAGGGACGACGATAACTACATTTAGGAAGAGACTGTTTATTGCAAGAGAACTACGGAAACACAACTAGACATGACGAACTCAAGACGAAGACTGCTTTTCACACCACAGCAACACGCGCATGCACCAACGCGCGGTACACACGACGTACACAAAATAACGTACTACAACATAACTCCCTCCCAAGAGTAGAATCTAATAATCAAATAGAGTAAAAAGAGGAAAAGATCACACAAATCACTCAATCATACCACACCAGTCACACCTAGAAATAAAATACCTCTGCCTGCTTTGCAGATTATTTATTTAAAAAACTTTGTCCGCCCACCCAGAACACCAGCCACAATCGCTGTCACACGGGTGGGAACTGATAACCTGAAAAGCTTAACTAATACTTCACTCAACACACCACCTCACGATCACGCAAAAATTCTAAAATGTGAGAGCACAAATCATAGGAATAACAAAAAGAACAGAATCCACTGGCTCTGTGGGGGCCTCTAGTTATCCTCATAGAAGAGCAAATCAAAAAACGAACAGAACACGCGCGCTGTACCCTCGAGGAGAGCAAATAATAAAGAGCAAAATGTTGGGAGAACATTCAGGCAAGAAGGGGACATGATCAGATGTGTAGTTATTGCAGAATCATTTTTCACAGCTGATGGGTTGTGTGAATCACGCTGGTTGGGTTCACACTTACTAGTACTCGGGATAGGGTTAGTCTGCGCTACCTGATCCGATGGGCTCCTGTTCGGTGTCCGTGCAACTTGGCGTCGTAGTAGCCGAGTACTGCGGCAAGCGCTGGTTGTTGTCTGCACCTTCTTGGAGCCGACACGCTGCATGATGGTTGAAGAGGTGATAGTTGGATTTTCAACTAGCTTCGTCTCTCTTCGTGTGCTGATTTGTATCTCGATATAAGCAGTATTGTATAAATTACCATGACTAGCGTTGACGTTGCAATTCTTGGACTATCACTTGCAGTTGTTGCTTTATCAGCTGCTGTTCTTGACTATGATGTTGAAATTCTTGGACTATCACTTGCTTCATCTCCTGCAGTTGCAGCTTCATCAGCTGCTGTTGATTATGACGTTGAAATTCTTGGAATATCACTTGCTTCATCTCCTGCAGTTGCAGCTTCATCAGCTGCTGTTCTTGACTATGACGTTGAAATTCTTTGGACTATCACTTGCTTCATCTCCTGCAGTTGCAGCTTCATCAGCTGCTGTTCTTGACTATGACGTTAAAATTCTTTGGACTATCACTTGCTTCATCTCCTGCAGTTGCAGCTTCATCAGCTGCTGTTCTTGACTAATCTCCTGCAGTTGTAGCTGCTGTTGTAGTTTTGTTAGGTCCAACAGGTCCAACAACGTAGCGAGATTCAAGGTTTTATCGAGCATCAATGAATCGGGGCGAGTGAGCGAGAGACAACGCAATATAAAGGGCCTGGGTAGCTATGGCAAACATGGACTTGCAAGTAGCTACCCAGGCCAAATGAATATGCATGAACTAATGCATTACATGAATTAATATATATTGTGGGCCTAACAGTTTCAACGTTTTCATTTCGTGAATGACGCTTGACTCCATCTGCATCAGTCCTCCAATACAGCACGTCCTCCTTTGTTTTGGTCGTTGTTTAGAAATGTGTCTAAGTTCGTCTACAAACTTCGGGCAGCCTCTCTACTTACCATTCTGAGGTCTTTCAGGTCCTCCGTGATTATTCCAGAAGCCAGACGTCTAGATGACAAACAATTCGAGACGATAAGTTTGTCAACGACCTTCGGGCAGTCTCTCTACTCACCATTTTGAGGTCTTTCAGGTCCTCCGTGATTATTCCAGAAGCCAGAAGTCTAGATGACAAACAATTCGACACGAGCTGGCACCGACCAAAGCGAACACATCCTACATCTACACGCTAAGACAGTAAGGTCGCCGGTCCCGGCGGCCATTCCATCGGATTTCAATCAGTCCACATTCTGTATCCCGGCAGGAGAATGGACAATAGAGAGATGGTACCAAGAGTATATAACCCCCCAAGAGCGTGCAACTCTGCATATGGGGTCTCCGACGGCGAAAACTCACATCACTTGTCTCAGATACCTTTGTACTACGTACAAACGTAGGATAGCGTGCGCGCAATCCGAATATTTGCCGTGGTCATGCTGGGGATTAGCATACGCGCAGTGAGTTTCTGTCAGAGAGTGCATTCTTTTAGTACTCCGCTGCTCGCTAAAAACGGGCCGGAAACGTACAACTGCGACACTGCACCACATGATGTGAGTTTTCGCCGTCGGAGTACCCAATAGAAAGGGTATCAGGAGTTGCACACTCTTGGGGAGTTATATACTCTTGGGGAGTTATATACTCTTGATGGTACTGTAGGGGCAGGTGATGAGAACTAGCCATGTAAGTAATTGTGTGTATGTACTGGGTACATGATGTACTTCAGTATGTATTCATATGAGTTTATGTTTTTGCATGCATTCGTGTGTGTGTGTGTGCATGTGTGTGTGTGTACATGTGTGTGTGTGTGTGCATGTGTGTGTGCATGTGTGTGTGTGCATGTGTGTGTGTGTGTGTGTGCATGTGTGTGTGCATGTGTGTGTGCATGTGTGTGTGCATGTGTGTGTGTGTGTGTGTGTGTGCATGTGTGTGTGTGCATGTGTGTGTGTGTGTGCATGTATGTATTCATTTGTTTTGCTCAGGCCGGCAGTGAAGGCTTGTTGTCGATGCCCGCGTATGGCACAGAGGTATGGCAATGCTCTCTCCATACCCACGTCAGCTGGCTCCTCGCTCATAGAAGGAAATGATCGTGTTATGTAGTACTAGTAGCATTACAGACTTGGACCATCACAAAAGTGTGCAAAAGCCCACAAACAAACAAAATTAGTTTCGGGTAGGATCCCCCCCCAAAAGAATGCTTTCCCAACCCAGGCTTCACACCTTGCTTGCATACACATTCATGAAGCCTGATTTGCAATTTACGGCCAGACCCCCCCCCTCAACCACCTTCACCATGATTTTTGTTCATTTCGCGGGCTTCTGCAGAATTTCGCAACGGCCCCTTGCGTCAAAATTTATAGAATACCAGTGGCACTGGGATCAGAGATACATCAAAGTCATTGCCATGCTGTTTGCCGGCTTGTCACACATCTTCTCAGAAGGACATGTGTTGTTCTCTGTGCTGCTCTTATGCTTGTGTTGCAGGGCACTGTCCTGTACGAGTCTGGTAACCTGCTCTGGTAAGTCATGTGCAGCGAGCCGTGTACAGCTGGGGTTTCAAGCCTCCTGTGTCGGTGTGCTGACACGCATTTGCTGGAATGTGTCCGTTTCTGCGAGTTGCAGCTTGGTGCTGCGGTAACTCCAGTGGCATACCATAACGTAGGCTTTCTACGTTGACCACTAACTCAGTGTTTATTGATGGTGTGGTGTGCTTGTGTAAACACCTCGCAGGGAGAATGACAGGATGTCCTCCAGCGATCTGCCGGGAATTCGTGATATGCAGTGGGACATGGAGAATGATGCCCTCGCCGTAAGTAGTACGCCGTGTATTGATGATGTCACTTCTAAACCATTACCTCAGTACAGTACATCTAGAACCACCCGTACAACACGTGGCTAAACATTGGAAGAGAAGGCGTCCAATCAGATTGTGTCGTGACAAACACAATTTGACTGGACTTCTTCCCTTTCTTTGTCACGGTAGATAGCTTTGTGCTCTGGGCTGGGGGCTGGGGGTGAATTTCACCTGGCTCATTGTACATGTAAGATGTGGAGTCACCGTACTAGTGGGCTCTGGGATGCAGCCCGTCTCTCTAAAGATCTGTGACTTCTTAGTCTGCATGGCAGGTCTCCACTTACAATACAAAAGAGGAAACCCGGCAAATAGAAGTAATGACTTCTTAATTTTGTTGTAACTCGGAGCGTCATGGTTTGACAGTCGATCATCGGACGACAGTACTCTGTCAGGTATTTAAGGTGCCCTACCTCTAGAAATGTGTTCTCGCAATACACACCGAGTGGATGGATTTCTTCACACTTGCACAATTTGTTTCATTCATTCCGTGCATGGTTGATAAATATGGTGGTAAAGACACACCTGGCAATATGGCGGTAAACACACGCCTGTCCGCACACGCTCCTAAGCTGCAAAGTTCTGGCACAGAGCTCTCCTTCTCACCACCACCACCACCATCAGTTCGCGCCTGGCGCCTCGTCGATGCATGGTTGGCGGTGTCCGACATAGCAGGCTGGTACATCAAGTAGCGCATGGCACATAGAAGATGACACAGCATCGACATAGCTCGATTGCGACGCACGTTTCGTCCCCGCTGGACTCATCAGGCAATCTTCTTCTCGGATGTCTTCATACGGAGCTTGACTCGGGAGAATAAAGTTGAAGACACCACTGCAGCTGTACTTATGGTTGATAAATATGGTGGTAAAGACACACCTGGCAATATGGCGGTAAACACACGCCTGTCCGCACACGCTCCTAAGCTGCAAAGTTCTGGCACAGAGCTCTCCTTCTCACCACCACCACCACCATCAGTTCGCGCCTGGCGCCTCGTCGATGCATGGTTGGCGGTGTCCGACATAGCAGGCTGGTACATCAAGTAGCGCATGGCACATAGAAGATGACACAGCATCGACATAGCTCGATTGCGACGCACGTTTCGTCCCCGCTGGACTCATCAGGCAATCTTCTTCTCGGATGTCTTCATACGGAGCTTGACTCGGGAGAATAAAGTTGAAGACACCACTGCAGCTGTACTTATGGTTGATAAATGTGGTGGTAAAGACACGCCTGGCAATATGGCGGTTAACACACGCCTGCCCACACACGCTCTCTAAGCTGCAAAGTTCTGGCACAGAGCTCTCCTTCTCACCACCACCACCATCAGTTCGCGCCTGGCGCATAAGTACAGCTGCAGTGGTGTCTTCAACTTCATTCTCCCGAGTCAAGCTCCGTATGAAGACATCCGAGAAGAAGATTACCTGATGAGTCCAGCGGGGACGAAACGTACGTCGCAATCGAGCTATGTCGTTGCTGTGTCATCTTCTATGTACCAGCCTGCTATGTCGGATACCGCCAACCATGCATCGACGAGGCGCCAGGCGCGAACTGATGGTGGTGGTGGTGGTGGTGGTGGTGAGAAGGAGAGCTCTGTGCCAGAACTTTGCAGCTTAGAGAGCGTGTGTGGGTAGGCGTGTGTTTACCGCCATATTGCCAGGTATGTCTTTACCACCATATTTATCAACCATAAGTACAGCTGCAGTGGTGTCTTCAACTTTATTCATTCCGTGCATGTGTGACATTATATCCTTTACCGTATTTTCTAGTTGAACAACGGTTTAACCCTATTGATCTTTGTGTTTGATGCCGTCTATATGCAGGTTCAAGTGCTTTCAGGGAAGTACAGGTTTGTTTTGACTGGAGTGGCCCCGTCACATCCGGCAATGACACACACTGCTATTGAAAATGGTAAGAAACGACTTGACCGATTTCTGCTTAAAACAAGTAAATGCAGCTACTTCGGCAATAGTGGAGAAAGCGTGTGTTTTTCCCTGCATAGACGCGCTCACGTATTTCCTACCGTTTGACTTGACGCTTTGACTGACTCGTGACTGCCATCCAGAGCGGCATACGAGAAGTCTGTCGAACCTTGCGCTCGGCAAACTTGCAGGAAAGCACCACAGGCTGCTCAGTACACACCAGTGTGCACGGTGTGCTCTAGATGGCAGTAGTGAGGCAGGCAAGACGTTGGGACACGTACGAGGTCACGGACAGGAATTTTGGTAAGACGACTCGATGGGCTATTGAACCGCCCAACTGCCAACACCCCCTGAAATACCCAAACTTAGAAATGGAAGTTGTTTCAAAGGCTTGAAACCCGACCAAGATGTGAGGTGGTTGTGATTTCTGCTTTCGACGAGCAGGAGGTTTATGCTTGACTCGCAATTTGATCGTGTGCCGCTCTACTTTGTGTGTCTATCTGTACGGCAGATGATGTCCTCTTGGAGTGCCCGGCTGGCCATCGCATTACACAGATACTACGTGCCACGTTTGGTCATGCTGGTCATGATGACGAGTGCAACGTGAAGACTGCCCACCGCACAGTCAAGACCCAGTGCTATATGAAACAACACTGCCGCTTGCAGGTAAGATATGCCATGCACAGGCCGGCTCACATAATGTATACTGAGTACATGTACATGTAAATGTAGTTGATGCATTTTCGTTGCCTTTTCACACCTGTAGCGTGATGCCAAGAGTAGATAAACAAGAGTGTGCAACTCGCGGATGGGTTGGCCCAATGGTCTTACTGTCCCGTTATCATACCAAGCCAGCATTCCACCTTGCATGCCTTGGAATGTAGCTTGTCTTCGGCTTGATGGCGCTTACCTTCCCCTCTTTGGAATTATCACTAATATCCATGAACCTTCCAAGTTGGAAGGCCGTTGGTTAGCGCTATCGAGCAGTGCTCAAGCTCACTTATTGCCGTGGAATGTCTCAGTACTCCTTGTCAGTATGGTGCTACCTTGTGCACGTCTGACTGTTCACAACCTGGTTTAGTTGGTGGACTCTAACGCATAACTTGTGCCCCGCCGTTTTCCTTGTTTCAATTTAATATTTTCCTTGGCTCACCATCTGAGTAATTTATTTTATATGTATTATTATATTCAATGTGTTTTGGGTGTATCGCACAGCAACCATCCAGGTCCGACAACAACAGAACTACACACACCGAAAAGGCTTCTACTTCATTTCGTGCCAACAAACTCCTAACTCCCGAAAACCAGAACAACATGATCAGTTCCTCGCATGCGTACCTGAGGGGCCCGCATGCTCGGAGTGTAAAGACCACATGGCGGGCGTGAACACGTGTCGCAACGGCACGTGCATGCATACAAGTAAAGTGCGTAAAAGAGTTCATACTACACAATGGACCTCTCATGAGTCGGCCAGTTGATATAGGTATCCGTAGAAATGCCGCAATCCTCAATGGTCAAGGCATTAGAGATCTCTCGGATTTCATGTGTCTGCTCTGTGCCGCTACTATGCACTACAGGCTTCATCCTCCATGTTTGGAAGTGGCTGCACCAGGACTGGGTCAAGGCGTCAACTCCACGTTGAAGCGCAGTGCAGCAAGCGCCATGCCTAGGACCAATGCTCACCATAGATGGTAACTAATGCTGTTGCCATAATACCTATAATGGCAGGTTAATTTTGTGGAGTTGTCACTCGACCACTACCACGTTGTATCCATCCATTTGGAGATTTAAATTCCTCGCCTTTAGATTCCGGTCTTGCTTCAAAGCCAGGCCCAGACACTCTCTCTTGTCTCTCTGTCGGCACCCTGTCACACAAGAATGTGTGTGTGGCAGTGTGCACAGCTTCTTTAGCTTTAGTTACTAGTGTGTTACGATCAAGAACTCATCTTCTCCCTGCTTCTACTTTCTTCGATTTATTTTAGACAACTATTGTAGAATCATTTTTTGAATATGTTGGTGTTGTGGACTGCTGGTCAGTACCACCACTCGAGGCCCTCGAGTACTTCAAGTTATGCTCTCCCTGTTGCTAAAGATCTCGGCGTTGGATTGCTGGGTGACTGTGCAAGCGTATGGTCGACCGGTCGTCTTATACCCGTGTGCTGTGGAGAAGATACCGTATATTCTCAAATAGAACTAAGTGCAGGTCTCCATGACTAGCGCTGTCTCCAATACCAGCGCACTAAGAGGACCTTGGTAGTTGCCTGTGTCCGTCTACACCGTGTGTACATGTCATTGATGTGGGGTATCAGCCAACACTGTGTGTACATGTCATTGATGTGGGGTATCAGCCAACACCGTGTGCACATGTCATTGATGTGGGGTATCAGCCAACACTGTGTCATAACCCAACAATCTGCACATCAGTGTTTCAGCATGATAAAATTCAAGGTTTCAATCCGGTAAAGTAGCGACCTGAGTCAATAAATAAGCAAGCGGTGATGCAGCAGCAGCAGTTGAATACAAAAAAAACACAGGTATCAAAACCTGGCGTTAGTGGCACAGAGTAATTGAGCAATACAAAAAAGGAGTGCACAAGTTTGTGCGCGTGCGAGCATGTGTGTGCATACACGCGTGTGAATTATATGGGGGTGATGATAAAACTGCTTGTGAACATCGACATACGGTTGTGTCAGCAAATGCACGGGGTGACAAAGGGGCAAACGTGTCAACAGAAAAAATCGGCACCACAATCTCAAGCGCTCACATCGTAACACTACGAAATAGAGGCCGCTAGAAAGCGAACGCACCGCCCAGGCTGAGGGGGTGGGATTTCAGTTGCCAGCACTGTAGTACTGAATGCAGCTACTGTTACTGAACACAGTTGCTCCTCAGGGAAGCGCACAGACAGCGCAATCCAGTAGCTTGCTGTACGATATTCTGCTGCTATCCATCGTATCATCACACCCATACTCATGCTATGCTTTCTTGGCCGGTGGTTTAGCTGTTGCCGCCGTGGTGGTGGCAAAGGCAGTGTAGGCCAGTGCTAGTAGTACGGGAATGGACAGGGCGGTGAGCATCAAGACATTGCCGGCGCCGCTCCACTGGTAGTGCGTTGCTATCCAGCCCAGCGGGAAGCCAGCCGACAAGCCACCCACTGCATGACAACACAAACACACAAATATCACATGAACAAGCGTGTTAGACAACATTGAGGTGATCAATGAGGTGCATGCGCATGCATGCATGCATGCAGTAATTCCCCTTAAACGTGCGTGAAAATGTTTCAGCTTCAGAGGGCTAAAAACAAAAACAAACAGTGAAGAAAACAACGGTTGTACAGTTCTCGTGTGGTGGTTGATGGGGAAAAAAGAAAAGAAAAAAACAGAGTTTCAGAGGGCAAAAGCACATTTCGACCTCATCTTAAAAATTCTCCAGAGACTGGAAAACGTTTGTTTGGGTCACGACTTACTCTGTCCAGCCAACGCCGTGACAGCGTGTGCTGCTCCGGCCAGGGAACGTGGTGCTGCCTCCAGTGACATGACGCCCAGCAGGCAGATAATACCGTACGTACTGCAGCCAATGCTGAATGCACTGATGTACACAAGGATCTAGAAGCACACGGTGACACGAAAACACAACCTTTGAGAATGGATCAAACATGACATCACCCGACATATCCGCACACACTATTGTGGTTACTGTGTAACATGTAATTTTCGGTGTATTTTTAAATTCGGTAATTTTTTTTCGGTAGAGAATTCAGGCACCGGAACTTACCGTATATTCTCTATTATAAGCACAGGTCTCCATTACTAGCACAGTCTCTAATACTAGCACACTGTGAGCACCTTTCGAAACATTATAAGCACAGTCTCTTTTATTAGCACGGTCTTGGTGGAAATCAATGCTGCATGCATGATATCTAGCATGTATTTCTTCTTGCTCTGTATGGATGCATTGGTTTAAATAATATAAGCACGGTCTCCAATATAAGCGCGGTCTCCAATATAAGCACGGGGTAGAGGGCTGTTGAAAAAATACAAGCACGGCGCTTATAATAGAGAATATACGGTAGATCATACCTTAAAGGCACTAGAGTACACACTGTATGAGAAGGGTAGGTTGGTCACCTAATTCTACATTACACCTGAAACCTGGCAGGTCCCTAGTACCGAAATTTAAATACACCTAAAATTACATGATATTAGTGCTGAAACGATTACGTTTTTTCCTTAGTGGCTTAGCTGATACCATAACGATCGGCTTATCGGCTAAACGATTATTATTGCAACTACATCAGTACGTGTACGTTTTGTGAATTTCAAAAAAATTACGAGTCCAACATTGCCAACGACGGATAGCGGGCGCATAGATTCGATGATCCCACAACAAGTCCGTCAGCTGCTCGGACTGACCAGACGAACACAGACAAGACAGAGGCAACGCACTGGTTGCAACCCAGGAGCTGATGGTGCCCTTCGCCTGTGACTTCGCTGACTTTCACGATGAAGTCAGAGAAGCCGGCCAGGGGTGCAGATTGGCAGATTTCGATGGATGAGCTGACTTGAGGCGCGCCAACAAGTAACTAGTTGCTTTTCCTGTCTATGCTCAAAAGAGGCCCAGACGCCAGGCCTAGCTCGTCGTCGAGCAAACTGGTTCGGGAACCGTCGACAGAACGGAAAACACGAAACTGAAGACCATGTACCACTTTACTGTCTTTAGCGCAAGACTACTCGCACGTGGAGGGATTTCCAGCCCCTGCAGCTAGCTAGTGATGACACGTACTGAGCCAGCCCGTCCTGCATGCTGTATGTAAGAAAAGTACTAGTACAGCATGTAGTCAGTTCAAAAGACGGCGACGGTGACACGTCGATGTTTCTCAGATCGTGCTTGTACTTTTACACGTACATCGATGTTGCAAGTGTGCAGTCATGTACATATTCGTGCCGTACTTGCAACACTTTCGATATATGCACGCTTTGTGCGACCCCCAAAAGGGGGGGAAATCCCATACCGAGCGTAAGTAACATTCTGCTCGTTTAGCCGATAAAATCGAAATAACCATTCGATCTATTTCTTATCGAGTAAGTAACGAGTAATCGATATAATCGTTTCAGCACTACATGATATACAGTAGGCCGTTCCTTTTTGAAACACTCCACCGCTCCATACTCCATGTTGGCCCACATTCACAACACCGTAGCGAGGAAATATTCGTTCTTGGGTAGATTTTGCATATCCTCCAGACAGCTGTTTAGATCACTGAGAGCTCCTCAGCGGAGGTAGGTAAGAAAAAACGATAGGCTTTTTCATCTGTACAAAAATCTCAAGCATGGTTGCAGGACTGCATGCGTGAGCCACTCAGCGAAAGGGAGCATGCCATGCAATACATGAAATTGCTAGATTGGCTCCACTGTCAGCACACCAAGATCACTTTCTACACAAGTTTAGCCACATGATCAGGGGGGGTTTGAACTAGCACTCTAGAGCAGAGAGTACTAAAATACCGGTATACTACTACTCCCTGCTCTACAGCAAGGCATGTGCTTACCAGTGAGTCCGCTATCCAATGCAAGAGGATGTAGGCACAGGCAGACCAGATACCGTAGAGCATGGTCAGGGGTATACGCGCCACTGCACTGCTTTCCCACTGCAACTGCACTCACACAAATATCGATAGAGACAGAGACAACACACAACACAAAGAAAATAGATCAAGATCTAAAGGCTTGTTCATTTGACATGCATATGCACAAACATATGGACACACGAACAAATACACCCACATACCCACACATACACACGCATGCACACACACACACATAATGAACCCCACATACACATGCCATTATGGGATGCACCCCCCCCCCCCCCCACACACACACACGCACACACCGTATTCCGAGTGCCATTGATAGCAAGGCTGATCCAAGCACGCACACCACAGTACTACAGCAGCAGAGCTGACAGCCAGTATGCACTGAGTCTGTGCCATCAATCACCAATGCACTTACCACTCGCAGAAGATAATCCGATGCAAAACCAGTCACCAAGCTACCACACACACCGCCCGCTTCAAACAGGAACATCACACTTCCAGCTGCACAAGTGAACAGATATAAAGAAGAACACGAGCAGGTACTGTTAGATGGAGGCAGACACTCCACTGGGGAACATACCACCACAGGGATGCAGACCAAAACTTTGGAAATCCAACCAAAGCTTGCACAGTTCTCAAACACGCACACATGCACGCACAGACAGGCAGACACACACACACACACACACACACACACACACACACACACACACACACACACACACACACACTTGTACTTGTACTTGTTGCTCACTGCCAAAACTGGTCACGTGGGTCTCCCCGGGAGAGGGGAGAGAGACTCAAAAGGAATCTTGGAAAGATGACTCAACTGGCTATTGAACCGCCCAACGGCCGACACCCCCTGAAATCCCCAAAACTCTGGGTGGACTTGAAAATGATCCCACTTATGGGCTCACCACACCTCAGTAAGTGAGTGAGGACAAGGTGCAGAAAAAGGATTGACGGCATCAGGGTATTCGTCCTGGGATCCAACTGCAGTTACCCCTGCCCCCAGTGAAGGTAATACTTGCTACTAGTGTGGGTGGGTAAATCAGAGTGGATCTGATCTAAGCGTCACTAGCATCATTGATTACACAAGAGTTAATCTAGCCAGAAGCAGTCCATGGTTAACAGGTATGTATACTTCAAATAGAAATTAACCTGAAACCAACAAAGGTGGCAGATACAACAATACACCTTCAAGCAGCCGAGCCTGTTGGCAACAGACCCAACACAATCAGGCATAAGTGTACCCACCAACCGGACTAGCTGGCACACACACACACACATACACCAGACAGCACACAGACTTGAGTCATCACGTCACTATTGGCTAAAACACATGCAGCAAGTACACGCACTGCAAATTCCAGTGTAACAGCAGTAAAACCTGTTCCCGGTGCCTTGCAGAGACCACCTCTCTATACGAGACCACCTCTCTATACGAGACCAGCTGTCTTGAAGAGCCGGATCACTGCAGCCCCATGCATCACAGTTCTCATCATGCATTTCACATGAACCTGCACTGAGCGACTGACTTTTGAACATGAACCATCCCTTACCCACACTGTTGTCCAGTTGTTTATTCTGTATGAGATAGAGTAGGCCCCAGTTTGACCATCCTTCCTTGATCAACGATACTAGAAAATAGGATACAGACACGAGCAGTATCATGTGATTCCTGCAGAGCTCTAGCAGGCTGGAGCTGGACGGCCCTGCACCCTGTTTTGAGCGTTCCGAGCGGGGACTGAGCGGCGATACCGGTGCATCGGGGATCAGATACGGGAAAGCAGCGGAGATGGCCACGCACACACAGCCCACGCCGAAGAACATTGTCCGCCAGCCGTACACGCCGACAAGACCGGTAATGATGAAAGGCGCTAGCGTCAAGCCGACATTGCCCGCAGCTGAGAAGGCGCTCCACCATGACGCTAGCTCCGTGCCGCTGCACCAGTTGTTCACTAGCTGTGTGATCGCTGGCCAGCCGAACCCCTGGAATACACCGTTCACAAACCATACAGCAGCTAACGTGGTCACACTGCTAGCCGTTGAGAATGCCATACAAGATATCCCGCTGGCAGCTAGGCCAATGCAATATAGCCAGCTAGGGCTGATCCGATCCGATGCCACTCCGCCGGCAAACTTTGAGATGCCGTAGGCCAAACTCCACGAGCTGCTGATCACTCCCAGCTGGCTCTTCTCCAAGTTCAGACTGGACATCAGGGCGGGCATTGAGTACGTGAAGCTACGCCGTGATAACGTGTAGATCACGTAGCCAAGGAACGTGCTAAAGAACACCCAACGCTTGTTCACAGAGTCAGGGCGCATGATGACTGCTCGTGCACACCACCACGACTACTATTCTTATACAAACTATCAACTAGAGGCCCCGTGTCCCCTGCTAGCTGCTCGTAGCTAGGCAATCACGCCGTGTGCACGGAAGTGATCTGTACTTATAGTGGTGATTCTTCTTCCAAGGACTTAGATGCGTGTGTGTTAGCAACTACGAAAGTCAGCTTGCCAAATTTCTCTTGAATTTCAGAAGTGTTTGTCTCCTCCCTCGATCGATCTCGTCGGTTGATGGTGACTGGAGGTAGACTGAGAAAACTCGCGATATACTCGACCTGCTAGTGGCAACATACAAACTAGTAAGAGGCGTGCGTAGTGGCCAATGGAATTCCAAAATCAGCCTGACAGCATCCAGTCTGCAGACAGCACAAACAGAACTCAAAGTCAAAGTCGAAGCCAAACTGGCTGGAACTTATTTGAAGCAGTGAGTGAAAAGTAAAAAATGGGAAAAGCGGAAATCATCTACGAAATCGAACGCGTCCCTTTTAGCGCCACAGTCGCCAGGGCAACGGATGATGAATGATGTGATGACCGAAGATAATGATGTCATTCACTCAGTCATAGATATCTACGCTTTTTTGCTTGAGAGTTTCTCTCTCAGGTTTTGATTCAAGTCAGCGAAGTCACTTGGACAGGAAACAACAAATGGACGTCATTTGTATTTAGCATTTTGAGACTCTGGAGAAGGCTTTTCGAAAACAGGACTGGCTATGGCCTCTAACGAAGAAGAGGAGTATTGGGAACGCCAGCACAAGAAAAGCAACCGCCCAGCAGGTGCGTGGAAGTGTGTCGTTTCAGATGTATTCGATGTGCCTTAGCATGTTGAGAAAATGGACGATTTGTTTCTATGACTTTGTGCTGTGGCTATGTGTGTGTAATGTGTAGACACTGCTTTCAAACAGCAGCGGTTGACTGCATGGAAGCCTGTCTTCACGATTCGTAGCACCATTCCCATTTTCATGGGTATTGGCGCTTTGTTTCTGATCGTTGGAGGCGTCCTGTACGGATCTGTGGTCTCGGTAAGCCCATGTACACTGGCCATACCCGAAAGTCCCCATCCCTTTACAGGACGTAAAAAATCTCTGGCTAGCACACACCACACGTGGGCAAACCCGTTTCCTGACCCAAGTCAAATACATGTACTGTATCTCCTAAATCAGGTGCAGAACACGATCAACTTGAAACAGGAATCTGGGGAATGACCTGGGGAATAATGCATTGTCTTTAGTATGCTAGAGGCACAGGGGGATCTGCACTCGCAGGATTACACATGTAATATCACAAGCATTGATTCTCGGGGGCCTGAACTCCTACAACAAAAACTAAAAGCGTGTCCGTAAAACATTTACTCTGGGGGTGGTAGGTCCGAGCCCCATATTGGGTGCCAAACGCTGCAGGTGGTCTCTCACTGCAGGTGGTCTCTCACTGTAGGTGTAGGACTAACCTGACATACTTATTTAAAATAAAAATACCATACCATACGCATACCCAACATGGGTATACGTGCACCTCCAGTTACAGTACATGTACTCAAATTGCCTATAAGAACATGACAACTGACCTTAAGTTATATCACTGGATATGTGACAGAATATGTGCTGCTGCCCCTGTTGCTTCTGCTGCTGCTGCTGCTGTGATTCTGTCCTCAGACTAAAGAGATTGAAGTGGACTATACGACGTGTGAGAGTGTTGAGTACCAGGGGACGACGTGCGACTCCATAGTTCGAGGCCACAACGCAAGCATACCAAGACGGACGGCGTGTACCTGTCGTCTCAACTTCACTCTGGAGAAGAATTTTGGCGGAACGGTCTTTTTCTACTACAAACTGACCAACTTCTACCAGAACCACCGGCGGTATGTGCGTTCCCGTAACGACGGACAACTGCGCGGTGATCTGGCAAGCAATGGAGACTGTAGTCCGCTTGCATCTCGTACTTTGAATATCACGAATGCCGAAAACGCATCGGTTCTCGAGAGCAGGACCATTGCGCCGTGCGGCCTCATTGCCAACAGCTTGTTCAATGGTGAGTTGCTAGGTGATTATGGCGCGTGTGTGTGTGTTTGTGTGTGTGTGTGTGTGTGTATGTCAGCAATTCAAGTTTCACTGCCAAGTTTGCCACAACCGACGGTTCCGGAGGCGAAGATCTGGATCGCCACTTGGAGCATTGCCTTCCTCCCCCTAACCTCTCTGACAGTACCTCCCATCTGGGAGCGGCGTGGCCAATTCTGGCAGCTGTCAATAGGGCTTGAAAGTGCTACGTCACAGCATAGCAACAATTTCAAAAATTCAAAAACTGGATCCACTTGGATCCAGTTTTTGTATGGATCCAAGCACATTTCAAGCGGTCTTACCCACAGCATGGTGATGTAGCCAGTGAAACTGACTGATTTGGCTACTGGGGGCGGGGTTACAACTGGTGGCGAAATAAAAGTCACACCTGCATGCGACTTGAGTGGGTTGCTATGCACCCACATACTTAGGCAATAGCAAAGTCACACCTTAGTGGATCCAAAAATAGAAATCTGATGTCAACTTACTACTCCCTGGCCGTTTTGACGTCATCACTTTCAAGCCCTATAGTAGTAGTAGTAGTAGTAGTAGTGTGTATGTGCGTGTGTGCGCTTGTCCGTGTGTGTGTGTGCGTGCGTGCGTGTGTGTGTGTGTGCGTGTGTGTGTGTCCCATATGGTGCAGTGGTATGTGCAGTCGATTTCCAATCGAGAGGTTGCGGGTTCAATTCCCGACGATTATGGTCAAACACGTCTTTCTTCTCTTTCTCGGACTCTTCCTGACTTTTCTTTCATTCTCCTGGGTGGTTACCAACAGCCAGTGTATGCCGGAGTATGTGGTGTGATGTGTGTGTAGAAAAAATGGAAAAATGAAAAATAGGGATTCACTGGCCAGAAAAAGTCACTTCAAACAGCTGTGTGGTGGATACCAGGCTAAAAATAGTGGCGGTCAATTCATCAGCCTTGCAAGCTGTTGAATGGTGTAATCCCAGCACAAGTTGCTATGTCTAACATAGCTGTTTGCTATCATCGCTTCCGCGATGGGCATGTCTGAGGTCTGAGGTGTGTGTGCCTTTTTGCGTGTGTGTGTGTGTGTGTCTGTTTGTCTCCTTTTCTGTGGACGGGTGTGCTTCAAAGTACTCTTTAATGCTCTTTGTGTTGTTCATTGTATATTTAGTACAGTCAGACCTCGTTTATCCGGATCCCTCGCCATCCGGAAGAAAATAGTTGGTTACAAATGTACAGCATATGCCATGCTTACATACAGTATGTGTGTTCGATTATCCGGTTCCCTCGCCTATCCGGATATTTTTGTGGAAAACGGATGTGTGCGGTTATGCGAGGTCTGACTGTATGTGGTACACAGTGCTTTAGCTTCGGGAATAAAGTAGACTTTGAAATTTATGCTGTGGTTTTTTGATTAGCAGCACCAAGTTATACTGTGAATCTCTGCGTTCAGTTCTTCTTTGTTCACCTACAAAATGTTTGCCGGTGGTTGTAAACATGTGTGACGGTTGGTTGTGGGTTTTTCTTTGCTTCTTGTTTTTCCCCCGCGTTTCTTCCATGGTGTGCAGACACACTAACACTGCGTGTTGCATCAACACAGGCTGTTGTCAACGTAACCGGCCGTGGCATTGCCTGGAAGTCGGACCACACCACCAAGTTTCAAAATCCGACCGGCGACCTCGCCGCGGCGTTCGGTCGCTACGCCAACCCACCCAACTGGCCCCGGAGTGCCGCTGAGCTGGACCCTAGCGACCCCGAGAATAACGGCTTTCTCAATGAGGACTTTATTGTGTGGATGAGAACAGCTGCCTTGCCCACGTTTCGCAAGCTCTACCGGAAAATCCCTCAAGGACTGAATGCTGGGCAGTATATGCTCGAAGTAAACTACCGTATCCTTTCACTGTGCGTGTTGGTTTTTTGGTCCAGCCATGGTCCAGGCAAGGGATGCACTCTCTTACCTGTACTGTTGGCGAAAATGCTCTCCCTTTCTCTCTCTCTCTCTCTCTCTCTCTCTCTCTCTCTCTCTCTCTCTATCTCTATCTCTCTCTCTCTCTCTCTCTCTCTCACACACACACACACACACACTCTCTCTCTCTCTCACTCACTCACTCACTCTCTTGTCCAGAGTCAACTGTACTTGCTCTATTATCACAATATGCATGGCACTGTCTTCCTTAACTCAGTGCTTTACCAGGATTCCCAACACATGGCTTTGATGGTAAGAAGATCATGGTCTTGTCCACGATATCATGGTTAGGCGGTCGTAACACATTCCTTGGCATTGCCTACCTGACGGTGGGTACTCTCAGTGTGGCGGTGTCAGTGGCCTTTCTTGTTCTCAACGGTCTCAGCTCTGGAAAGTAAGTTGACAGCTAACACTAAACAGTCCTGCATGCCTGTGTGTGTGCGTGTGTGCGTGTGTGTGTGTGTGTGTGTGTGTGTGTGTGTGTGTGTGTGTGTGTGTCCCATATGGTGCAGTGGTATGTGCAGTCGATTTCCAATTGAGAGGTTGCGGGTTCAATTCCCGACGATTATGGTCGCACATGTCTTTCTTCTCTTTCTCGGACTCTTCCTGACTTTTCTTTCATTCTCCTGGGTGGTTACCAACAGCCAGTGTATGCCGGAGTATGTGGTGTGGTGTGTGTGTGTAGAAAAAAAGGAAGAATGAAAAATAGGGATTCACTGGCCAGAGGAAAAGTCACTTCAAACAGCTGTGTGGTGGATACCAGGCTAAAAATAGTGGCGGTCAATTCATCAGCCTTGCAAGCTGTTGCATGGTGTAATCCCAGCACAAGTTGCTATCTCTAACATAGCTGTTCGCTATCATCGCTTCCGCGATGAGCATGTCTGAGGTGTGTGCGTGTGTGTGCGTGTGCGTGTGTGTGTGTGTGTGTGTGTGTGTGTGTGTGTATGACAGACTGAGACAGAAACAGAATGCTCTAGTCTAGTGTTGTATATTGGTGATAGGGCTGCTACGGGTAGGGGTGTGATCAGGTGACGGGTTCGTGTAGTTTAACACGGGTACCCTATACGGTATTGAGTGCATTACAGACCCTCAATTGTACAATTGTACTGTCACGCACTTCAAAGTACAGTTCTGTTCAGTACTATTCATTCCACAGAACTGCAGCATGACGAAGTATGAGAACAAGCCTGCCTATGTCGCCTCAGCGACGTACAAATCGTAAACCAAGGAGTGGTGTGTCCCACAGCCAGAGAGACACGAGACGAACAGCTCCTCCATAGCCTCAGTAGCCAGCGCCAGCGTCTGCATTCTCCATTGGGAGTCGATGAAATGACCAGTAACGCCGATGTAGCCCTCGGTCACTACAGATGTCCACAGATCAGTCGTCAGCGCTATCTCTTGACACTGGTCACTGCTGATCAGGTCGACAGCCTGGCCTTCAGCTCATTGTATTTGGCCTCAGTTCTCGCCATCAGTGATGCCCTGCACAGCATTGAGAACTTTGACGCCAGGACATAGTGGACTAAATTCTGGAAGCCAGAATGTTGAACGGTGGCAATGGGGAGCATGTTCTCCACAACCATCTCCACCAGCAGCTGAATGATCTTTTCGCTGGATTGCACGCCGAGAAAATATCTCAGTGCAGTCCCGGCTGATTGACCGGAAGCAGACATCTTGAGGGGAGGCGTCGCGTCATCCTCATCACCATCCTCACTGCGGCCCCGCTTGGTTTTGGTCGGTTCTGAAATGGAGCGCTTGGCCCCGCTTGGTTTCGGTCGGTTCTGAAATAGTGTGCTTGGCCCCGCTTGGTTTTGGTCGGTTCTGAAATAGTGTGCTTGGCCTTCAGGTGACGCTTCATAGCAGACGTACTTCCAGCCTTGTAAGCAAGCTCCTCATGGTAATGCTTGCGCTCCGTCGTCCACTTTTGCGAAGTGGTTCCAAACAGAACTCGACATTGCTCAGTGTGCTACTAGTGACTTGAAACAACCGCTTCCTTATCATCCGACAACTCACCAAAAGTAAAACACACAATGCTGCCAATCGCTTGTTGACGGCGTTTTCTATGATTGCTCCGCCATTCCCGCTCGAGCTCCGGTGCAGTTGCATCCTCCGCCAACATAGCCATAGTCGTTGATGAAATTAGAGGGGTTCCGCACAATGTATCTACGTTGCTAAAAACGTGGTTGATCTACTGAAAGTCTTACGTACACTGCATGCGCATCCGTGTTTCGCACTACGGAGTTTTCGAACCACCTAGCTGCCCTTGGCAACTCCGAATGTGGCGGTGTACGTCCTAGGCAGAGAGTCATAAATGTGTACCCCAATCCACTTAGTTATGGAGCACCTCCGCTACAGTCCATTTCAAAACTATAGACGCGTACCTAGGCAAAAACCGTTATGCCAGCATCTATACCACATAAAATCTGTGATCACTTTGTGCATATTTTTTTCCAAATTGGGCGTCTGTTATCCAATCATTTAGAAACTATAATGAGAGTAACTGTGGAGCGGTCCTGAGCCATATTCCGAAAACCATTCTCAAAAAGTTCCAGCCAAATTTGAAATATTTCAAAAACCCTACGCGTCTATAGTTTTGAAATGGACTGTAGTAGTGCCCCACTTATGTACTCTACGTAGATAACTTTCCGTAATTGGAGTGCAAACTCACGAAATCACAGGTTTCCCCCGCCCACTAACGCAAAGTTCCTCAACTTCATGTAGCACGGAACCTCTCTATTAAGTTCTTTAAAAAAAATTTGCAAACAGAGTGCATAGTCCCGGAAAATAGCTGTTAAGGCTGCCTTGAGAACATCATGTGCTGAACGGTCAGTTGAAGAATGATAACTGTTGTGTATTTCTTGCCTGAGTGCAGTTTAGCAGGCACACATTTGACCACTTTCAGGATGTTCCAGTGTTCGTTCAGTAGGCAAAGCCCGGTTTTGCCAGTCAAGCTTCGATATTTTGCAGCAAAATTTTGCTGGCTCATCGTCGATATTTTGCTTTCATTTTACCAGCCCACTCGATATTTTGCTCCCTTTTTGCTCCAAATTTTGTGTCACGTGTGGGAAAACTGACCGAAAGTGGGTCACGTGTTGGCAAAAATGAGAAAACAACGAGTCATGTGTTGGTAGAACTATGCGAAAATGAGCCACGTGCACCGTATACATGTAAGTGTAAAATCTCCCAATTCCCAGCGAACCCACCGATATTTTGCTCCGTTTTGCCAGCTATTTCCCTTTCAAAATTCTTCGATATTTTGCTAGCAGAATTGCTAGCAAAATCGGTCTATGCCTATCATGCAGAGAGGTACTTGAAGTAATTTGCCATGCACCACTCTGTTTGTGTTGTAATGTTTGCTATGGCAGATGGTCACTTCGACAGCGTGACGTCTTATGATGATATTGTGGTGTCGTATCATTGCTCTACCTGTCCCTGGAGCAAGCCACCTGGTGAAGCTGGAGCGCTCGTTTACTGGATTCTGCTCTGTTTTGAGCGGCTGAGCCTGTGCTCACAGTGTCCTGTTCCAGTGATGGCACACTGCGCGAGCGCGAGATGCTACTGTCCATGATAATGTACGAGCGGTGCCCTATTGTGCGCACGGCGGCGGTGGTTGTGTCATGGTCACTGCGTGCTATTCCGGCTTCAAGGCTCTGCTGGCGCCGATCTGTGCTGCAGGACACACCTGACCCCTTTAGCTGGGGTGATAATGGGCGCTTATTTTTTAAAGCCTTGTTGAGTTGTTTTTTTATCTGCCTGCAGCACACCTGTATATATAGCACATACCACTGCTAGAACTAGAAGAGAGGATGCTGACGCCGACTTGACTGTATGATATACGCCGACTGTGTATAGTTGCCACGGGTGTGGTCGCCTCGGCCACTCGCTTGCCATTCGCCGAACAATACTGCAGAGCATGCCGCCGTAAGCTAACGAAAGCGCTCTCACAGCGCAGCTATAGCTATCCGTGCCTGTATTGTAGCCAGAGCTCTATTTGGCCGTCGTGGGCATGCAGAGTTGAATTTTAGTAGAGTATTCACTGTTTTTTCCACACTATGTACCATAATTATTTGTAGGCAGTGCAGGCTCCTGTATTTACCACTGGCCATAATCCGTCACTGCTACATCGGTATGTGCCCTTTCTTGCAACTAGGTATCGTGGGTAATACCAAGAGTACATAACCCCCTTATGTACTCTTGGTAATACACTTTACTGGTCTCCACTTTACGGAAGTACACTCGGACGTCTCTTATCCGGGCACCTTGGGACCGGGCACTGCCCGTATCTCAGATTTGCCCGTATCTCAGAATAACTCATCTACCATGTATCATATCATTTTTTGAAGAAGATTATTTGGAAAGTATTGCACATGTTCAGGATACAAAAGGAACCCATTGGTAAAAATGTGTGGATTACATAGGTTGGCAGAGCAAAATAAGCACTTCCACATACGGAAAAAAGTTCAAAAACCTCAAATTCGAAGCATTTGTGCTATAGGAACTCAAGCTGAAGGTGCCCGGTAGAGAGACGTGCCCGTATCTGAGGCGTCCGGATAAGAGGCGTTTGAGTGTAGTTCGTATTCTCTTCACAGTTGCTGTGTAAACCGAACGCTCTAACCCTCGGCAGTATGGACGAGAGCTGTTTTTTGTCGCTTTTGCGGACTTCTCCCGTGCGGACGGACGCTGTGCTGTTGTGTGTGTGTGTGTTTGTATAAGCATGTGTGTTGGCTTTTTCTGGCCAACTCTGGGGGGGGGGGGGGGGGGGCAGAAGTGACGAACGGCTCGTGTAACCGCATACCATTGCGCACATGCAGTCACGGAGTGCATGCCAAGTACAGTACCGGTATGACAAGTTGCATCAAGAGTATATAATTCCCCAGAGTGTGCAACGCCTGATCCAGCTCTGCATAGGGTCTTGGTCGAGCGTAATCGGATCTTGGCGTATACCGTACACCTCTTAGGGGAACCCGGGGAGTCGCTGGTACTCTCGGATCAAATACAACGGTGCCCTGCCTCGAGACCGGCCTTGCGCTGGTGTGGAGTGTACGCATGACATCAGAAGATCCGACTACGCTCGGCCAAGACCCTATGCCGGGCTGGATCAGGCGTTGCACACTCTGGGTGCAGTGTGGGGGGTATGTACTCTTGGTTGCATGAACGATGTGAGTGCATTCTCTGATAAAGAACTTGGCTTTTTTTTTTAAAGTACTAGTTCTCCTGCAAATAGGTGTTTGCAAGAGTACATAACCCCCCAAGAGTGTGCAACTCCCACATACCCTGCTGTCCCGACAGAATTTCAAGTTGACGTCATTATTTATGACGCAATGCTCCTTGCACCAGTGATTTACAACATGTGTACGGGTGTCAACGCATCGCACGTTTTTCTTTGTAATAATTTGTACAGGATCGATCGGCTTCGGTCTACCACAGGTTCCGGATTCGTCTGATAATCCGTGTACAGTGCGCATTGCATCATCAAAATGACGTCAACTTGAAATTCTGTCGGGACAGCACCCATAGTGGAGTTGCACACTCTGGGGGGTTATGTACTCTTGGTGTTTGTTATATCTGGAGTAGACTGGGCACTGGCTACATTAACCTTTTGAGCCCAGGCCCATTGAAAACCTCCGACACGCAGCACAATTTTCAAATTTTCTCTATGTGAGCAAACTTGATTTCAAACGATTCTTTCATGTATCCTGAGCACAGAACTGTTTTTGTTTTGGAAATACAACAAAGATTACAAAAGTTATGACCGTTTTCAGAAAGGTAGTTTTACTCAAAATTGGTATTTTGAAATGTATGCACGCGCATGTAACTCCAGTTCAAACTTACGGAGCGACTCGCATTTTTTACTGTACTCGTACATCCTAGGAGTCCTCTGTGCAGCGGTACAGCTCGACGCCACGCCACGGAGGAAACGCGGAATCAATGTAGTTCCGTACTGACTCGTGACGTTCTAGAACGTCACGCGTGTCACAGTGGTAGTGGTCATGACATGTCAGAACGTCACGCGTGCTCAAAAGGTTAATTAAATGTTGATGATGCCAGCATCTTCATTTGGTCCGTCATACAGTAGTGCCAAGTGGTAGGTTCTTTTTTCGACCAGACGACGCTTGCGAACACCAGCACGAACAGTTCACCAGCAGTACTCCACAGCAGGAAGCACATGTAGCTACTCCTGACAAGCTTGTTTCGTTCCATAACATAATGGGAACTGATCAGTGCGCTTTCTTCATCGCCTCTTCGTCCATGTACATCGACGTGAGCTTCTTGCCGATGCTCTCGTGGATTTCCAAGTACTTTGCCACGCACCGGTCGAGACAGACCGCCTCTCCCTTGGTGATGTCGCCTTCCCGGTACTTGGGCGGGATGCACTTTGTATGGCAGGCCTGCGTTAGTCTACGTAACACAATGCACGCACGCACACACACACCACACACACACACACACCACACACACACACGCACACACAGACACACACACAGACACACACACGCACGCACACACAGACACGCACACATACCATTGGACCATTGGACGCCCATCGCCAGAGGCGATGATAGCGATGCTACAGCAGAAGCCATAGCAGCTTGTGCTGGGATTGCACCATTCAACAGCTTGCAAGGCTGAAGAATTGACCGCCACTATTCAGCCTGGTCTACACCACACGGCTATGAAGTGGCTTTTTCTGGCACACATACACAGACACAGACACGCACACACACGCACACACACAGACACACACGCACACACAGACACGCACAGACACACAGACACACACACACAGACACGCACACACACACACACACACTTGTACTTGTTGCTCACTGCCAAAACTGGTCACATGGGTCTCCCCGGGAGAGGGGAGAGAGACTCAAAAGGAATCTTGGAAAGATGACTCAATTGGCTATTGAACCGCCCAACGGCCGACACCCCCTGAAATCCCCAAAACTCTGGGTGGACTTGAAAATGATCCCACTTATGGGCTCACCACACCTCAGTAAGTGGGTGAAGACAAGGTGCAGAAAAAAGATTGACGGCATCAGGGTATCCGTCCCGGGATCCTACTGCAGTTACCCCTGCCCCCAGTGAAGGTAATACTTGCTACTAGCGTGGGTGGCTAAATCAGAGTGGATCTGATATAAGCTTCACTAGCACCATTGATTACAAAAGAGTTAATCTAGCCAGAAGCAGTCCATGGTTAACAGGTATTTATACTTCAAATAGAAAGTATATGAACCCTGGAACCAACAAAGGTGGCAGGTACAACATTACACCTTCAAGTCGCCGAGCCCGTTGGCAACAGACCCAACACAATCAGGCATAAGTGTACCCACCAACTGAACTAGCTGGCACGCACACCCACACACACACACCACGTACCACGTATACGCCCGTCGCAAGAGAAGCACGCAAATCTGCAAATGCACTGGATGTGCACCCACAGATTTTCTCTTATAGCAACGATAGCGAGCAAGATCTGAATGAGACAGATCAAGACTTGCGCCAGATAACTGTCTAATCCACACAACTGGCGAAACCATGTGAATCGACCACCAATGTACACCTGGTCTACACCACACGGAGTACATCGGCATAAAACGGCCAAGACAGTTACCTATGCACACCCTACACTTACTGGGGTAACCAGTATAGACAGCACGCTGCTTTGATAGAAGCAGACACTAGATGCACTGGTACCTTGAAGTTAAATTGGAGTTACATTACCAACCAGCCTCGGCTACTGAGTACTGGGAACCCAGAGCCAACAGACATACCAACAACCTCAGCCATAAAAGCTATATAGTAACGACACACTGGATCGTGAAGCCGAAACTAGTCCAACTTCCAAATGCTTTGGCAAGAAGGTAGCCTTCCGACAGGTTGGACACACACGCACACACACACATCGGTGTTACTACGGTCTAGCAGTAGGCGCACAGGAATGATCCACTTTCACCAGGTCTTAGACTCTTACAGTTACAGCGGGCCCTGTATAATCCGGCACCATTCGTGCCACGGAAATTCTGCTGGATTCGGGAAGGTGCTGGTCTGATTAGAAAATCTGATTTACTGCTGCAATGTACATGAAAAGGACATTTTGGTTACTGAAAATTCTGCTGGTTTATAGAGGGTACTGGTTTATAAAGTGCTGGATTAAAGAGGAACGACTGTAGCAGCAGTTTGTCCAACCAAGTCCCTGGCCCAAACACACCACAGCTTGAGTGACTAAAACGACTGTCCCGCTAAACCATTACATCATCATGTTAAATAAAAAATATTCTCACAATCTACCAAATACAGTATGTCATCCCGATAAACCCGCAACGTAGGGTTGAGCGTTGAGATGCCCAGCCTCAATTTTAGCCTATTTTTAAGTTCACAATGAAAGCGACCATCAGAGCACGTACATTGAGATCGTAGCTAGAATCACTTTAGAGAAGCAATCTAATTATTTGAAGCAAGTTGCAGCAAAGCAGCAACAAACTGTGGACGTGTTGGCAGAGGTGTAGAAAATGAAATGATCCACATGCACAACAAATCTTGGACAGTCTAGAATCAAGGCTAAAAAATAAAATAAAAAAACTCACCGACTGTACATATCAGTCATCACCTCCACCTCTAGGTCAGCAACCTGTCGCTGTCTGTTGGCATCCATTGCTAAGAATACTGTAAGGTTCACTTCCAAGAAGGAGATTGCAAGAATACAATTTGTTGTGACCGACGATGAGAGAAGTGTAGCTACAAGAAAATGAGCTGTATCGAAAATGTTTTTTCTTCGGTTTTTCGAATGAGTAGCTAGCTGTTGATCCAGCCATTTTCTCTATGGCAACGCGTGCTACCGCTACGGGATATTCCCGGCCGCCCGGCCGGATCTCGAGCTGAGCCTCGTATCGAGCTAGCTAGCCGCGGTACATTTTGATTTTTGAAAGACTTTCAAAAATCTGTGCTCCTGTCAGATCTGAAGTGAAAGCATGCTGCATTCCACTTCCAGTCCCGCTGTGTTAGGTCCTGGACATGATAATGATACTTGATAGAAGCCTAGGGCCTAGGCGCTAGGCTGCAGACTGTCCTTTACATCTACGTAGCAAGGGATTTCGCTCGTGAACGACCTGCTGCATGCTGTCTAGTCTGCGTCGAAATGCAGATGAGAAACAGACTTCCTCGAAATCGTACTGTTTTTATAATGTGAAAAGTAAGTTGGCGAACTAAAAATATTTATTACGATTGTTGTGTGCATTGTGCAGGGAGTACATGTACTAGCTAGCAAGACTCCAAGAGTACACAACCCCAGCAGGCCCAGGGGGTTGGTTACGTATATACACTGTACTCTTGGTACTAGTCTACTAGTTGTACAATA